GATATATTTTATAACATAAGAATAGCCTACTCTAAAACCAAAGGACAGTTTGGCCGTCGTCCTTCTGTTCACTTTCCAGTACTAGTAGTGGGGATGTTTTCGATGATAACTTTGGCGAAAGCGCGTCCTTTAGTTTCATGCAATTCGCCATTGCTTCCAATTTTGTTATATATCTAAATAGATATAATTTTCAATATTACTACAATTTCCCATCAGAATAGCCAGTTTTACGGAGAGTCGTGAATGTAATTAACTGAATTAGAGATTGGATTTTTAAGAATCAATTTTATCTGAACCAAGACGGAAATCTACAATCAACTACAGTGGTCACTATTTTCAATCAATACTTTTTTTCGACGGCAATCGCGCAAGGCGGATATTTTTACAGCCCAAAGCCGTACCGTTTTTACAGCCGTAGAAGTTTGCAACTACTCCTTGTAGTTCTATTCTTGTTATGGTATTTGGATAGGGATTCGTACGCTTTAGCGCAACAGAAGGTAGTTGAAAATATCTTACTCACTGCCTACGTCATCTTTTCATAAAATTGTATGTGGAGTGGTCGAGGCTAAACGAACCCATTAGAAACACCTTCGGGAATAGTAAATAAACATTAGATAGATCTAAAATACCCAACAATGATAAATTTTAAATATCTGTTGTTGAAAATAAAAATGTGTGTTCCTTTTTTAAATCGTTTACTGTAGCTCAATTTTGACAAATTCCTCGACGAAAAAATATTTTTACATATATCTACATTTTTTAATTCGTCTGCCAACGATTAATATTGTAGCATACGTTTTAGAAACATTACATCTGGGAAAGATTACGTGCATTCTAAAAAGCATTTTTGGCACATAAGATTTTAATCTTTTTAGTATGTATACAGTAGTATGTGTATTTGAGTGAATACAACGCCAGAATGACCATTTGGCCGACTTAAGCATGTTTGTGCCTGAATATATAGTTAAATTTCACATGAAAGGTAGTTCTATACTGACCTTTTCTTCAGACAGGATGGAAGATCAAATTATTGAATAAAGTAATTTTCCAGGTATTTTGTTCGTCATCATTTCAATACAGGTCGGAGCATTATTATTACATGCCATGCTGGGTTTACCTCAGATAGCGTTCTCCTTTCAATGTCATTATGTTAATATAGATTTTTCCATGCTCATGAGTAATCAATTGACTTTTAGAGCAAAGATTGAATCATGGCTGACTTTACTTCTAGAAAATTAGTTGCATATACATATATTTTTCATTGAATCTAGAAACAATATATTGTTGCAACGATGTACGATAACGAGAGTACTGCAGCATGGTATTATCGGTGATGCACCGAACATACCTGAGACGAGCCATTAAAAACTCACTTCATTCATGATCCATGTTTATTACCAACTAGGAACTTCGTTCAATTGAATATCCATTGTGCCAAGCAAGGGCGCGATGTTTCAATAATGCAAATTTGAACTGTTTTGGGAATTTTTTTGTATTCCTTTAAATTTGAATATCGATGTTCTGACGGGAAGGGTGTCTGAACTCGTCAAGTACATTATCCGAAATCAGCTTACGGAAATTAATAACATATATATTAAAATGATATAGTTTTACAATAAATTATATTCAAATTTCTGATAAATTGATTCGAACTAATGTAGAATAGATATTTTCATCTTACTTTAATTATACTGTGACTACGACAACCAACTTATCTTCTTCGAAAATATGTGAATGCGTTCTTTCCAATCTGGAACTCTGTCAACGATAATAACAAGCTGATTCAAAAACAGTCGGACTTTTTCAGACATTCATGATTCCACTATATTTTACTACTAATTGACCAACAACTACTAATTAGGTTGAATTATGTATGTCTGAGGAAGTCTGACTTAAAATATTTTTGTGTTAATGTGCGGCCAAGGCTCTTGTTCACTTAAATTAGTCACCTTCAATCTTGCTTCAGCATCCTTGTTTGTTTTACGCATATGTATCCACCGACACAAAAGCATAGAAGAAGGATGAGTAGTTAGTCCCGCAGAAACCAAATCATTAGCACACTTTTCCAACAGTCATTTTAAATTAATATTGTTTATATTTTAGATCCGCAAACTCAAAACAAGGACGATTACAGAGAACCCAAGCCTTATTTCTGACAATTTATTTATTGCAATGGTATCAACGCTCTTCTGTTTTCTACCACTCGGCATAGTAGCACTTTACTACACATGGAAGGTAATCAAGTATTTAATTTTTCAATTGGAAGAAACGTTGGTGGATCTGACTATACCAAACTAGATGACCACAAGCTTATATTTGATATTTGTTTCATCGCAGTCATTTCCATCGAATAACGAAACAAAAAATTATATATAAAATCAGAAGAAATAGTTTTTCTCAATTAAATGATATTAAATAGATGAAATGTGTAATTTTCTTTTTTTTCTAATAATACCGTGTTTCCCTAAAAATAAGACCTAGCCTGAATTTTAAAAATGATTTTAATAAAAGCTCTCCCCTTAAAATAAGACCTAGTATTTTACGCGAATTATTTTTTGACCTAGTAGATAGCAAGAAATCTCACCTGCGCGTATTAAATGATTGATAATCTATGTTTTGCAGGTATTTTGACTAAAAACGTGTTATTTATAAGTAAATGGATATCGGTTTGCATATTTCGTATATTTGAAAATCTCGTAATTCTCAACTTTATAATTTTGTTTTTGATAAATGAAAATGTAAGACATTACCCGAAAATAAGCCCTAGTGTTATTTTTCGGAAGAAAATTGAAATAAGACTCAGTCTTATTTTCGGGAAAGCACGGTAAGCGGTATCTGAATAAGTATTGAAAATCCTCAATTTTTGTATCTGACGAAATATTCAATTACTTTATTATTGTCGCGGTTGAATTTATTGGATTTGATTTAAATGCTAACAATATTCTTGCATTCAACGGTTATGTACTTCAGTTTTTGAAAAAAAAATTGTGAAGGATATATTACGTGTGTTGTAAAATTGATTGCTCGAATAGAATGTTGATGCACTTAAAATATAAGACTATAAAATTTATCTAATAATAAGTTTTTGTGTGTTTTGGTGGACTTTGATTTGAACTCACGTTGGCAGAATTACCCTCTTCGTTCAATTTAATGTGGTGAAAAATCTCATGCGATAATATCTAATCTAATTACGAGTCTTTTTAATTAAGCGACCGATCATCCGTGCCTTGAATTTATCAAAGAATCATTTTCAATTAACAACAACGACATGATAACATTCAGTATGCATAGCTTGGGTTAAAGTTTTATACCAGGTCCATACATTAGCGGCGGATACTTGTCAAAATAGTATGAAAAAGGGACGTATCTGATATTTTAAAAAACATAGCTAACATATTTTCGTTTCAATTATGGTAATTAAATTTTCCAGGTGCAGAAGTCGCTGTCAGAAAATAAGATCGACGATGCCAGACTTTATTCATTAAAAGGAAGGAAATTCGCCAACACCGGTATCATGATGGGAATAACGGGTCTCGCCCTCGTAGTTCTGATTTTATTAGTCAAAGACAACGTGCCGTATTCATCATTGGAATACGATTATTATTTGCCAGATGTAGCAGTGTGATCTAATATTGATTTAAAAAAAACGCAGTGAATTCACAAAAAACCTTGCTGTAATATTAGTATCATACAAAATCCTATTTGAAAGCTTGCTCTAGTTATTTCACCAGTATTTGGTATTACTTTCATAACGTGTTCTGTTTATGCCGTAAATCATTTTGCCATTAGGGTAAGTTAAGAAAGTATTTGAAATTAAATTTATTGAATCTGTAACATGATTGGTTGTATTTCACAATTGATAAAAATAGAAATATATTATGTTGATTATCTATCGCAAATTACCCCGCCTAGACTGCTGAATTCTATTGTGTGTCACTTTTGACTGCAGTGAAAAAGAGCGTTGTCGAAATATTTGTCAGGGTATCAATAAGAGTCAAGACGGTTATGTTCTGAAAATTTGGGTAACCCAAATAGAAATTTATTTGTAACAAAACTTGTGAATTTTATTTCTTATATTTATTTTATAAAACAACTATTTTTAAGCGCTTTAGCGACACAGTTTGTTTAATGACTTTACTGCACAACTGTGGTTGAAATTACGAAAGTAATTAGATAATTTATTGATGATTGAATCTGAGCCGACGTGAAATTTCTATTTTGTTCAATTGAATGACCGGAAATAAATTTTGTTTGTCATTTATTAAAACAAATGATTTTTGATTATTTTGATTAATGGTTTTCTGGAAAAATCGATATTGAAGTCTCCCATAGGTATACTCGTCGAATACTATTAGAACTATGCAGTATTGTTTCTGATATTTTGCGATGCGAGCACATGCAGCCAGAAGGGATTAATTCCAAAAAGCCCGCCTTATTCCTTATCGCTGAATTGCAAAATAGCATAGATTCTTAGTAAATATATATAACAAGAGCTCAAAAGGTAAACCAATTTTTGAAGCTAAGACAACGAAGAAATTTTTCAGAAATTGGAAAATGATAGCAGCGAATTGTAGTGTTTATAGTAGAGAAAACCATGGAATTGCTCGGCGGCATCGGTTATCTGAACAAGCAGGAAATCACTGCAACCTCAAAAGAATCCAGATTTAGACTGTTTCCGCAAAAACACCTTTCAAGTTCCAACATTTTTTAAATAGATTTAATTGCGGAATAATGCCAGTTTCCACTCGTTTACCCAATTCTGATTCAAAAGCTCACCTAATCAGCAAAGGTTGGCCAAACTCACTGTACCACCACGTCTTATTTTTTAATTTAGGATTTTTATAACAAACTTTACAAATATACTGGCACATTCATCTTTTTATTCATTCAAAAACATTTAAATAGTGATTTTTACATACAGCATTGCACTTGATTGTGTAGCTGCGCAAAAAATCGAACCGTTGTGTCTTGGGCAGTGCCTAAATGTAGATTGGGATCATATGCTTATCCATATTCGTGAGTGTTCCGCTACAATCGTGACCGGACAAAACGACGTCGACCTTACTTAAAATATATACAAACAACAACACGCTTTTGCTGGCATAGAAATGTAAAATAAATCTCGGATAGAAAACTATTTATCACCAAATAAAGTGCACTACAGCATCCATGTGAATCTGTACGATAGGCTGTAGTTAAATTCAACAAAAGAGCGATGCTCAGATATATGGACACGAAAGCCAAAACGAAGTAGCACGGGCATGCCATCTGCCACAGTAGACTACCAGTACCGCATCTTTCACGATTTCGCCTGACCACGAGATAGAAGCGAATGCGGAACCGCCACAAGGTTCCCAAAAAATCGAACCGTTGTGTCTTGGGCAGTGCCTAAATGTAGATTGGGATCATATGCCTATCCATATTCGTGAGTGTTCCGCTACAATCATGACCGGACAAAACGACGTCGACCTTACTTAAAATATATACAAACAACAACACGCTTTTGCTGGCATAGAAATGTAAAATAAATCGCGGATAGAAAACTATTTATCACCAAATAAAGTGCACTACAGCATTCATGTGAATCTGTACGATAGGCTGTAGTTAAATTCAACAAAAGAGCGATGCTCAGATATATGGACACGAAAGCCAAAACGAAGTAGCACGGGAATGCCATCTGCCACAGTAGACTACCAGTACCGCATCTTTCACGATTTCGCCTGACCACGAGATAGAAGCGAATGCGGAACCGCCACAAGGTTCGCAATCCCATAGAGCAGGGGTGTGCAAAAAGCGGCCCGCGGGGTAAATGCGGCCCACGAGGACAAATTGTGCGGCCCGCGGAGAAGCGCCAATTTTGAATGGTGTGCGGCAAGCTAAATTAATTTTTAATTTAGTTTGATCTGGTTCCCTTTGCGTTGCGAAGCTTATATTCGAGCCCAATTTATTATCTATGCCTATGACGTTACAACGTCCTCACAGCGAAGCGAACAACGTGATTCACAAGGAAGCTGTCCCTTGCCGAGCAGCGAACAATTGAAAGAAAAATGCGGAGCAGACGCTAATGTATTTGTAAAAACGGACAATTGAAGATTAGGCTACTGGAAAGCAGTTTGAAAAAATGTAATATTAAGAGATACAAAAGCTAAATGAGTTTTGGTTCCAGCCTATCAGTTGATTTTGTTAAAATCTAATCTAGAATAAGATTTGACAGCAAAGTATTTGGAATGAATCTTGGCGTATTATACCGAGAACATCTCAACTAAGATAACTTTCCACATTTGAAAAGAGTCATAGCTTCAAATATGGCACTTTTCGGTTACATATCTTTTTTTTAAATGGGCGTCATATCAAATTGCTAGCACTTCCATTTAAGCAAATTTGGATAAAAGTAGTCAGGAAAAGAATCCAGCAGCAAATTTCTCACCGAATTCGTTTAAATTGGGTGTGACATTATATTTGGATTACAGTTTTAAGATATTTATGCGTTTTCTGTAAAGACCCCTTATGATGACAACATGAGATCAATAACAAAAAAAACTATTTTGTGCCTGCAACTAATATAAAGCCTATGTTAAATGAAGGTGCGGCCCGCGGTTTTGCCCAGTTATTGATATTTGGCCCGCCTGCGAAAAAAATTGCACACCCCTGCCATAGAGTTCACGGAAATTTGAAATAAAATAAAAGTAATAGCCTCTAGCGTAGAATACACTACCGAAAATTTTAAAGCAATTGGTCCTGTAGTTAATTAGAATTAATTTTTTCACAACAAGAAGAAGGAAAAATACTAATAAGATGGTCAAAAACAACATAATAACAAAAACGATCCATAGGCCCATTTCGTGTCCAATAATCATTGACGATGCATGGAGTTTGAAATGAAAGCGAGTGACATCAAGTCACCATTTGCTATTGTTTCTATAGGGAAATTTAAATGCGCGCCATGAGGCAAGATGTAAACCCAGTGCTGCTATTGTCGTTGAAGCATCAGTGCACAACCTAACGGAAATGTGAAACTAGTATAATCACATATTTTTGTTGTAGAGAACTACTATTTAAAAACAAGCAAACACTCATCCTATCAACACCAGAATAGCAGGTCCCAAATTTCGAGTCGAAAATTTTGGTATTACATTATCCTATAACTTAAGTAAAATCATACTGCTGTGATAATGATTATTCATTATTGAATCAATTTTTATATTATTTATTTGTACATCAACGATAAAAGTATAGATACTTTTCCATAGAAAATTGCGCAATCAGATTACGGTAATATGTTTTCAAATACATACAAAATCATCATTTGAAATTGTCTCAGATTATTCATATATATAGTAATTGCATGGACAGTGCAGATATATATTTCAATTTTCTGGAGCACTAAATGATTCTATTCTATCAGCAGGTAGTAAATTTTTCTTCTTTATGGGTTGGCGATCATTGTTCGTGAAGCTCAACTAGACCTTCCAAGCAGTTCAAAGAGACGTTTCCCTTCAAAAATCTTCTCAAATCAGTATAATTCTTTTCATAACTAAATGACTTTGTTCGCCAGCTGAATCCTGCAATTTATTTTAAGCATTGTCAGTATTGTTATTATTAAATTCATCGTGGAATCAAAGTCGTTGTTTGTCACGTTGAATTTATAGTGTAATTGGCATAAATGAAAGTATTCACTTAAACTAGGTTAATTGAGTCAAGGATTTTTATATTGAAATAAATAATCACGTATTACCTGACTTGTCGTTTTAGTTGACCGTCTTTTTCGTCCCGCCTGTGTTAAGGAGAGCGCTGGTTTGTTTTGATTTGTGGAACTTTTATCATCACATATGGGTTCGCAGTTTTCAAGGCATACCCTTACTCTGAGTAAAAAGCAATTGAAAATTGAATCAAGAATTAAATCGAGTGCTAAATTTATCTTATAGTATAAAATCAAAACTACCTGCATTGCAAATAAACTTCCTTCGATTCCTTGTCCTTGTATTTCCAGTCAAAAATTCGGAGCGCCCATCTTGCTTGCTTCCCGACTCCATTTAAAATCACAGTCGTAAATATTGCATTTGTAGAACATCTTCATGAAGTGGATAAATAGAATGTGCTCATTTAATAAACGCTGTGAAATCTTGGCACTTGTAATTTGCATTCAAACACAAATTATACCAGAAGCTAAGTAAAGGGAATAACTAGAGATATTTAGTATAATATGGTTTTTAATTTCAACCATTACCAACACTTTCTCTAAAGAGACGCAATGGAACAAATACATACAATAACAAAAGTAGAGCAATGCTCAAATACATGGACACGAAAGAGAAAAAACGAAGTAGTAACAGATATTTTACAGTACCGGGAGTCTGACCACCAGAACACTGAGGTGTGATCACGGAACCACAGCTCGCACTTTTTAATTTTGATGACGTCATCAAACATAATTTAGAAGTGAGGAACGAATCACATAGAGCTCACAGATATTTTTTTTAAAAAAATGAAAGTAAATGTCCTCTAGCCTCAACAGCAAGATTTAGCCACAGAAAATTTCAAAGCAATTATTTCTGTAGTTAAGAAGAAGAGCAATTTTTTCACAACAACAACATAAAACAAAATGATCTATAAGTCCATCTCGTGTCGAATAATAGTCGGAGAATGTTTCATTTTTATCGATACGGAATTTAACAAATGTTTGATAAGAAGAAGCATATTACATCGCTTTTTTGGTTCAGTTGAATATCTATGCAGAACTAGACGATACTCTAACCCGTCAGTATAGAGTAAATCTGTCATACGATGCAGGGCAATTATGCGGCTTTGATGGAGAGACTTATCTGATAATTTTGTATAAACATTCTCACCCATCGTTGATGAGTTCGTGCACGACGTTTCTTTCTTTTGTTGAATCAGCAACCCAACATTTATCAGCAAGTATGACCATGCTCTCATAACCAGATAACCCAATTGACAACAAATCCACAGAAAGATATAAGACTTCACCTAAAACAAGAAAGCGATGATTAAATATATGGACACGAAAGCCAAAACGAAGTATTGTCAAATCATTTGCAGTACCGGTAGTCTGACCACTAGATCACTGAGATGTGATCACGGAACCACGGCATCAAATTCTTTTTTAATGACGTCATCACATAAAACTTCAAAGTGAAAAATGAATCCTTAAAGACCACAGATATTTTTGAAATAAATAAAAGTAAAACCTTCTTGCGACAGTAAGCTTTAACCACTAAAAATTCCAAAGCAATTGATTCAGAAGTTGAAGAGTGAATCGATTTATTATTATTCTATTTTATCTGTTTCCGAGTCAATATAGGCTAAAATATTTGAAGAAGTGTTGAATGAGGTAACACAAATAGAGAATTAAACAAAAAATTTGGAGTTATTGTACAAATATATATTTCGAATTTTTATTTAGTTAATTCAGTTCATTCAGCGATTCAGTTACCTATATATGCGAAAATAATTTAAATCTGAATCGACCAAATAATACAAAGAATATATCACACTGTTGTGAATAAAAGTGTGAATTCTAAGAATTCATTCTAAGAATTACCTTGTGCAATTTTTGGACTATTGCGATATCTGTGACTTGGTAGATAGGAATCATCTCTATATATGAACATCTCCGCATTTACAGCTTCTGTTACTTTTCTTTCGCTGATTGTCCTGGTTACGAAGAATAAAAACGTAAATTATCAGTTAATATTGCTACTGGAGAAATAAAAGATCTTCAAGTAATATGTGGAAATCGTGACAAAGTTCGTTCGAAAAATTAACTTCATTTTTCAAGTGATTTAAGACAGGGGTGCACAACACGGGGCACGCGTGCCAATTTGGCACGCCTTACGCTCAAACATGGCACGCGAACTGTTTTGTAAAAAAAAAAAATTTATTCATGATATACATTAAAATATCACGTTTATATATCAAAATCAGCAGTTTTTCAGGAAATCAAATTGTTTCAATAAATAGATATTCGTTATTATGTAATATTATTGAAGTTTGTTTGTTTTACGGGAGGTAATGTCCAATACCATGATTGTGCGCGGCACGCGACAAGATTATTTTGAAAAATTTGGCACGTGTCCTCATTTGAGTTGTGCACCCCTGATTTAAGAGTCTTGCTGCAAACTAACATAAACTTTCGTTGGTGTGCACAAGAATAATGCACAGAATAGTTGGTCTCGCACAAGCCTTTTCGATATCACCTATTATCGGATAGGATTTACATATTTATCCCGGGGGGAGAGGAAGGTCGATAAGACGTATTAACCATATGGCGCACCACGGCCTCTCGTCTGATTACCAGTTCATGTCGGGTATGGGATAAGTCAGCCAGTTACGTTATTACGTTACATATTATTTATCCTTTAAAATAATTATTGTCATTGGCAGGAGATTATCAATATTCAGCTGACTTCAAAATTCTTACCTGACAGTAGGAATGATTCCAAATCCTAAACCAACTGTGGAATTAACTTGTTTATTGTATACGCATGTTATATCAACAATTACAACAGTTGAATCAACAAAACTATCGGAAAGTCTCCATAAAACTTGATTCCTGATAATCAATTTATCTCGGTCAGTCTGAATGTAAATAAAAAGTAAATAGTTATGGCATATCTTGATTTATACAATTTTAAAGTGAGCCTTTTTATTTAATATAATATATAAGACGATAAGAAGTATATTCTTTGTTCTTGAATAAGTAATTAAACCGAAGTAACATATTAATAAAAATATCACGAGAGCGTGACATGAGAGGGCGAAACAGATGAAATGTTTACAGTAAGCAGATAGATTCTAGAATCGGGATTACGGGGAAGAATAAATGATAAAGCGTGAAAAGCAGAAAAAAAAATTAACGAGTCTAGATCGAGAATAACAAATTATCAAATATTAACAGTCCAAGTAAAAAAAGAAACCCAAAATAAAAACGGCACTCGCTCGCTCACCCATCTAAAAGCGCGCGAATTGGTTTTCTATAAAATATCTTATGTAGTGGTGTTTTTTCATGATTACTGAATTTAAAGAAGTTCTTTAATTATATACATAGAAGTTTATCTGCTTTTAAGTTTTAGGTACCTGAAGTTCTGAACCGCAACTTTTGTCAATAGGCTGTGGTAAAGCCAAAACAAACATCGATCCCCGAATTTCTGCGAAACAGTCTTTTGAATCAGCTTTCTTGAATTGAATTAGCGTGGGATCTGATATCAAGCCGTCGTCCCTGACAATTCCCTCGTCAAACGATATCGATATAAAGTTCTCTTCGCATGTTAGCTCGGGTTCGGCTGAAAGCAAGTTAAAGCTTTACTTATATTTTTAAATACCGATAGATCCAGTCAGGAAACATTCAATGAGAGATCAAATCATGACGTTTGTCTGTGCGTGCATTAAATCGTCAGACCAAATTCTTTTTTTATTGCGTTGTGAGTGAATGGTCCATCTCGAAGCTTGTGCATAACGGCAAATTCCATTTTGTTAACCGTTCGACGGTACCGCACATACTGATAATGTAACTGACTTCCTAATTTTATACAACGAAGCTCACCATATAGACAATTTTTTCCAGCAAATCCTCTAGCACATTTACATTCATATCCAGTCATGACATGATCATTGACGATACAAGTTCCTCCGTTTTGACAGGGAGTCTGATCGCATGGGCACGGACCCAGAGTACATATCTACGAATATAAAATTTGGTATTGCTGTTGTTAGTATACCATTTCTTCGAATGAGAATATCTTATCTCTCTGTTGCAAAGTTCAAAATAAATCATACCTCAACTTCCAAGTCAGTCCCGGGACAGAGTGTCGATCCGGATATGTCACCGGTACACATTCGTCTCCTTATTCTTTCGCCATTTCGACATGTAACTGAACACGGACTCCATGAACTCCACACTGCCCATCCAAGCCGGCCTGAATATACATAAAAACGATTCAGGATATTTGAATATAAAAAAGGGAATTTCCAAATTAGAAGACAACTACATACCATTGGAACCAATGAATGATTGCGTTTGGAAACATTTCGGTCCTTCTGTTATACCCGGCAGACGAAAGTTTTCCTGGAAGCAGCATTTGAACTGATTGCATTTGTCTCTGTCAATTATTTATAAATAAGAAATTTGATTTTGAATAAGAAACTTTCAAGGAAAATAAAGACAAAGCAGAAATGATTCGGGATGGGAGCAAAATTGAAGATTTAATAGTGGTAAAATTGCTTCGCTGATTTGAATATTAAAATATAAATAAATACCTTGTTATGGTAGATTGGTCTCCACACGGGAGTCGCATTGATGGTTCACGATGAACACAAGATTTGTAAATTCTTGCTTTTCCAATCGAAACTAGTCCTTCCGGACCGTTTATCCCTAAATCATAAACAAATAGTTTTATCAGTTCGCCAGGTCACGCGCCGAAAACAAATAAACAACTCATTACGATTTAATTACCGTAAACTTCTGATATTTGCTTGAGGCAATACACTTCCGTGTTACATTGTCGGAACTCTTCTTTTGTTCCATTACACGTACCGCTTACGAAATTATCTGGAATGCAGTATCGACTTCTCATCTGCGTTCCTGTTGGACCACACGATCGGCTACATCGACCCCATGGTCCCCAGAAAGACCAATTACCCTTCTCCTCGATTTTTCCATTTCTTGCAAACATTTCTGCAAAACAAATGGAAATCGAAATTTAAAATGACTATCGAGTATTGGACTTTTTTGGCACATTTCTCTCAATGACCATTGAAACCATTATATCATTGTATTTACATATATATAGTCCTATGCGCGGTTGGATTTTAAGACGAAGACAAATCTGTCCCGAAATCATTTTGAATTCTGATACATTGTCAAAACGTTCAATTAACGTGGTTGGGTAATAAGAATGTTCTGTCATTTACTATATATACTAACAAATACCTGGAGTTGAACATTCCCGCTCATAAATATCTAGTCCAGTTTCTAGATCGAATCTTCGGACGAACTTACAATTCGGATTGCATTCTTTTACCCAGAGAGTTTTGCTGGAGTGGCTTGTTGTCGGGAAACCACCACCAAGTTTGTATTTGGCTATATCTTGAGAAAGTTCGTCTAATATGATGCCCTGAAATGTAATTTGTTGAGAAAACGGACAAAAGAACAAGAGAGCGATGCTCAAATATATGAATACGAAAGTCAAAACGAAGTAGCCTAGTACGGATATGCAATCCGTCACAGTAGAGGCTGGCTACCGGTACCGCAGTCTTCACGACTTCGCTTTGGCACTAGGCGAACGCGGAACCACAAGTTGCGCAATTTTTAATTTTAATGACGTCATCGCACACAAATCTTGAAACTATGAAAATTTCGCCCAGTAGCTAATGAGCAAAGCGAAAATGAGAAAAATTTTCCACAGCAACAAAAAGAAACAAAATACTAACAGAAGCAACAACAACATAATATCAAAACTATCCATATGTACTTTTCGTGTCCAATTATAACAAGTATAACGAGAAGAATGTTAGAGTATCTGGGGTGTAACATATACGGTGGGCTGATGGACCAAAATATCGTTTGGCGAAGCAGGAGATATAGTTTCTCTGACAGCTGATATAAAAAGAAACCCGCAATTAGTTAGTTCCACGGAATCCAAACCCAACTATAGTTTTGGAAAAATCTAATACCACTAGGGTGGGATGTCTTTTATTTTCATTTACCAAAAACCAAATTACAAAGTAGAGAATTACGAGATTTTCAAATCTACAAAATAAGAAAACCGATATACATTTACTTATAAATAACACGTTTTTTTTTAAATAACTGCTAAACGTATATAATTAATCATTTGAAATGTGTGGGTGAGATTTCTTGCTACAGCTATCGACTAGGTCAAAAAAAAATATTTTAAGGGGAAGGTTTATATTTAAATCATTTTTAAATTGAGGCTAGGTCTTATTTTTTTTAAATATTTCGAGGAAACAAGGTAGGGTTAAAGCCTAAAAGAGCTTGGCTTCATTTCAAAAAGTCAAAACAATCCTTTTTATTCCACAACTTCGTTCAAACTACACTCCGCTTCATAATATTTTAACCCATTTTCAAAATAACCAAAACCTTGTAAAAATATATATATATGTATAGTACTGCTATACACACTTACCGTACACGAAGTGAGAGCATTGCAGATTTTTTCAGCTTCTATTCGTGTTTCGAACAAATATTTCATCCCTTTTCTGTCGCCTCGATGCAGCATTGTATTCATATTTGAACTTGTAAATTTTTTATATTCACATTTTTCATTAGCAATGACTGCAAATAATAATCCAGAAATAAAAAGTCATGAGTAATATTCATCGGTGTGATAGCATTAATTTTTTTATATATACAAATACAACTTGTATAAAGCCAAGGTATGGCTCAAATCTAAAACTTTATAAATTAGTTACCCATATATATAGAACATCACTAGTGATTCTGTTACAAATCGATGAACTATTTTAATCTAATACAATATTATACATTTTAAGATACTTACATGTCCCTTTCGTCAAGACCAAATTTCGAAGTACCATCCATATCACAACAACGAATACCAGTCTTTTCTCCGCCATGTCGGATTGCTAAATGAAAAATAATAATAGCGAATTTTTTGAACAAGCGGTGATTATCAATTTCTGACTTGCCTCTTCGCGCGGATTTCAGGTATTGGTAGGGCGTTGTACATCCGACAGAGATTACAATGTCTGATAACTTAATGTGTAATTCTCGTAATTCACATCTCTTAACTTAAACAATAAATACGCCCATTTGAAATATTCTCTTTGACAGACGATAACCAAGTAATGCGATTTGTGTTAATTATGATGTAATAGGAACTACACAATGCATCACAAGTGATATATAAACACATCAAGGACGTAAACATAATTACTGTCACAATAGATATCCTTAATTTTTAATTCATTCGTTTGTTCAATTTAGCGTAGCATGTTGCAATGAAGTTATCTTCAAAAGTTATCTCTAGGTCGTTATTAGTACCTGGCGATCAAAATATCGCATTGGCTTCTGATTTTTGTGGAAATTTGCGCAACCTTTATCCTAACCCATTCTTAAATCATTTACTGCAGAATGGAAGTTTACCCGACCTCTGACCCCTGGAAAATTTGTTCCCATACTTTGCCATTGTAAAATATTTTGATGCTTATCTTGAGAGATCAATATTATTTCGAAAAACTGATTTACCTACTTTATATCCTCCATTATGATCATAATATTCAACCACCTGCCATTAAAAGAACTGATAGCAAATGTATGCCTAGTTTATCGCGACTTTGGTGTAGTAAATTTTGATAACATCCAAACTGAAGCTCTCAGAGGGAACAAAATGGCCAATGAGTTATTCGATTTATACATAAATTTCAAGAACACGAATAGAAACTGACGAATTGTTAGCAAAACAACGAAAACGAGTAAATGTTTGCCACCACGCGGGAAAACATCGTTTGAATCAAGAAAGTGTCGGTTCAGCCGCAGGGGTGACCAAGGTTTTTGGACCAGGGGCCAAAAATGTTGCCCACTTAGACTGGCGGGCCATGTAAGTGTGACGTAAAAAGTTACCACTATGAACAATATTTACATTGTTAAAAAGCAAAAGTGGAAAACAATAACCCTCGTATCAAAACCCAATTTAATCGCAATCTCAACAAATTTTTTGAGTTATTGTTGCTGAAACATTAAAATTTGGTTATAGTTTGGTTGTGGCAGCTTGATTGAATTACTTAACGTGCCGGATTAAAAATCGGTGATCGAGAAAACATTCATTGCAAGTCTGGGCAAGATCGACGAAACTTTTAAAACCATTTAAGTCACCCCCCTTGTAAATCAGATAGCTGGAATCATTAAAATTAACCTAGTTAACTTTTTTAGTCAAAATAAAAGCATGTAATGGAAATCTTTTGTTTCAAATATTGGTTGGGTGGATACTAGTGCATCCTTCAACTTATTTTGTGGGAAACAAATCCCTCAGCTATTCAAACATGTTTGGTAAAATAAATTACAGAGATATATTTACTTTTTCAAACTTGTGAATGTAATAATTCTACCGTTCGCGGTTATCGCGAGCGACGTATGACGAAACGTGTGCGGGTTCCCTGAAAGAGAAATTTTAACTAAATGCAAGTAATTTTGCTGTATTTTTATCTCAGCTTTAAAACAGAGTATTCCATCAAACACTGTTAATTATGAATTTAATAAGAGCTACCGTCCATTGTTCATTGTATTATTTTTACATGCGGTGTTGTACTACATGAGTTTCAGTTCATGAATATTTACATATCTTTCCATATGAGCAAACAATTGTTGCTTCGTAAAGATTAATGTAACCTTATGAGTTTTATTGCGGAGTTATTTGATTTATTTTATCATACAGCATATGACGAGAGTGCTCTAAAATCGTAAAACTTTCCGTTTTTGTTAAATAAACTTATACAGGCTGCCTCATGTGTTTTTAGTATGTATGCGTACTCTGATGTCGTCCTAGTGATCGCGTATTATCATGCCGACCGTATATATTAATTGTTCTTTATATCTAATGCACGGGCCAAGAGCATAAATGATAATCAACAATTCTAAAAACATACATTCACATGGCTTTATCACACAGAAAACATTGTTAAAGCTAAATACAGTATATTACGAGAATCCGTAGCGTTGACAGGGAGTATAATATGCAACGGTTATACTTCCATCTCAAAATTAGTTGTTGTCGTATAGACGTATTTTGAATTCAGATGAAATGGGCATATTCAACTAGTTGTAACCATTAAATGCATTTTATTTTATTAATTAATGCACAATGTTATTTTACAGCTTTGGGTTATAGTTGGTTCCAATGACCACAAAAAAACTTTATATCCACTATCAAGATTGCAAACTTGGAACTAATAAGACTCGTTTTCAATGCTTCATTTTCGTCTAATAAACAAGTGTCTATAACGTTTGTTACAATCAACTGGACATGATAAACCGCCAATCAATATGTACGTTGTTTCCAGCCTATTTAATCATTTTTCTACGGACGATACTATCCGTGACAACATATTTATTATTCAAAATATGAATGTTTTGCTCCCGATTGAAACAATTCATTATATTGTTTTCAAATTTCGCCTCTTCGTCGAATATAATGAGAAATGTTTTGGGCAAAACACCGAGTCAAAGAAACGGCGCCAATCCGTTTGTCTTCGGTGTATATTTAACCTCATTCAGTAACCTTTTAAATCTCCCATAGGTATGAAGAAATTGTAATAAAGAATATTATATGGAATTATGATGACATGAGAACCGTGTGATCATTATGTTTTTGTTGATATTCTCTGTGATTGAGATGGTGTTTCGAATTCAAGAATCAGAACGTTATATACTAGCTTTAGAAGTTGTATAGTGGGATGAATAAGCATGAATTTTTAGATATTAATCAGCGGCAAAGATGTCCAAAATCGTAATTCTAACTGCCAGAATTCTTTGTAGAATTATGACAAATAAAAAATACTACTCAAAGAGTTCCTACCATATCCATTGGTGTTATAACTATGAGCATAATAGTTTGAAAGTACATTGTGTTTGAATTTATGCCCGAGTTTAATTAAAAAGTAATCAATTGATGACTGTTCAGACTGTTGGGCGAAACTTGTATACCAAAAGTGTAATTTTTCAGAAAATAATGGTTAGTTGTTATTTAGTGTACGTTGTTACTTCGAAACGCTAATCAAAATATACCGTACCATCGGTTTGCCTCCCGCATCAATGACATCAGATCACACTAGAACATTCAAAAAAATATGATTTATATATTACTCTTATATCATGTTTACTTTATTTCATCATCCTTCAATATTTTTCGATCTCTTATAGAACTATGTAACATACACGTTTTAAATCTTAACCGACCGCTTATTATGTGATTTATGACAACCAGAATGGAATTACTGAAGACATTACCTGGAGTTACTGTCAGGAAACACGAAGTTCAATATCCACACCATTACAATAACGTACCCAGCAATGTAACGGTGCTGAATGTATTGCGACCCTTCTCGCAGCAGCGAGTAGGGTCACTGCACGCAAATGTAAGCCCAAGGCTTGTCTACAGCGCTGGCGACAGCTATATAATGAATTTCGGTGGCGATCCTATGCTTCGAGGAGATTCAATATTCTATCCTAGAAAACCAGATCCCAAGCCGATCTTGAAGAATCAAAATGCAAACAATAGCCCTTACGGTAGCAGAGTTTTGTTTCTAGAACATAATGCTGCTAATGTAAAGAGAGAAGGCGCAAAGTCACCTGGTATAACACGAAAGTCTCAGAAACATGGAACCGTTAATAACGTATTAAACCAGTCTGAACAGCACGTGATTCCAAAAACTCCAAGTAAAAATGTAACATTCAAATTGGAAAATGAAGATAGACGCAGAAACGTTGTTGAAGCACAGTGGTCGCTCGGGATCTCAAAAATCAACAAACCTCTACGTGAGCCAAGAAAAATTCACTCAGAACAATACAGGTGAAAGGAAAAATTTTAGTTTTCAAACTTTCAGGCGCAAGAAACTCTAACGGAACGTCGTTTTGGACAACTGGGTTACCACTTGTTCTCTTTAAAATGTACATTTATGACAGCAATAGCTGATTATTTTGTATACACCAAGAGCATATTTGTAGTTGACCTCTCCTTTTGCAGATCTAATGAACCACGCCGTGCTCTAACTTCAGAGCAAAGCAGTAGAAAGTACTTTTTGCCACTCCTGCTGAAAAGAAATACTAAAGGAAATCATGTAAGTAAAACGCGATTCGGGAAAAGCAAGTAGATGTGAATTAACAAATAATATGTTCAGAAACAATTTGGTCAAGCAGCTCAAATTTCTGACTAGCTACTAACCAAGCTCAACTAACCAATTTCAAAAATCTGCGGTGCAGAAGTTGATCATGCATTTTCTAGTTTATTTATGTTGTAAACTTTGTAATCAAATGTATTTGTTCTAGTGCATCTGAAATCATTTCAACATAAACGTTTCATGATAGTATGTACTGTTATACAGATTGTGCCTGCGACCGCCACTCCTTCTCCAAGACGTCCACAAGGTGTTGGCGGATTTAATGATCGAGGACCGTTACGATTCCGCTCGATGGCAGACGAGTACAGAAATACACTGAACCAACCTGGGGTAAACAAAAGAGGGCTTCAAAGACCAAACGTCAGTGCGTGATACTTGTAAACATATGGCGAACCTTATTTGAAGTTGAAAAACAAAGGATTTGGGAATCAAATCTATCAAACTATGAAATATTAAAATGGGATCACGTAAGATAACCACGAACAAATATATCAATAATGAACTGTGTTTTGTAGTTAAATACATTTATAAGAATATAACATCAAACATAACCTGATTTAGGAATTGTGCCACAAAAATTATAGCCGACTGAAAAACGTATTGGGATTTCCCAAATTTCAAAAATAGTTTTTCCATTCCATTTGTCTGTAACGATCATTCATTCTATAGATTTATGATTATATATGCCCAGGCTATATGCAAATAGTATAAGATGAAATTCAGATACACTGTGAATCATCAAATTGAACAAACATATCATTATTTTTCCTCTATTATACCGCTCATTACAAAAAGTAAGGTTACGTCTACCGGGATATCAGGCAACGTTTGGCAAAATGCCTTCTTCTTTTTCGATTTTATATTTTTATTTATCGTACAAAAGCAGTTTTATTTTTACATTATGATTTCGAATGGAGGAAGAATATTATGTCGTAACGGAAATATATATTCTCGGTTTAGAAGACTTCCAGTGTTCACATATCACAATGCATTACAGAATGTCTAACAAAAGATCGAATTTCATTTATTCTTGCTTGTACTAAACACACTTCAAGTTCCACTTGACTGGTAATAGGCTGACGGCGCGACAAAATAGTTTCAGGCTTTTTGTGGTCGAAAGACGCGCCAGGTGCCAATTTCAATCTCAAGCTCGCTGTTTGCCAATACATCTTTACATTGTTAAAGCTGTGGTCATTAATTTCCTATGTGTAACGTATTAATATAAATATTATTTTGTGCTACAAAATGTGTACTATTATTGAGCTTTTTCTCAAATCACATTACACAAGTGATGTTATAGTTTTGTAGGAAAAAATATTATCGAGAATGCATCAAATGCCGAAAACAAAATGTGCAAATTTGCACGAAATATTTAAACGGTAATGCTTTTGTTGATGAAATCATGACTTATATCATGGACCAAACGTTATACTCTTTGAACCCGCTTCACAGCGAGCGATAAGTTACCCTCAATTCATCAACAAAGTTGTGTTTACGACTGGCATAAAAATACAAATGACGTCACAAACCAGCTATAAGTTGTTATGTTTATTTATCCACAGCTGAACGTGGATCATTTGTAACCGTGTTTTATCTTTGGCCAGGGCTTAACAAATTATAATTTCTGAATATACATGCCAGATTTTTCTCGGGTACTGTCACCATAAAATTATACGGTTACATTTACGGGACATTTTTCTCAATGTTATAATATTTAGGGTTAGCTTTTTCCGGCGTGTCATATCCGATCACAACGAATATTAATTTCACCGCATTCCGGAAAAAACGTAGCATTCTACGTCACAATCTACTCATGGTCACGCGCATCAGGATATTACTAGTTTCCTTTTCTAAAATTACCCTATATGGGCATCTCTAATGACTCACTGATATAATGACCAGGTATCATTGTACGTATGATCGCGCGGCTTTTTCTTTGGAAAAATAAATCATTCTTTTCAAAGTAGTGTCGTAATTCAAGATTAACAAAAGAAATAAAAAGAGAGAATAATTAGTGGGTTGTGATAGGATGAAGATCAAACGTCAAAAGGAGAAAGGTCCGGTTTAAAAATTTTACCTTTCTAGAGGGTGAACGAAGATTTGTCAGAAATCCCCCCGTCATTGTACTGAATCTTTATCATCAGAAAAAATGTGATTTAGATAAAATTTAGAATGATCGAGATATTTTTAAATATACCTTGCTTACGCTTGTACGTTATCTCGTTATTAAGATAGGATTTACATTTACATATTTATCCTATCCTGATAACGAGATAACGATCTAACGTTGTCACGATCTAAATCACATTAAACGTTATCCTGCTTGTAAAAGCAATTGGATTCAAAAGATATAGATATCACTGGAATAGTGGGAATAGCTTTTTTTTCATCAATGCATAAGCTAGTGCTAGTGTAAGTTTCTAAGACCTTGGTTTATCAGGAACTTCATTCGTTTAGAGTGGGACCTAACCCGAATGTACTATGACCTATTCGAAAAGATTTTTTGCGTGACTCAGTATACTAATTCAGTTGAATTTGGAACAAATTTAGTTCACGATGCCATGATAACCATGTGCGTTTGTGACTGAATATTTTGTTACGTTGCGAAGCAACCGCGAGTGGAGAATATTTCTAATGTTTACCCATGCATAAGAACTACAGTACGATTATAAAAAAAACTACAGCTCGACTAGTCACCCTAAGTCTCCATATATATTCTGTAAAATGAATATACGGGCCATCAATGGAGTGTGCGTCGTCTTTCCGCAGGTTTTCATAATACAACTCTGCACCGTACTCGCGCAGCAGGAGGGCTATTAATTTCCACGGAATAATATCGAGTAACGTAACGAGCTCAACCGAAAAGCGTGCTTCGCGCGATTTGTGTCAGCCAGAATTCGTAAAATCAACTACGGACTCACGCGCAATCCAACCTCGCTATATCAAACACTTAAGAGGCAAAGAACGTTTCGCATCCAGCAATGTAGAAATTCTGCGACTCGCTCGCTACCTTCATGGGCCTTTGAAAATAGTCGTCAATACTGTCAAAATCTTCAGTGAAAAATGCTACCCTGAGCATGTATTCAGCAAACAGTGAACACACGCCTCTAAAAAAAACACCAAGACATTAAGATCAAAACTGATTTATTAGTGCGAAGCAGACTTGATAAGGGGAATAAAACTATAGTATACGATTCAATGATTTCCACACGCATTAAAAGCGCTTAAAAACATAATCAGCAGAGCAGCTAAGTTACAATAGATAGGCAGACGTCCATAAATAGTAATTCGGGACCAAGTACCCGGCGTTGATAAAATGTAAGCTGCAACTCTCACAGTACTTTTCATAAGCAGTTTTGAAACTGACAATAACGAAAACTCAAGTGAAAGCGCCAAAAAAAGGCGCAGTATGCTCTCCAAGGTAGTCTGCTCGAAGACGGTGAAAATATAGGAGGTAGGTACAGTCCTCCATTCCATATGAACTACATGATCACGATTAAATAGATATTTTTTGGAGAAAATCATCTCGTTTTGAAACAAATAAATCATTGTAAGATATCAGTTGGCAAATCATGTATGTATGATTCAAGGTAAGGTAACAAATACGATAAAAACTTAACAGAAACGCAGTAGGTAAAAACATTCTGTACATAAAAATCAGTTGGATGTCAATGACAACTCCCCACGTGGAAAGTTATAGTGAACAGGAACACGGCAAACAGAACGAAGGAAAAATTGAGAGGATGGCAAATTGTTCAACTCTAAATGTAGTGGCTAAGCGGCGTTCTGTACGCACTACGGTCCATGTGTATTGGTACAGCCCATCCGAAGTTTACGACTATATATCGCTTAAACATTGTCAGCCGAATAAAATCGAATAAAATGACATCAGAACATATAGTTGAAATGCGGATCACCGCTTGAAGAATGTTCCTTCGAGATAAAATAAAAACAAGATAAAAATTTTCTTCATTTTTTCGGTATAACAGTATTCCTTCGGGAACTTTAGATATATTCAGCTGATGAGGGCTTTGGCTTTGGTGGGTTGTATGCGTACGGTCGTCTATCGTCGTCATCATCAGAATTCCAGGATGCACAACACATAACAGCTCCGCCTAACACGCTGATAACCATTGATATCTGGAAAGAAGTAGAAATTGTTATTCTCAAAACTGTACAGTGGAGTGACACAATGACACAGAGAACTAATGTTGACCCAAACTCAGTCAGCAAATATAATATGCAAATCTACTTTTGAGATATTGTACCTGCAATAAGTACGCAAGTACATATTTTTAATAGTGTAAGTTACATTATGAATAATGAGTTTTCCGACTCGAATATTGTACAAACGACTGATAACTAAAAACCAAGCATGAATTGTATATTTCTCAAGGAGGGAAACTAGTGAAACAAGCAAAATCGAGTTACGAATTCACTCGTAATTCTCATAATAAATTAACATTCTTGAAAGACTGTCTGATCGTGAACAGGTGAAATGAAGCAGAAAAATACTCACCCATCCGACAAAAAGAGCTTCGCCATAGACGTATCGAATACCGGACACTGAGGCGATAGGGTCTTGGTAATCTGCTAAGACATTTGCTGCAAACCACGAAACCGCAATACCCAGTGACACTCCAGCAATAACATGGCACACACCAGCAATCATGACCTTGAAAATGAAAATACATTCATCGGAAAGTGTACGAGTTAAAAAATTAAATTTAACTACTAGAATTACGGTTTCTAATCAAAGTTATTTAGAGGACGCAAATTAGTTGATATTGACATCACACGCTTCAGAAATATTGTCAAGTTATATAAGTTTGCAATTCGAACATATTTTTCAAGGTTTTTTGACAGTCTTATGGCAAGGCCCGGACATCACGGGAAATTATAACTTATACCTCGTATTTCCAACAGCCAATTATGGCACTTCTTGAAAAAACTCGAATTTTGTTTTTTTATGGCAAATAGGAAATTTCTGATTAACATTTCAATACAAAAATTAGACCCAACAGAATACTAGATTTTGCGTTATATAAAAATAAATATTATCTAATATTCCCAAAAAATATTTCATGTCTAGTGTCCTTACCAACGGATCAAACAGTTTTTTTTTTTTTAAGTGCTATTTAGTGGTAAAAATTTCCCCAAGTTGGAAATGACAGCAATCTCGTACAAATTTCATGGAACTTTTTGAAATACTGTGAACATAATTCGTTTCCATTTACAGTAAACCCATTCATTTTCATTGTGACATCATATTAAGTGATTTCACCAGAATTTCACATGACAAAGTGCGTGGGCCCATGAGGCTTTAGAAACGAAATTCTATCTTTAAAGCACTCCGTCACAAAATTTAGTCATTTTCCGTCAACCATGTCTCGTTTTTATTTCCGCACGAATGGCTTACAATCCGAGAGAATTAACTTGTATTTTATTCTGATAAGGAGGAGTGAGAGAATTTTCTTTTATATTATTATAACATCAGTAACTAGCCTTTTTTTTTCTTTTCAATGCGCAGAAATATGCGCAGAAGAAAATTGTTTCTATTCAAATGCGCACATTCATTACGTCATAAAATGAAATCTAAATGAGGTTTTGGGCAAATTTGTATAGAGGAATATTGGTATACAATGGAGAATATCATAGTTAACGACCCAAAATAGAGTTTACTCAACTAATTTACTGTCGCTTATGGTTTTATCATTTAAATGAAAAATCATATATTATCTTATAAGTCTAATAGCTACTAGTTTTAGTGAATTTTAAATATTGACTGTCGTAATAGGTCTGGAGCCAAATAATTTTAAAAAACTTCTTTAAATTATTTTTACCATTCTGGCTTTCATTTTAGGGTTGTCTGATGCAACTGTTGTACAATCGAGTCCGAATGTTCCCAGAAGGAGACCAATGAAACCCATAGCTATTGCCAAGCATGTCGTAGCTCTTGCACCCTGTTAAATACAAATTATAATACATATGCATTTTCATTCAGAGAAAAAATTGGAGTGAATTGTAGATTTTACACCAATGTATTTGACAAGAACGTTCAAGATTTTATTTTCCCAAAAATACGAATGAGAGAATATTCATAAAACTTTAATCGAAAGTTTGAATAAGTACTATTTTCCAATGAAAAATCGTCGTCTGTGGTACAATGTGAAATAAAGACAAGCCTGCTGAATTTCAATTTTCCTAGGACGCTTAACACCTACGAAAAAAAGATATATATACCTGAAGGGGGACGGGCAAACCCAAGAAAAACGAATCGTAGTCGTTGCAAGTCCAATGACCAGTTGCTTGGTGGGTGCACCTCACCCATAGACCAGTCGTCCGGATAATTGATTCGATAACCTCACCTTTAAAAATAATCATTTTGAAATAACTATTTTGTTCAATAAAATAAAAATATGGGCTATTGAAATTATAAGAGATATGACACTTTATTACAAAACGAGACCACGATAGACGCCATAAAACATCCTAATCCAGTTTTATTTTATTACTTTTGTAATATTTACATATTTAAAATTTTATGATACAAATAAAAGTGAAGTGATAAAATATAACAGTATTATAATTTTATTGTAATTATCACAAGCCAGGTCGTTACCCAGCCGTAAATAATATTTCGACAAATGTAATTGTCCCAACACTTTGCCGGCATGAACATCTATTTTGAACTCCTAAATAAGATAAATACCTTCTAAATCATTCTTTCTCCACGACGGCAGAGCACACGTGATGATTGCCATCAACCAACCAATAATAGTGACACCATATCCACAAACTTGAAGAGATCCGTTAACCATCTTGAGTTGTTTTATAATCTTATAATTGAACTTAAAAATTTCTTGTAAAAACTATCACAATTTTAACTAAAAGATTTGTTATAAAATAAGAATGAAGTTGTTAATCGTACGTTATAACAAATTTTAGATGGAATGGATTTACTTATTTATCCAGCGTGTAAAAATTATAAGACTTTCATGTCTAAAGAGCGTAGACAATTCAAGATCAAAATGAGATTTATCATATACTGCAAATTATTATTCGTAAAACACAAATCTTAACACAAGTACTTAAAAATCGCAAATCCGTTTCCATCCTTCTACGTAGAAAGCCTAAGAGCCCCACTCAGCATCGTTGCCTATCAACAACGCCCTAAACTCCTTTGTTTCGTCAAATCTTTAAGAAAAAATGTGACGGCAGTAATTGTTGTCGATCACGACACACTAAGCAGCACGACCGAGTCTAACTAGACTATATCCAAAAAATGAGACCCCCGTTTCCTTCGGACCCATATAAATAACAAAAGAGAGTCTCCGATATTCGAGCTATCTCACTCCCCCACAAAGGCCCGGATGACGAAAAGTGAGTCAAGAGGCACACTAGGGTGCTTACAACTTCATTAGACCGTAAACTGTTCAATTTCGCAACTCGTACTGTGTCTTTCTCTTCGTTATCCCAGACTAAATTATACCAGTTCGGTCCAGTAATCACATAGAACGCAAAAAGCTGGTTGGCAGTATACTTGTTATTATTATCATCATTATTACATTCCCCCTCTGTGATTGAATAAGTCGATCGCGTTAGCTGCGATATACCACTAGCCTATAGCATTGGATCATAGATGGAGCGTGTCAATGGGCACAATATTGTCATGGCCCAAAATTGACCAAAAGGGCTTCCAGTATAGCTAAAAATCACCATTTGAAAGTACTATTTTAATAGAAGATATTGATAACGATTCTATATATGATATGCCTTCAATGCGCCCCGCATAAGAAATGATTCAACCCTGATGTTCAATCTTATCGATTTCAAAAATGCCGAAAGCCAAACGTTTAAAATTACAATACAACCCATATAAAAACATCGCCTCCTCGTACTATCCACTAATACGGTCTAGTATCCGGTGCCAGCTTGATGGTCAACCAAGCAACTTATATTTTACGCTATCCACGCAAAATTACGGTTGTTCTGGCAAGACGGCGACGGCAGGATAATAAATACAACATACAGTGCCGTACAATTGTTTCTAAAAGCCCAAGCGTGCAGGCAATTTACAGGTAAACACCTTATTTTCAACCGCAGACCGTGTTTTCATTCAAATTCTAATACAGTAGCCTATATATCACAATAGTGAACTGGTAGAATCATGTTGAGACAGTCAGCTCTCCAGGCCCTGGGCATGGAACATTTCACTGGGAGCAGACTGCTCTCATTCTGACAACTGCTAAGACTAAGCCCAAAGCTCTCTAAACAATGTTTCTCTTCCTGACCGCACATATAAGATGAGAGACGTGATGAATTGGAGGTCTGCACAAATCGGGACTGCCGTTATTCAATCTATAACATAGGAAATTGTCGCGCCGTTATAAAGCAATTATTATCGCTCCCGTCGTCCTTTTTGTGTGTTAATACCATCTAAAGCGGCTCAAAGCGAGGGTAATCAAACACAAAACAAAACACTAATGATGTGGAAAACTCCTTTTATTTATTTAAGTAATCAAAGAGCAAATGAATGATATATCGTACAAGAAAACACGAAACAAATTCTTAAAATTGGGGCAAATTAATTATGGGAAGTAATAGTCTGGGAAGTAAAATGAACTAAGCAAAGTCTACCAAGGCTGGCTGAAATACCGTATGGTTCAGCAGTTTGAGTGCTGGTGTGCAAAGTAGCCAAGGGAACGCTCAGCTTGAAGTTACATCGAAGACTCATGATGCCATTTCAGTATCGGATTACGAGTAATCAACACGATCCTCTATTAATTTCCTCTGTCAGCATGAGTACCAGATGAGCAAACCGCAAACCTCAGCGATGCATTTTCATAAGTCGTTAAACAAAAGAATATATTAAATAGTATTCGAAATGCAGTTTTAATAATTAAACGGTATGCTTTTTCAATGTTGGTTTTATTCCTATACACGGAATACCGATTTCCATAAAACAGAAATATAACATTAAATTTGCTTATAATTTACATTCCATATTTGAATAGAGGTGTAGCTAATACTAATGTCTATGTGCATTGTAAAAACTGCAAAAAATCCCGGACTTCTTCAATAGTTCATTTATTGTTCAACCAGCACCATTGAGGTCATAAAATTTGCGCTCTACACGTATTCTTGACTATGTTTTGTAGCGGGTGGTCTGTAAGCATATCCTCTGGAATGGTGGTCGTCTTCGCTGTCGTCACAAGATGTACAGATAGCCAACAATCCTCCAAGGAAAAGCAGGGCTCCTCCTGCCCAACCCAGAAACAATGCTTCTCCGAACACATTCCTAAATTGCAAACATTTTCGATCAAAATCATGCGTACACCCGTATAGTGCTAGCATACGATACTAAATTATTTTCTTTATTTTGATCTTAAGCTCTATATATTACAATAGTATATATATATATGCTGACCCGTAATAAATTTGAAAGTAATTGAAAAAGGTTAGCGTGTTTAAAATTAAGGAATCACGGCAGCACGATTAGAGAGTTTTGACAAGTTGTTATTGTTAAAGTCTTATCACGTTTTCCCCAGACGACAAGCTTATGGTTCTGACAAATTTTGGTACCAGTTACAAAATTGAATATAAAATTACGACGTAGTCAATTTTTGTAAAATTGATTGCTTTAGTATTCGTCTGGACGTCTGGTATGTCCAAATAGATTGAACTAAGCTTTATGAAAGCGAAGAACGAAGGAGACGTGACGCCATTCGAAAAAAAAATAAATCAAAATAAAGTTAGACTAACGAAAGGTAGTTCAAAAAAAAAAAAAGTAGGTTCAAATTAACGCGAGTTCAGTAGCCCTGTCGCTTTGTGAGGGTTTTGCTTATTCATCGGAGATCAGGCGTATTGGGGGATAAAATGACGCCCACACCAGTTGAATTACAGCACACCCAATCGCTTTTTTACGTTCTATGCTCAAAATGTCACGAATGGAGATATGGTCGAAGTCCGAAATCAATAATGGGAAGCCAGTTGTAATAACACAAGGGCGGCTATTGATTGCGTTTAAAGATATGGGCACTTGAACAAAAATCATTTCAGTATATTACAAATTGGGAATACAGAAAACACTAATAATATTCGATCTCGATTTTACCTATCCTAACCTAACGAAGAGAGTATTATTGGTTAACATATAAATCAGGTATCGTCAAATTACGACCAGGATAGACATAGAGATTGAATTCAATTATATATTTTTGATAACGCACATTACCAACGCTTTTCCTTTGTGAAAATTGAATGGAATTTGATTTACCTAGTGACATTGGATCCACCTAGTTTTCTTGCCGTTTCCACATCGTATTCGAGTCTGATTTGATTCGCGTACCACGAAGCAGCAGCAATGATACAGAATCCTCCAACAATTGACATCGCGCCTGCCACCATGCGGATACGTCTCTATAAATTAGATTTTAATTAAAAGAAAATTATAAAATAGGATGTTAGCGTTAGGTAATCAATATTTGTTATACCCCGGGGCGTAAAGTAAATTATGTACAACTAGTAATTTTGAAATGAATGAAAAATAACGGTTTTATATATGGTTTGAGAAGATAACAATTTATCATTAAAATACCAGTTTCGGAAACAAAAAAATTGTCATTGAATATATTTTGCGAAAAATGTATTGATATTTGCTCACGTCTGTAAAATGTTTCTAAGAAATGAAAAAGTGACTAATTTTCGAAAGGAAAGTATCATGAATCCACTAAACTTGCTCATTACTCGTTGCGCGATATATTTTGAACGTATTATTGGAATTCGTGAAATACGGCTAATCAGATATTTTGAGCGAGCTCACCTTCATGTGCTTATTGTCAGATCCACATGGTACACTATCCATTCCCAAAACAATTGTAGCTGTTGCGGCAATTCCAAGTAATATAGCGGTCACACCAAAACCCCTAGCTGGAAACAAAATGTTATTGATTGTTTATTTACGGTTTTAATAAAAATACAAAAAATTGTCGAAACCTTTTTTACTGATATTATTGAAGATAGATGAAGATATTTTTTAGGTGTACAGTAGCAGACGACAAACCTTTTCTAATGTATTAATTCTATTTTATCAATATTTGCAAAAAAAGTTTGTGATAACGATAACAATATATATATATATTCGTATAACGTTAATCGTTTGTCGATGCCATTCTTTAAAATAATCTATGAGATCCGAATTAAAAAAAATCGATTGAGTTATTAAATATGCATATACCTGCTTGCAACATAGCTGGAAGTCCAAGAAAAAATTTGTTGAAATCATCACATTCCCAGTTTCCGGTGGAATAAGTCACACATTTCACCCATATTCCTTTATGCTGTAAATAATTGGTTGAAAAATTAGAAAAAAGTTTGTTGTGTTACTGTTTTCTGATAGTTCATCTAGTAACTATTCAGACAAGTTTTCTTGTAATATAACACTTTTGAATTGAATAGGTATAAGGTAATTTGAGTACTCTAGTGTCGAGTTTTCCCTTTGTCCAATTTTAGTCAAAACACACCTCTTATGATATTTGAGTATAAAGAATAAGACGTCGATTGAACCGTTTCAAAAATCATTATATTTGGATTTAACATCACAAAATGTAAAATTATATAAGATCAGGTAACAAAAATTTGGATATAAGAGAATAGTTAGAAAAATTACACTGCGATTCTCCTGCTATTTCATGGTTCGCTTATGACTTATAATAAGATGTGTTTTATCATTGATTTAATTTCTGCCAAATACAAAATAAAAGAAATGTCTTTATATTACTTACCCTTATGATGTTATCATTGACGGTATCTTCAGGATCATTCTTCTCCCAGTATGGAATTCCTACTGAAATGCATGTCAGGAGACATCCAATTGCAATACAAATAGTGGAGGCAATCTCAATACCAGAAGCACCCATTTTGCCTTAGTTAGTTTTTATCAAAATCAAATATATATTTCTTCTCAAATAAACTATAAAAGAGAAGAGAAATAATATTTAAATGTAAATAAACTTGAAAATTTTAAAACTATATAAATAATAAAAAACAACTAATAATAATTATACAAAATATAAATATAAAATAGTTTAGTTAGCTTGCTGACTACCTATTTCAGGTCGAATTTTGATTTTTATGTTATGAATGGAATAATTTTGTTTCCAATCATTCTTTGAGAAGGCCTAATTTTCAAAATCTGACTTCGAAACAAAAATTCTCACATAAGTAGGAGATTTCGTTTAATTTCATTCTGTGAACTTGTTTACTCTTCGAAAAGAGTTTCTAATCGACGTCGTTGCCAACGCCAGACCAGCAAACACCATTCTAAACACTGTATTCATCGAAATATATTCGCGCTTTCTAAGTGAATTGAATTATTGATGCATCATAGGGCATACACCATCATAGTTTATGTTAGAAAGCCTTTTTTCTTTCGAAATGATCATTTCGTAGTATGTTATACACTTTAACAATCATGGATCTTAGATAAAATACAGGTATCCTGTGAGTTTATTCATCGCCCATACTAGTTCAATATTTCTCTAAGAATGAGTGCGGAAACAGGAGAAAAGATGCCTTTTCAGTCCGCCATCTTGTTTCTTAACTCAATCCTATTGCAACGCTACCTCAAAGGTAACTAAGCATATGACTGCTTTGTCTCTCTCTATGGCACACCTTAAATCAAAAACCTTATCACCACGCATGCGCAAAATTTAAAAGAACGTACCCCCGGGCGATAAAAAACGATTTCTCGTCTTCGTTGTCGCAACATTGAGCCATGACTCGAAAAGAAATATCAAAAAGTACTTGGGAAAATAATTACGCTTCGCGGCTTTGTTGTTGTAATATCTTTCCATAATGACCCAGCTTTCTTCTGTAATTAACCCTCAACAGCACGTTTTGTTTGCTAATCAAGCTACAGTTAATTGATCCGAACTTTAAGGACTCGAAACTATATTTTGTGAAACGGTTTTCCAATTATTCATTATCACATTTCTTTGTCAAATTTATTCAACATCAGGATCTAAGTCAAGAAAAAACTTTTTACCATAACCCCATTTTAAAAGGATTCATACTGATATGTAGAATTGAACAAATCTAAAAGCAAGTAATGTTAGATTCAAATAAATTACCCTGAGCACCCAAATTTGTGAGATTCCGAATAAGTCTGGAATCAATACCTCAAATCACACGACACACAAGCGAAAAATATTTTTAGCATGCTATGAATTCTGTAAATAAACGTTCCCGGGGTTTTCATAAATTGTAAACTGCATTTAACTAACGTCAGTTGTAGAATATATTCAAGCACAGCAAACGTTCTCTATGTCTGGCAAAAAAAGACTTGGAATTATTCCACTTTTTGCCGTTCATTTTTTTTAAAAATAAGTAGATTTTGAAGTCTATGGTCGCAAAATCTAATATTTTATATTTAAATTTGAACTAGTTGTACAATAAAACATGCTTTGAATTGACATTAGAAACTGATCAATACTACTCAATACGTTTCGTGTTTTGTATTAGCAGAAGCATTTAGGCTTGCACAACAAGCAACTTGAATTTGAATAAAACATCAACCGATAATATTTGAGGATATCAATTTATCAAAGCAGTTACACGTTAAACTCAAAGTTTTTAATATATTGTAATATTGTAGTCAAACTGTCTTTTATAATATTAAAATTAAAATGCTCAAAATTCGGTTTGCTTTAAACACTTTTATTCCGTAGTTTCAAGGAATTATTCAAAATTAAATTTTTGATATAAAACTTTTTGTGATCGAGAAGATTTTATCAGCATAGCAACGAGTTAAGTCCAATATTGTTTGTGATTTTAGTTAATGTAGGATGTTGTGTTTTACATTCTCAGAATCATTAGAACTCTTATTTTAAACTCTAGTTTTCACCAAACCTGAATCGATCTTTGAAAGTGTGCTACATCCCTTTATCATGCTTGATCATTCGTAATAAATATTGAATTTGAGTAGAATAAAATTAAAGCTTTTTATCGCAATATTAAAATGATTACCAAATTAAATTTGCTCGAGGCTATCATGCTACACTGCTGTGTCTATGATTTACGTTGCCGCGTGAGAATTAAGTTTTACCTTTCGCTAAGCTAATTACCGCCTACAACTTTTTAAAGCAACAACTAAACACTTTAACGATAAGTTGCTCCAGGCTAATTGCAATTACCTTACATCATTATTAAGATTAAATGGATAGAATTTTACATAAAGTAAAAAGAGAAATCCCAATGTCTAGCGTGTTTAGAAGATTGAAATATGAACCGACAGTTATGGTGGCTTTCATTATTGTTTTCCAAATAATCAAATTGGTTTTGTAATCCTTTTTAATTCTAAGAATTACAAATATCAATGAATTTCCATAATGACCTAAATTGGTCGGCATGCATATTTGGGTAAAACAAACGTTAGAATACTTTTGAGATGCAGCTCGGCTAAACAGAAGAAATATAGTATTTCGTAAAGAGAAATATTGTCAAATAAATATGTTATACTAAAAACCCAATCCGTAGCGCAATTTCGATACTATTCATTCAACATCGGGACTGAGAACAAAAATACTGCAATTATAACACATCCATTTTTATATGCTTTTAATTCGTTATACCTCAGATAAAATTGACCAATACTGCAAGGTCAAAAGAAAAATTGAAACCATTGGCTTTGTGAGAAGTGCTTCTTTTGCAGAATTTGACATCTATTGTAATAGTTCAAAAGACAGAACCAATGAATGACACAGAACCGATTCAATCCGATTAAGATTTGGCATATTATTTTATACGGAAGTTTATATTCGTGTACGCCCACGAAACTTTAAGTAGATTTCAAATTATTGGACACGAGGTGGACTGCTTTACCAAATATTTGTTCAAGTTCTAAGTGATTCAAAAGTCTCACAATAACACCAACATATTTTTAAAGAGAAAATATATATCTAAACCTAACAAAGATATATATATTATTTGCGTTAGTGTACATCCACACTTTTAAATCATTTAGAATAGCTGTATTCACTTTGGGCTACACAATTCTTGCATTATTATATATTATGCATATTGTTCATGTTGTTGTTGTGTGGTTATCGGTTTTTTGACTACTGGATCAATCAAGTTTCAGTAATTAGCTGCAGTAGAAGTGCTCCCAGTAGGCTTCGACTTTATATATATATATGTTTTTTTTTTTATATTTTTGAGCTCTCTGGTGCCGGTTATTCTGCTCTAATTTCCTTTTTTTCAACACACTCAACCACCACGTGGATTTCACGTGGTCTCTACTTATGAGTTACAATCAATCAGACGATTTACAGACGAAGAAGATGAATAAAATTACTTACGAAAGCGAGTGAATTTATACTTTTATAACGTTCATACTTGATGATAATTAAGTATAAGTCGCATGATATTTGAGTCACATGATATCAAGACAAAATAATGGATATTTTTCGAATAACATTGAGTCATTCACGCTCGCGGCGTTTATTTTCTATTTTTATGTTTTGTGAAACTAGTGTCTCGATGTATCAAATCTAAGATCTCAGTTTTACTTCCAAATACGGTTATAGGTTATCAATATATATTGTGACGAAATGACGACAAATTTTAAAAGAATTTTTGAATAAAATTATACATTTTATTGGAAATCGATGGGAAAGGAAATATAAAAATCGTAAAATACCTGCATAACACTGGATGTTTCTCTATCTGTTTTTGTGTATTCTTATATCTTAATCTTTATTAACATAAGAGCGCAATGCTGATAAATGGACACGGAAGTACCGGTACTGCAGGTCTGCGACCGCGAGTTTATATGATTGGCGTCAAGCAATACAGAAGCGATCGAGCAATACGGATTAAAATTTATTTCTTTTTAATTAATTGATATAGGTTTTTGAAGAAATATCGGATGTCAAAGAAAATTTGATAAATAGAAGTCTTATAGAAATTTTTCCATTTTTGAGGACTGTAAATTTGAGATTAATTGTACATTAACAGTGAAGAATAGCGATTTGTTCTCAACGACAACAATCAACCCTACAACAACCAAAATAACAACACCAATAGCAAATCGATCCATATGAGTATTTCGTGTCCAATAACTTTATAACAGACTATTAGTATATTGTAAATGATTAGAGTTAATAGATATTGGTATATTATACTTTTTCAGCGGCTTTGAGTTTAAGCGTTTGTACTTTATACAAATCCCACAGACGAGCTCATTATATATTGTATGAGAAAAGCAAACGTTGTAACAGCATTGATAAATTTCAAATCATTTATCAATTACTGAACTAACCAAATAATTCTGACAACCCGTTTGACCACTTACAAATATAAATTATAGTTGGAATTGACAACATCTACATTGAATATCCGTGTAAAAAGATAGCGTCAATAAAGTTTTCAAATCATTTTTAGAAGCATAGAAATAATGATATGAAAAAACTGACTTGAGTTTATTAGTTTAAAACCCAATCAACTCTCTGTGGAGGTCTCTCAATGCGCACACCAATTCAGCTCATTTTCCTCGGCTCAGGTCTTTTTCGCCCGCGACTTATCCCCATATATATTTGACACCGCATCTCTATTTTTATCATCCACTTGTTTTTATAACTTTGAATGCATTAGGATTTATAGCAAAATAATAAAAAAAGCCTGACCGCATTACAACCAACGGCCAAATCTCTTCAATATTTGTGGGAAGAATTTCACATTGTTAAATTTTAGAAAATCACCATAAGAGAAAAGATTTGCACTCCAAGTAATACCTGTAATATTTTTATTGGTAAAAAAACATTACATTTCAAATATATTTATTGCATAATAGTTATAACATTGTGAACATTTCATAATCATTTGTTCGGGCGTTTGTTTTGGAAATCAATTTCTACCAATGTGGACATTGTATAATAGTCGTGGAAATCCATGTGTCCAGTTAACACAAAATATATCTGTTTTCTGATAATCCTCAAACGTATTCTTCGTCTCTTTTGTATACTGTGTTTACCTCAGGTTTATAAACGTAAGGTTGTCTTCGCAAATCTTCATCTTCTTCTTCGCAACTCATGCATAAAGCAAGAATACCACCAAGTAGATATAAAGCACCACCAGCCCAAGCTATAAACAAAGCAGATCCAAAAACGTACCTGAAAAACATAAAAACAATAAGAATATAAAAAAAAAATAGAAATCAAAACTGACTAAAGAGCTCTATAACAAATCTTTGATATTTGTTTTGGGAAACAACGAAAAAACAAGATAGCGATGCTAAAATATTTGGACGCGAAAGCCAAAAACGAAGTAATATGTGTATGCAATATGTGACTGTAGACTACCGGTACTGCAGTCTTCATGACTTCGCCTGACCACCAAATTGCAACTAACGCGGAACCACCACAAGAGGCGCAATATTATATGACGTCATCGCACATAAATAAAAACATAAGTTCATTTCGTGTCCAACAAGTAAAATAATTTAATTTGGTCTCACGTTGTACTGTTAGACATTCGTCCAGTGAATTCCATCATTTGTTGACGAGTGTATTCTCTATGAATATCATGTGCATACCAAGACGCAGCAGCTATTATACATAATGATGAAAGTAAAGAGAGACAGCCAGCAATCAATCTAGACCGTTTCTGAAAAAAAAATACATTTGTCTCGATTTATTTTAAACTATATTATAGTGTGAAACTACGCATCTATAATTTAGAAACATCATTATTATCTACTGATATTCGTAATAGCTTGTTTGTTTATATTGTTTTGTTGGTAGATTAAAATAGCCTTATGGGCCGAATTAAAATTTTACTCTACATATTCATTGTTGTGAAATTTGAATGTCAATTTCATGAACATTTATAGTTTTTTTTTCTATTAAATCACAAAATATGTATCAAAATAATATAATATGAGCATTAAGTATTAGAAACACATTCAAACTTTGGGCGAGCTTTATTTGAGCCAAACGCTTTGTTACCGTTTGATAGAATGAAGCTCCACATATTCCCTGTTTGATGGAAAATGTTATCATGATAAGTCCGACCAATCCCAAAATCAATGCACTGATGCCGAATCCTCTTCCTGCAAAAATATAAACAACATACTACCATGTTATACTGGATGTTAATGACTAAAACAAATTGATTATAAGTTACATTAAACATATATTTTTTCGCATTTTGTCGCTTGAAATGACTTCATCGGAAAAATGTTGACATTGATAATTGCAGAAACGGGCAATAAAATACGTTAAGAAAAGCTATTTGACGATTAGGAACAATGCAGACGTGTTTATATATCATTCTACTATAAGTTCAGTATTTAGTTCTAGTTTTATTCTGCGCCATAATGGGGGTCGTATGAAACCCAAAACAAACGTCGAAGTTTGAAATCCCGGAATACCCTTGATTGCAGATAGCTGTAGACTCACAATGTCGCTTGCGATAATGATAGAAAATTCTGACTTGCCTGGTTCTGACTTTTGATTTTGAGTTGTTGAATTGAAAGAGGTATTGATAATTAGCATTAGCTAATACCTATACGTGGGGCATGATTCATTTCGGTGCAAAACAAAAAACCAAAAAAAATTGCGTCAACAAATACTTTATTGCTTCGAGTACCGAAAAGCACGGATGCTTTATCGGGAGAGTCCGTAATATATTATATCAAAATACTATATTTTGGACTTACGGTCGTTTGCTACGGAAGAAGTGAAGTTTTTTTAATAAAACTCCGTTGTACATAACCCGTTAAGTTTTTACACATTTTTCGCATAATTTCAACTACATATTATTACTGAAGTAAATGACGTAAACTCGTCGAATCCGAGTTACCAAATGCGCAGATTTGACTCAAACTCGAATCTAATTCATCCCTCAGTAAAAATATGAAAATAATGCTTAAATTTATGTATGTACCTGCTTGCAACATTGCTGGAAGGGCTAAAAAGAATTTTTGGTAGTCATCACATTCCCAATTTCCTGTTGAAAATGATGTACATTCGATCCATAGACCCATATGCTGCGATTAAATTGGTATGAATTTTAAAAAAAACATAGCATGTTTTTAAACATTAATCAGAATATGTCATTTTACCAATCCATTATCGGGTAACTTAAATTTTATATATATCGTTATTTATTAGTCGCAGTCCATTTATTTGATTACAGATCAATCAAGCGTTTTATACTACCAGATCTAAACCAACTCAATCATATCTGCTATATATGACATTTTGAATAGGACAAAAAACGATTTTCAATGAAACTATTCCAGAATCGTCATACCTGAGATATGCTATCATTGATAGTGTCGTCAGGGTCATTTCTTTGCCAATACGGAATAGCAACTGCGATACAGGTGAGAATCCATCCACCACAAATTGCTAATAGGGATGCAATACCTACTCCTGATGCCATATTTAAAAATAAATTCTACACTGTAAAAACGAAGGCAAAACAGGTAAAACTATTTGCCTAATTGTGTATGTTAGGTAGTATTTCATTTTTTTGTCCTTTGAATCTTTTTTTAACCAGTCCGTGGAGATTTTTCACTTCAAACTCTAGGAGTATGGTTTCTAATTAATACTTTACATATCCCACAATATTGCCAACTTTTTTTCGAGAGTGACAGCATTCTTCACCTTGTAGCTTAAAGCACTACTTATTTTAGATCTGTTCAAAGCATCTACCTGCTTTTCATACAATTCATATCTAACAACTTATGTCCATATCCCGAACCTCATTCCAACCATGTCTGATGCGCAGATACATCTGGCAACGGTTAAATAATTCATACTGAACGACTGCAGGTACATTGATCACCATGAGAACGATTAAAAACAATTTGAAACACTGCGCATGTGAATTCGCCCTAGGCTACAATGTTGTATACTGTTACAAAGATGTGGTAAATTTGGTTTATATGATCATTGATTCGGCTATAACATACAGCGCCGTTGGCAACGTAAAAAAGAAAGTGAAATTTACGCACTTGTGAATCAGTCAAATCCACCTTTAAGAAGATGCTCAAATCACATATGCCTCTGGCAGATACAACACATTACTTTATAACATTATCGCTTTGTCATTTCCGTGAACAAAACTTCGTTCCAAACGTTACATTCATGATTGAGTGTAATTTGTTAAATGTTGATCGCGCGTATAACATAAGTTTTTCTCTACAATAACCTTGAACACAAACAAGCGGATAAGCAAGCCAGTAGCTTCGTGTGAATGAAGCAGGCTTCAGTCGCACTGGCGAAGATTATGAACGGGAATATAACGGATCTATTAGATGCTGCAACTGACTTATCCCGTAGCCACGACAGTTAATTGGACTGAATTTTTGAACTCAGGCGGTGGCGAGACCAATTTTAAAAATTACTTGCCACCAACAACTTTCTCCACCGTCCGGTTCCGTGCATCTACAACAGCTGACTAGTACCGTAAAGGCGTAAACTACTATTCTTATATCTGTTTTCGACCAGTATGACTTTTTGTTCTACCTTCCTTAACGGCCGAAGCTCCTCTGTAACTATTTGACAAATGAACTCTGGGGGCATGACAATTTTAATAGCACAATACATTTATTACTATTTAATGCAGCAAGAAAACGACATAATATTACAACATTATTGTTAATGAAACAATTATACTATGTCATGCTGAGAGAAAAATATCCTTGAGTTAATACAACAAGTACATATATATATATTTATAAGCCTAACCTCATAATTTTTTGTGGTCGTCTATTAAGAAAGGAACATTCAATATGGCAAAAACTATATAAGATGAAATCCCAAGAAAATTTTTTTGTTCCATCCGGGTACTGGTGCATAAATTTATTAGAATGCTTTAAAAAAATTTATGGTTTTTGATAAATTTTTAAGCAGAATTCTGTTCATTCCATATTGGCGAAATATTATTGAAACAAGAAAAATTACGCATTCTATTCGGAGTGTGTTGAGAATTGAGAGTAAAAAGGATTTAATCAATTGTAATTGAATTTGCATATTCAGAAAATAACATTAATTCAATATTGTGGTAAATAATCAGCAGAAATCGTAGTATTTGGCATTTGTACTTTCCAACACATGCTTTGCAGAAAAGATTGCTCTTTGCGCCAAGTATACAAAATTTCTAAGAATATAAATAAGGTTATACATAATTTTTTATTGAATAGACTTTTCAAGACTTTTATGAATACCCAGTATTTTTCGAAAAGTTTGACTTCAGTCAAATCTGAATGTCTTAACTTGACAACTTTAAAAAAAAATAAACAACCATAGCTTTACACAGTTATTACATCCACAGTTTTACCCACAGTGAAAGCACAAAATAATAGAGTAGTGATGAAGAAGTTAGGTATGAGTTTTAATTATGAGCAGAGCCTATTAAAACAGAAAAACTAATTCTGCTCTATCAATGAAAACAATTTAGCTTGTTTATTTATCTACGGATACTCGTGCACATTTACAGCTACTTCGATATATAATAAAATATAGATTTTAAATTTTCTTATAAAATATAACATAATAGGGTATCATAAAAAATCTGAAATTATGGCAATGAAAAATAAGAAGCTGGTCATCTATGTCTATGAGATAGAATAAAAAATTATCTGAGTTAGTCAGAATATGTGATACATAAATACTGTACATTTACTAATCGTTTCTATCGTCATATCCTAAATATTTTACCAAGCTTGCTGATATCACACAGGAGACCACCAATACTTGGTTGAAGTGAATATTCGTTTGCATTGAAAAAAAATTTGACAGGTATTGGAACCATGTTAAGCAGCAAATGTTTTCAAACTTAAAACAAAGTGAGAAAACACACATTACCACCTTCACAGTAATATCATGATGGAAATCAAATTTAATCAAGCATTTTATTAACGAATGCCTATATTCAAATGGTTAGGTTCTGTCTAGGTTTTGACAATTTCAATGGATATATTTCGTAGTAAAATCAAGACATTTGACAAATTATAGCTAAGAAAATTGGGCGCTCCCGTAGTATGTGCACCAAGATGGTGGAAACGTAGTATGTGTACCAGGTTAAGCCATAATTTTATTCCATTTTTACTTACTTTAGTTCTATTACGAGTTTGGGGACTAGCCAAATGACTCCCGTAGTATTTGTACCTGAAATACAGCCTAACCCTAACCTGGTACACATGCTATGTTCCGGTGTCCGCCATCTAGGTGCACATACTGCGGGAATACAGTAATTGGCCTATATCATTAATTATGGCAACCCACTTTCACATTTATTACTACTAAAAAGCAGTTAATGACAATTTTAGAAGCGTCATGCAAAATATTTGAACTATCCATGTCATTGGTGTAAACTGGTAAGAAAACCTGTCTAATAAAATTTGTGAAAGTGTGACACAAAACTTCTGCACTGTATCACAACTTTGCTGAAAAAATGCCAACTTTTACTTAAAAACAATACCTTAATTGATTCAATTCAACAGAACCAAATTCTTTGAATAAAATTCAGAATGCAACATCCTATCATTTCTTTATTAAAATGTTGTTGAGTAAATAGTGAGGATGAGTAACAAAAAATAATTTTTAGACAGTGACAAATAAGATAATAATATATTTTTCTAATACTGGTGTCGTTGCGAATTTTGAATTGACATAATTAGTCTTTGTAGTTTCCTCATACGATATGCATCAGCTCGAGATTGTTGTCCAAATTTTCTCTCTTGCATTCGTCGTTTTTGAGTTTCTTCGCTCTTTTGTCTCAACCAACGTTTGTAAGCTTTGTCGCATTCTTTCCGATCTCTGTTTCCAAATTAACAGAAGAAAAGATTCAGTGAATTGAAATGGAAAATTTGAGTAAAAATTACTAGTTGAGCCAAGTTTCTAACTCTCACTCAGCCATGTGGCACATTGTGCTAAGCATTAGGAATACGCTCGCTACCGCATCTCTGTGTGTGTACCCTTAGTGTATTCGCAAGTTCGAATCTCGTGGGGGATAAGCTGGGCTCCGATGCGTGGACTTCCAGCCAGCATATGGCGAACCATAGCCTCTCATTCGTTTCCAGTCTATGTCAGGTATGGGATAAGTTGACCAGTTATTTGTTTTAGGTGCATAAAATTAGTAAAAAAGTCAACATTACATACTAACAAAATTTGGCATATAAGTATATTTAGTACCTGGAGGGTAGAGGAAAACGACTCCGAGCATAGACAGGCAGGGGGAAAGCGATGAGCGCTGGGTTTGAAAAACCCTGAACTAGTTGTTTGATTTTAATATCGATACATGAGCAAAGTTGTAATACCTTCGATACCATCCTCCATCAATTTCCAGTTGTCTTTGTTGTTCGACCAGTCGATCTTTTTTGGTTTGCTTTCTTTTTTCACTCAACCATAAAGCATAAGCTTCATCAGCTTCCTTTTTGGAATCCTGAATTGATTTTAATTCAAGTAATAAATGTGGATATCTAAATTACAGAAGTGTTCAACCAAGAAAAGTACATAAGAACGTAAATGAATATAATATCGCTCAATCATAATAGAATAATTTTTACAAGTTTGATTCGAAAAATAAAAGTTTATACTAGAAGAATAGTTTATACTGTAAAGTGCACCGGGTTAAAAAGCGCACCATCAATAAATTGCTTAGATTGGGGTTTTGACCCAAGGTCATATGACGCAACCGGTACTGCTACTGGTTTTCAGTGTAAACAATAAAGCATGAAGCACTACCTGATCCACACATCAGGTGCATCAGCTTGTAAAGCGTAATTTTTGAGAAAAATGGATTTAAAGTGCGCCTTATGGGCCATAAAATACCGTAGGTAAAATTTTACTCTTTAAAATTTTATAAAATTTATTATTTTACTGTAAAAGGGAAAAATCTAATGAAAAACTAAAAATTAATAAAAGACAAAAATGAAGACAAATTTACAATTAAATATTCTTACATATTTAACTTTTTTCCTTTCCTTTTCTTCGTCTTCCAATCTTTTCCTTTCTTTCATTTCTTCGTCTTTCTTTTCAACCCAACATTTCCAGGCATATTCTGCATTTTGTTGGTTTTCTTCCTGTTTCTGTTTTTCTTGTGCTTTCTCCTCTTCCTCTCTCGCAGCTCGAGCTGCAGCACGTTTTTTCATTAATTCTTTCATTTCGGGAGACATTGCATATGGACTCTTAAATATTACAATATAAGTCTAAATTACATTGGAAAGCAAATGATTCAATTTGTATTCAAAACAGAATTTTTTTCATAATTCACTCAAAATGAGGTCATGCACACTCACTCAGAAAGAGTAAAGGAGACTGTTCTCTAAGCGAAATTACAGGTAAACACTTGAGTGATAAAACTGGGACTATGTGAAATTATGGGCTATGAGAGTGCATTATGCACATGACTCATGTGTGGCGCATCGTACCAAGCGTTAGGAATGCCACAGCACCTCTGATTACCCAGGGTAAGCTCGCTGGTTTGGAACCGGTGGGTGATCATAATGTGTGAGAGGATTACTGTGGCTCGGCAGTGTGGTGCACCGTGCTAAGTGTTAGGAATACACTTGCCTTTGCACCTATGATGAACCTGCATGGTTTCTCACATTCGAATCCTGTGTGGGGTAATTATATGCAAGAAGATTGCTGAACTCTTCGCCATTGTAGCGTGGGTCATGTGACCCATGGTCGGTTACGATTTTTTCCACCATCAAGCCCATGCATCCGAAACAAAGAACTGTCCAACTAACTAATCTCATACCCGGCATGGACTGGCAACAGGCTGATAGGTCGTGGTTCACCATATAATTATTAAGCCATCTTATTGTCTTTCCTCTTCCCAGGGATATATATTTAATTCCTGTTCTGTAAAATCCTAGTAAGTTCTGATCCAGGAGACTTGAATCAATTCAATAGGGTCAGGAAAACAGTTATAAAAAAGTGAATTCCACATAAAAAAAATGATATAGGGGTAACTAAAAAGAAAAGTTTGAATTATATTGTTGTCAATTACAATATTTTCAGAAAACCAAAAGACAAACTTATCAATGCAAACTCATACATGGCATCCTTTTCGAAAAAAAGGGTTTATTCATTGTGTTACAATTGAAATACCTGTTCATATGCTTTATTAACCTTTAGATGGGTAGAATTAGCTTTCGACTTTGTCAGGCAAAAACACTATTCCCAATATATTAAAAAATATTGATTCCTGCCAAGTCATTAGGGTTTGTTTATCAATAAACTATACTGCCAGAAACTGGTCATAAACTCCATTTTTATTGCCCTATTACATAAGAATCAATGTGTAACATAGGCTTAAACCTTGACATGAGAGATGAGCCCAAATTCCCAAACCATAAATCAATCAAAAATATCATTTGTTTGCTTTACACAGCCTACCCAAACAAAGTATGTTTGAGTATGGTGCTTCAACAGCAATAAAACAAAAGCTGTGTCCAATAATTACAAGTAATTTGAGTCACTCGGTAAACATAATAGAGAGTCATCCTAAAAAGTAAACATGTGAGTTAAGGATTAATGGTAAACAATTCTTGGCAGAATTATCCAGATAATATTTTTCTCTTTTTCATATGACAATATTTACCGTATTCATCATTTATCACAACTTAAAAATAGATAAAGTGGTAGCATCTTCAATTAATTTTTCTAATTGTTCAACTCATGCAAACTTCAGAAATAAATAGGATTTGATTCACATCAGTGATTGTATTGGCCAAAAACACTCCGAACTAACTGTGTAAAAAATTTGAAAATAAAATTTGCTTCAAATTAAATTACCTTGAGATGAGAAAATTCATTTGATTTAGATGCAGATCCAGGTCTTGGTGTGGATTGATGGTTGCTCATATTTCGTGATTGTGATACAGGAGCAGAGTTTGGTCGTTTCTTCGGTTCTTGGAAACTTCTGGGAGACTGATAACTTGTTGCAGGTTTTTCTGGAGTGAATTTAGTGCTGGACGATGGATTAGAATTGATAGTTTGTTTATCGGAACTGCTTATAAGTTGAAATTTTCCGCCTCTTTCAACAACCATATCTTTGTCTTTACTTTCTTCATCTTCACTTGATGAACTTGAGCTTGAACTACTACTTGATTTTTTCTTTGATACCGAGACAGATTTGCTGAAATTCACAACACATCTTCATTTAGCTTAGTGTGATACAAATTCGGTCTAACAGAAAACATAAGCAATGTAAATATTTATATTCAATATGATGCTGTTAGAAAGCAGTTTCACCTTTAAATTTGTGTCTTTTGTTAGATTTATTGCTATGGATGAATAATTTATAAGTGAGGTCTAAATTTTGCTGCACACATAAACTACAAGTTTGATATGTGCTAACAAGTTTGGGCGCTCCTGTAGTATGTGCACCAAGATGGCGCACAACCTGAACCAAAGCTGGTACACATACTATGTTCAGGTTGTGCGCCATTTTGGTGCACATACTTCTGGAGCTCCCAAGTTTGAAACTACTGCTTGACAGAAGCTATTATTGAGAATGCACACAACTGCTGGTGCATATCGTTTTCAATTCGAAGTTTGCTGAAAATCTAAGTTTACATGCTTCTGTGCTCAGATATTTGTCATTGTTTATCAAAAACAGAAAAGATTTCCGAATCTTGCAATTGCATTATGTTGTACATTCTGAACGACGCCAGGATTAAGTAAAATTAATTGACAAAAAGGAGGCTGGACAATATATATACAAGCACAAAACACTCGCTGCACACTTTGTCCTCTTTAATGGCACACCGGTGTGACGCGACACAGTTTGGGAACGCCTAGATAGAGTATTTGAATCAAATCCAGAATACCGAATCCTATTCTATTTTCTAGTGATTTTGAAAATAGTTCAATTCTTCCACGACATTAAAATTTTAGATTGAAATTTCTAAGCAAAATAGTAAAATCATTTTAGTGTCTTTGTATTTAAATGAAAATATCTTGAACATTGAATGTTATTTGAAGCCAAACAGGCAACAAAGACAATACATTTGCTGTGATATATAAAGTTTTAATTCAAATGAAATTCAAAAAGAAATGCTGATGTTTTTGATATTTAAATATTCAGACAATGAGAAATTGTTAGTTGGGGTTACACCTAAACACACACAAATAAAATATGATACATGATACCTTGTTTCATCCTCTGAATCACTAGAAGAAGAAGAAGAAGCGCTACTATAATCATAAGGTGGAGCTTCAACATCGACTAATTTTTTCTTGAACATAACTTTAACTTCACGAGATGAATCGCTATCATCAATTTTCTCTAAATCAGCATTTGCCTTCAAAAGAATAACATAAAAAGCAATTCAATTGGTTGATTTTCTGATTTTTTTGGTAACTATTCAAGGATAGGATATAGATATTTATCAAGGGATAGAGGAAGCAGATAAGATGGCTTAATCATATGGCGAACCATGGCCTCTCGTCTGTTTACCAGTCCACGTCGCCTGTCTAGTATGGAATTAGTCAGTTATTTGTTTGAGATTCATGGACTTGATTGTAGAGGAGGCCGTAACCATCCAGTAGTTTCGTCGAGCACCCTACAGCGGCCAGGAGTCCGGCAACCCTCTTGCACAAAATTATCCCCACTGGATTCGAACCTACGAACCCACGCAGGGTAATCAGAGGTGCAGTAGCAAGCGTATTCCTTACACTTAGCACGATGTGCCACACAGCCCAGCTTATGTAGCACATAGCCGAATGAGATGACGACTAATGAGGCATCTACTGTACCTTGATTGTTAACTTAACCTGAACTGCCTATTAGATCTGGCAAGTAAAAGCGAATTCGGACTTCAGTTGCAATGAAATGTTTAAAACTGTTCCAAACAATGAGACATTGTCGCAGTAAACACTAGCAGTGATGATTACCGTATATACTAAAATGTAGTTGGGGCAACTCACTTTAACAGCCATCTGCATTTTAGGCCAATAGAAGCCCCGACTATAAAATTAGGCGCTTTAGGGCTTTCAGAACTTAGTACTTAGCGCCATTGGTTGGGCAATGCTAAAATAAGATATCTTTACAAAAATTGTATTTTTGATGAAAAATGAAAGTGGAGAGAATATAAAATGAACACCATTGTATCAAAACTTAATACCAAAATTATAGTCAAATTTCGGCATGTTTTCACTGTTTCACTTCAAAAATTTTCAGGGGTCAGAGTCAAAACTTTTCCTAATCTGGAGTTGATTCAAATTTTACCCAATTCAGCAGCCCTGGCTCGTAAGACTGTTTGCGATGTGCGGTTACAGATATACAATCCCATTCGATTCAATCACCTTACTTTAAAAGGTCCTAATCTGACATCTAATTTTATAAAAGTTGATGAGAAATAATATAACCTTCTCTAGTTTATACTTGAGGTCATATTCTTCTCTGTCTGATGCATCATTGAGTAGAGTATTTCTCTCGAGTATTTCTCTTTCAACAGGAGTTAAACCATCATCCTCATCATCTGTGTCTGTATCTGTGTGATGAGTATTGTCTAGAAAGCAAATAAGTCAATAAAATTTAGGAAAGAATGAATATACATAGAATTTTATACAGAATTCTATACAGGCTCGGCGGTGTCGCGCATTGTGCTAGGCGTTAGGAATACACTTATCACCGCACCTCTGACTACACTGCATAAGTTCACAGGTTCGAATCCGTGTCACTGTGGCGCGCTGGCCGGCTACGGCTTCTTCCACCATCAAGTCCATGCTTCCAAAAACGAATACCTAATCCCATACCCGACATGGATTGATAACTGGACTGAGAGGCTGTGGTTTGCCATATGATTAAGCCGTCTTATCCTCTTTCCCAGGATAAATTTTCCTAAATATACCTATCCCAACAGTTGCTTATTTGAACACGGTCATCCTAGTCTATAGCAATATCCAGTGGTAGGATTTGGGAAAGCCCAATATTTGGATGTTGTGATAATCAGCATTTCGATCTTGTTTTTACAGCTATAAGATCTAGGTCATCTTTTAAGAAGATTGTTCTACTGCAAGATGAAAGTCTTAGTGTAAAGCTGGTTCCTATTCATATATGTTCGCGACCACATCTCTGATTACCTTGTGTGGGTTCGCAGGTTCGCTGACTTTTCCAAAAACGTTCATTAATTGAAAATCTTCAAGTGAAAAGCTAAGTGAGCAACTTATAAAAGACATAAAAGCAATATATTACTTTCTTACCATCATTGGCTGGTTTCTGAGGTGCGGGAGGCTTTGGATCTGCCAATTCTTTTTCACTTGTGTCAGGTTTCTATCAGATAAATAAATAAATAATTAGTTGATTAATGATGATGTTAGTAGGTGGCTTGTGCAGCATATCTTTATTAGGACTTAAATTTTTGTATCATTTTCATACAGAAAATTTGTTTGATTTGATATTATCAAAGCATGTTTAAGGCAAAGGCCATGTTTAAAAATAAACTGTGGTGAATACAGGGTAGAAAGATCGGTTCTCGTGTGGTTTCGTACCCAACGTACCTCTAGTAGGCGTAGCATAAAAATATTTTGATATGTCAATCCTAACCCCCATCTGACTTCGCCATTCAAAAAATATGTCACTACGACATCACAATCACGCGATATAGCTTGCCAAATATATGTACGATCGCCTGAAATGACATCGGCGCCGACGATAAAGAACTGACGGTGCTCCCGAAGTATGTGCACCAAGATGTCGCATACCCTGAACCCAAACCTGGTACACAACCTGAGTTCAGGAATCATAGTGACAAGAAAACGAGAGAAATAGTAGTCCGATTTTGGGTGCTCGTCTGCGTTGGTTGGATGGCAGTTCGTATGGTTTAAAGGGCTCTATTACGTCGTAGTGACGCAATTTTTGAATGGCGTAATCAGGTAGGGGTTAGGATTGACACAAGAAAAAAAATGTGATGCTACGCCCACTAGAAGTATGTTAGGTACGAAACTACATGAGACCCGAACGAATCCGGCTTTTTTATAATTTATTGCATACCGTATTGTATAGGAGTCTAGTACATATTTTCATCATGGTAAAAAATACAGTTATTCGATCAATACTACCATACAGTACGGTTCAATCTGCAGATCTGTCAATACGAAGTTGTATAATGCTGTTCAATACCGGTACCGTACCGTACTTTCAAACTTTGTTGTTAAAATAACAAACATAAATAAATAGAGTGATACTAATACAGTGATATGAACATACAGACATATATATTTACAGTTATTAAACGTTTATCATTACGGTTAACTATTAAACGTATATCATTACAGTTAACTCTACAAATTTCGTGCATTTCTGGATTCAGAATTACACGTGACTGCATGAAGAGAACATAGATTTAAAATCTCACCGATTCTGAAACATCTGCGTCATCCTCGATCAACCACTCTAAATCGTCATCAATATTTTCGGACATATTCCCACTTTCAGTCGTCTTCGGGGGTCCAAATATGGCTATATTTCCAAAATATATAAAACCTCGACAAACCGCCCCGAGTGACTGCCTAGGCTAATTATGGACCTCTGTCAAGTGATTCAGCAGCACCAAAGTGACTATAAAAGCAGCACGAAGCGCTGCGCTTTATTGTCTCCAATGACAGCAATGTTTTTACATGCTTCAATACGTATAGTAATTTGTGGGTAATTTTGAACAAAATGCGATTGTGTATGTTGCAGTTGTTCCCCGAGGCAACAACTTTTGAACTGTTTTCTATACGAAATTACTGGGTGAAAATAACGTGAAATTATATATAAAATATCTTTATAATTGAACTTAGTGCGTCCACGGGTACTTATAAATCTCAGATTTGAAGCCACCCTGCGGCTATAAAATTGGGACGAATAAATTAGGCCCTACAGCATTAATATTATGGCAATTAGTATGGAGAAAGCCCATATCTTTATGACTGATATCGACCATTCATATTGATTTATACATATTTATTGTTTCCCCGAAAATAAGACCCAGCCTGAATTTTAAAAATGATTTTACCCCCCCCCCCCTCCTCTTAAAGTAGGACAGTAGGACCTAGTCGATAGCGCACAATTTTTTTTGACCTAGTCGATAACACGAAATCTTTCCTACTCGTTTTAAAGGAATAATATTCTATGTTTAATCCTGCGTTGGAAACAATGCGAGACTGCAGGCGATGGTTTCGTGGCTAATTCTGCTGCGCGTTTCTTATCTGTTACAGTGGTTGAACGTATTTATAGGGATAATAAGACACAACTAATGTTTAGCCATTGTTATTGCCTTCTCGATTTCAAGTGTCTCTAAGATCTGAAAACTTGAAATAGCTTTCTCTATCAGGTAGGCTATGGGAGAAAACGATTTTTCCAACACCAACAACCTCCAAAAACAACAAGAATTTAGCTAACAATCTATATGAACAACTCGTGAAAAATAAACAACAAGGAAGTTCATACCCGTGGATAGATCCATTACATTGTGATCTGTTTAGTTGTTATTAGGGCGATTGGTGAACAGCACTGCGTAGCCGTTTTACCATTGCCCCTATGTTTGTGATCTATTTTATCATGAATTTAATCATGACATGATTTTTACAATAACGACATTCTTTTCATCAAGTTTATGGGCTTCGAATACCTGTCTGTTTAATAAAATAACACAACAGTATAACCTTGTGAGAGTAGTTAATATTTGAACACTCAACTCGGGCAGAATTCGGACATAAATCAGATAAAGCCGATAGTTTGGGCTCGTGTTCGAAGAAAATGTTGTTTTTTACTCATACCATACTCGAAACTGAACAAAACCGAAGAGACTATTGCGAAAATTCATTGAGAAAATAGTTTTTATATTTATCTCATAAATTTAAAGTAAAATGTACTTAATAAATAAACCCCAGATAAATAAACCCTGGTATTATGTCCTTCAATATATATGAGTTTGTCCTTCGGGGCACACGCATAATTTTATCGAATTCAAACGCGGTAAAATTCTTAAACAGCATAGTTTCTCGTTTACTGTTTATCTAGTAGTTTGCAATAATTGATTCGGAAGTCGGTATTTCATCCCACGCATCAAAAACATAGTGATTTTATGTCATGTAGAAAGTGACGCAATTTTAATAAAATATATATAACATAAAGATCCAATACCGATCAAACGGAACGATGGCTTTTTCCGGTACACATAAATTGTTCGTGACACGTATAAATCATTTACATTTGACTCAAATGAGATATATGTATGAAATAATTCACGCAATTTCGAACTATCAATTCCAAAATCGTTAAATCTCTAGCGATCAATCTAGTCGATGTCTATATAAAATTAATTCCATATATGGACACATATTTGATAATTTCCAACTGAACCCATTACTCAATCATTACATGACGGCCATATTATTCGTGTTCGACTTTACATTTATCGAACTACTGCGCTTAGATGATCATCGTAGCGAGGCAAGATAACACATAGTGATGAAAGGGCGTTGAAAAAATAAATATTATCATAATGGTTTGATGGTGGATTTCTTAATGACTTTTATTTGAATATATATATATATATTTATAATGATGTGGTTGAATTTGAGACATATAACGATGATAAAAACCAATGACTTCAATGGATAATAGAAAAAGAATTCATTTTGTCGATTCAGTAAAATATTTTTCATTATTCACTTAGCCACTTTTAAATATATGTATATCCCGAAGATTGTATGTGGAACGATTATCAATTATTATAATGTAAAAGCGATATACCGGTAATCATAAAAAGTGAACAACCGTAAGTATAAAATTCAAGCCTTCGTCGTATTTAAGCAGTGTGTGGGAGGTGATTATCCACTTTTAGTTTTTTTACTATTCAATTTCTAATTTACTTTATGTTAAAAAGCAAATGTATTGTTGAGTTATATTACCTACATCAGTCAATCTGGAAATACCAATATTTCATGGGCCACAAGTTATCCACAAAAAATCAAAGTAAGAAGAAAAAAATCAAAAGATTACTTTTTATTTATTTATTTGATTGTGTGTATGGGTGGTCGGACACGTTCAAGAATATCCCTGGCTTTGTCGATTTCAAGTCATTGTCGCACACGTTTGTTTCGAAATATATTTTTGATGTTTAGATGTTTGTTTTTCTTTTAATCCCGGAACAAAATGTCATCATTCATCTTTCATATTTCACAATAAGTAAAAATCTTTCGTAATGTTAAAATAACGCTTGGAAATTTTTATTTACTTTTTTGATATTCCCCTGTATATTTCAACTTCTATGATAAAAACGAAACGATCAATTGGTTTTTTTGTCTGTTTTCCATTCCTATTTTAAATTGATTTATATTTAAATGATGCAATGTTCGATTGGATTTATTTGCTCTAAAAATAGTCTTGCGTTCCCACATGCAAGTTTACATTAACAATATGTGACATACCAACCTTTCACTTGGTTTACTTTCGAATCATGCTGGAATAAGTTTGTTCACTTTTCTTAAAATATCAATACCAAGTATATATTAGAAAATTAATTTTAAAGTTAGTTTCGTATCGTCAACCACCCAATTGCTGATATAGAACAGCTGATACTTAATATCAAACGTTCATTAATTACACAAATTGTAATTCAATCAATAATAAAATTTAATGAGAGTGTAAAATTTTACCATCCAAACGGTATTCTTTAAAAATTAAATATAGTCACCAAAAAGCGTAGGATATCTTATTTTAATGACGATCATGTAAATAAAATGAGTTTGCTTTCACCGAAAAAATATCTTGAAGTTCCGGTACAACATACGCATCCAACATCTAAGTCAGAAACATCATTTAAACCGACCCGTTTAGTTGCTGGATTGCCATTAAATTTAATGTAGATTCAAACATTAGAGTGGTCGTATGCATTTCCTTTCGCATATTCATGGATTTCCCTGGAAATTGCCCAAGAAATTGCAATGAGCAAAATTCTCTTGTTCATTTAACCTTCCAACTGATGGGGTTTCTCGGGATACGCAATGTATGTGAATATCGGAAAGATTTCCATATACTGGAACTTTACTTTTGGTTCATGTGAATAAAATGGGCTTACGTTTATCTCGTTTGCGGGGAAAACTTTACTTTCCGGTACAAATATTTTTTTATATTGTACGTTAAAATAATTGTAGAATATAACGTATATAATTGTAGAATATCACGTTCGTGAACTCGACCAACACAAAAAAAAAATATACTGCAGGAAATTCAATTGTCATTAATGTCAAAACGCTATTCATATTTTTAAATGACCCGTGGAATAGACGCCAGATGTTGTTATTAGATCTGTCATAAAAGCTAAACGGACTATGTTTAACATATAATGTTATTTTGTTTGAGTTGCGACAATAAATTTGAACAGGTAACAAAAAGTACCCTCGGTTGTCACTCAATAGGTAGTATTATGGGACAGTACTGGGTAAGCGTATCAAATCACGTTTTGATGAATATTTTTTGTCGTTAATGCCAATGGTACTAAGACATAAAAGTCATTGAAAATTTATATTTTCTAAAGTAATAAATATTCCGAAATCAGAATTGCCATATACTGTTAATTAATCCATAAATCTCTCTTTTTATGGTTTCATTGAAATAACAAATAATAAAATCCGGTGGGGAAACTTGATTTAGGCTAAGAAGAAAGTGTTTGGAATTCAGACAATGTCTACTGCTTCCTCATCTTCGTGTATATATAAATTCCACAAAAACTCAAATCTATTATTATTATTTGGTAAAGCGTTCGCTGATAATTATACTTAACGCATTGTTAAATACCGGAAATTTATTACGTGTATAAATTCCTCTCATCATAAAAACGATTGAAGATATGAAGACTGCATTTGGGGTACATTGTTGTTTGAAGTTCAGATTTTGTTTTTATATAAAGATGAATGATCATACTTCTAAATTCTTTAATTTTTTTTTTATAAATTCTACGTACAAAATTTGCGAGTTTGTTTAGCTAGAGTTCCCTGAGGCTCGATTTTCACCCCAAATTTTCTTCGATTTTTATTATAATTCACGGCACATATGCATATGATATTTATTATAATTCTTTTACCAATTGTTTGAAATGTGGATGATTCAGCGTTGATATATTGTTTTAACATCAGGTTGTTCTTCTTCTTGTATTCATGCTGACGTTGTCGTATGCGAAGTCGAAAAAAATAAAGCACAAGTTGAGTACACGAGCGTAAGTGGCTAACTTTAAATCAATTATAAATGCATGTTATATATATTATTTGTTTGAAAGATTTGTCGTATTAATAGTATTACTTAAATTTTGTATAGATCAGTTTTATATAGCTAAGTAAACAATTAAATTATAAATTATACGATTGTGTTAATGTTTAATTCGATTTGTGTTTTTCGATTACTTGAGTAAACCGTTTGGGCGCAAGAATGTGTGGACATAATGCTACCTAGAGGTATCGTAGAAAATATCTTGTCGAAAGTTTTTAGATGTGCTATTCCTAAATTTATAAATAAAAAAGTGTGAAAAAGTCTAAAAAAAGTGTATTAAATAAGATTCAGCCAATATTGAAGATGTAGCATTTCTATGAAAGCGTTTTAAAATTATTCGAGTTATATAAGAAAACCAATAGATATTTTAAAAACACTTTCAGGAATGGCCACTAATTAAAAGGAAAAAAAAAAACAATTTTATGCAATTAACTTGTGACCAAGTTAATATGAAACCGTAACCGCCTAATTTTATTTTAGATTTCTTGACCTTTACCCCAATAGCTGTACGAATACGACGTTGCAAAAAGCAAGAGGATTTGCCGACTACGATCTTTTACTGTAAATATATTTTTTATTTAACTTTGTCATATATTAATTTTTTTCATTCCTCCAATACTTAAAATTAGTCGAACAATACCCCAATCAATTTCATCTACTCCAGATTCCACTGTAAAGATTTTGAGCCTGATAACTTCACTGCGGTTTTCACAACGAAAAATGAAGGATGCGGAGACACATGCACTCATCCAGTGGACGGTAGTGCCTTAAATTTGACTAAATACAAGGTCCAACCAATTATTGCGATTCAGAAAATCAACAGTAATTACACTGACTTTCGTGTCAAAGTAACCAAGGGATGCACTTGCGTGAAAAAGTTCGCCACATCGAAAACTCAGACAGAAAAAGAGGTTAAATTTCTAGGTGCTTCAGCCATTTTGTAAGTTTGTTTTACCATATTTTAAATAAACCAATGACTGTTGATTTTCAATCGAAAATTTCAAATAAATTAGGCATCGAGAATATCGTTTAAAATAATTAACTAGTGGAACTGAAAAATGATTGACTATTGGGGTTGAATAATCTCGCTATAAGCCTCTTATACAACACTCTATTTCACTCTTTCACTCCACTTTCATCTTCCAAAATAAATACCTATTTTTACCCAATTTTACACAAAAAATATATTTCTGTATTGTATTTCCAGGTCTAAAACGAGAAGAGGCAAAAAATCTCGACGCAACATGGGGAAGGGTAAAAACTAAATGGGATAAAAAATAACAAACAACTATAATGGCCCATATTCAATTTTGAATTACTAAATTAAACATGAATTTATTGATATAACAAACTATTTAAAATCAATTATATTAGAAAAATCTAGGAAAGCTATATCTTTTACCAAGTTTGATCATTGTATGAAGAATTTTAATGAGATCGATTTATATGCTGTCTACGCTTGATGAAAACTTTGCTAAATTTATTTCACTTAATATTAAATTATTATATATATATATTACTAGTGGTTGTATAACACCTACACGACTAAAAGTACTGGTCAAAAACATGCGCTTCCGAGATATTTTAACGTTACTTGTCGGAATGACATTTCAAGCAAACAGACTTCAATATGCATTCAGGATTCGTATATGGCACAAATAAATTTTAATATCGTTGATTTTTTTTTCATTTTCGTTTTAATAAATGTACGTATATGTATGGGCTATTTTCGTTGTTTATTCATCGTACCTTTAATTATGGAAGTGTTAGTCTGTATAGTATACTTCAAAAAGAGCTCAGTGATACTACGAAATCAGTTCAAATTGCACTCAAAGTTAGGTTGTTTGCACTCATTCAGATACGAAGCGACATAAACAGGGAATTGTGCAAAGCAACATAGGAATTGAATATTGCATTTGTATTATTGTTTTGCGTTAGATTGCTATACTACCTTGTCAACCACCACACACAGGGTGTAATGAATAAAGGCAATTAAGGGTGAAACAGAAGCAGACTATTACCACCTGGCCAGTATTCGATCTATTGAATTACAGGGCATCCTTTTAGATAAATTTGGGAATGATGTCATAACTGAAATCACGCGGAAATTACATTTATTTCACACATTTTTCAACAGTATATGAATTATGTAAAGGTGTATTACGATGCTTTTATCCGGGCATTGTGTTCAAACCAGTGCGTGTAATATTTCGACACGTCTTCGTTCCGACACTGTCAGTGTGTATCCCACCATTCACAGGCCTTTATTTGTTATTGTGACGACTTGCCAAAATATTATACGTTGGTCCGATTCATTCTAGTCGTTAATTTCAATGCTCGTTCGACCATAGAATTTTTATTGTCACTGTATACTGCTCATATCAAAGAAAAGATACATCCATAAGAAAACATTTAGGCAGCAGTTCTTAACCTCGTCAATTTGTCTGAAATGCGCTATTTTTTAAGCAGCTCAGAGGTCATTTCCATATATCAGTTTGTCATCATTTGTATACGATATAGAATTTTGATTATATATCAGACGTTATAATCAATCGCTTGTCGAAATCGCGAGCCTTGATAGCATAGTTAGAATTAGTAAGAATTCTACTGAATATGGTAACGTATTTCATATTTTTGATAAGAAAGTGGACGTGATTTCAAAATTACTAGGTACGATCACCGATAGGTTATAGTGGTTCCTGTTGTTTAACAAGAGTGGGTTGCAACAGTATAATTGAGTCGATTTCCGGCTTTTTTGGCAGAATTTAGTGCAGCATGAGTACGGCAGTATGCATTTTAGGATAAACAATACAAATTTTGTAACTGATAGTTTGACTACATCAGAACTGATATTATTTTATATTATAGTTATATTTTGGGCTAAGCAGCTACAAATTTTCAGATTATAAAATCAGATTTGCAAAACCTGATTTCTAGTAGATGTGCATAATGTTGTAACACGGTATAGTATAGCCAGCAGTCTGTAATGTGTAGGTTTTAGTTTTATTCATCAGTATTCGTCGAGAACCCTTTATATTAGGTATATATATTGGTGGTAAAAAAGTTACTGGAAAGCAAGTACATACACGGATTTTTTTATATATTTCTCGAGAATTTTAAAAAGAATATTTGCAACCATTGAATTAACTCAAAGTTGCAGTTTTCATATATTTAAAATGAAGGTACTCCTGAAGTATGCGCACCAAGATGTAGCATAACCTGAACCCTAACCAGGTACACAACCTGAGTTCAGGTTGTGCGCCATCTTGGTGCGCATACTTCAGGAGGTCCGAAATGAATGCGTCCAACATTGAACAGAATTGTAACGTGTTTCTACTATATATTCCAAACTGGTATTTCTTCTACACAGTGTTAAGATTTGATATACCTATCCAAATAACAGAATGCAGATATTGATATTGGTTTTCGTTGTTAGTTTATCGTGCTTGTCGTCAATATCAGAGGCTTCTCGTGGACTGTCTCTTCCTCACGGAATGGAACAAGGTATTTAAATTTTTATTTTTTTTAAACCAACAGTTTGTCCAAATATATTAAAATGCCATATTTGATTGGACAATAGTAGATATTTAGGGTGGAATTTAAACTTGACTGTGCAGTGTAAAATTTAGTGTCTGATACTATCCAAGATAAGATGGAACTATAAGATAAAGTATACTACGTTGGAAACCGAGCTATAATTAATTGACATATACTATTATGTAAAATTGTTAATTTAGCATAATCTACATGGGCATGAAAAGTATTCTGACAAAAAAAGTTGTAGGTTTATGATGACTATTTTTGTACTATACTATTAAACCGCGCGATGGGACACAAGAGCAAAATCACAATGAAATCGAAATACCTAACATATTGTCAATGTTTTCCATTAGTATTTTAGATTAAACTAAAGCCAAATATATTTTTCAAATTTTCAGAGGACTATTGTAAAGGATGCATTGAAACTGTTTCAGGTAATTCTTTTTCTTGCGCTGTACTCAAGAAGTTCAGTCGAATAGACAGACCTGAATGTTTTGATAAAGAGCTTTGCAACGAGAGCGATGCTCAAATATATGGACATGAAAGCCATGGCTGAATTAACTATTGGGGGTAAAATAAGCACGTTCGAAACTTTCATCGACTGACGCATTTTAACAGTATTGGCCCTACGGTGAAACACTATTTAAACGTTTAACGACTAACGTTTTTTAACAAGACGAAGAAAAACAACAACATAATAACAAAACGATCCATATCTGAACTTCGTGTCCACTTATGCAAATCAATATTGTGCCAAATGAATATCACGTCTCATTTTGACCTCTGCCCTGAGCCACAGTTGCGTACAGATGTATTGTGTAATTAAGAATATTTATTGCCATACCATTAATATAATTTATTCAATCAATTTCAGCAATAGTCAAAAAACAAAAGAATGGAATGAGTACGAAAAAAATTGTCAAAGGAATGGAAAAAATGTGTAATTCGATGAAGGAAGGAAACAATAAAACATCTTGCTTGCAGTTAGTTGGTGAGATTCTACAATAAATACTCGATCTCCATATGAAATATACTCAAATAAATGAAAATAAAAAAAGTCACTCTGTGCATTCTTTCGTCGTAAATATTATTATGTCAATAATAACTATAGATAAGGAACACTAATTGTAACAATTTATTTGTGAAACTATAGCAGAGAATGCGAAACTACTCACACTTGTGCAAAGACTATAAATTGTCTAAATATATTTATAAAAATAAGTGATAGAATTATCCATCCATTTTCAAAGATACATCAATCTTCAAGATTATCTAAGAAAAATAGATCCGCCTAGATATACGTTTTACAAAAAAGTTCAATTACTCATAAATTACAAATTTTCTTGTATCTATCGTAAGCTATACTTATTCTCAATAACTATATATAATTCATTCAAACTGTATAGTGTATATTATAGTTTTATATTGCACAAATAACAGACCATCACATTGACGATCTTGAGAGTGTCCTGGAACATCCAGAGAAATCCAAGAAGTTGATTTCACATTTTTGCTTTGAACATTCATTTGCATGTACTGGGCTGAGAACTTATTCTTCCCAGGTAAGTCAGATACTGGGACATGGTGTTAGTTAAACTAAGTAGTTATGGTGTCAGTTGAATCAGGTCACTACAAATTTGACATTGAGTGTACACGTGGGCCATTTTGCTGGATTGCCGAAGTGTTAATTTTCGCATTTCTATCTAACCAAATTTTGTGAAGGTATTAGTCGCCAGAAGGCCAGCCATTTTATTCAAAATGTTGCTGTTTTAAATGAATTCACAGGGCACTCCGTGTGCGTTGTTATCTTATAATAAACATCATCTGTAGACCTATGGTATGCCTATTATTTTGCATTTGCAATCCGGTAGCTTGATACTAATGCTATTATTCGGTTACTATATATATATTCTAATTTCTTTCCCTAATAAGCCGTTAAGAATTGATTAAATTATCCTGTAAACGTGTATGATATATAAAGAAAAATTAATTCAGAATACATGAGAGCAATGCCCAAATAGATGGATACAAAGACCAAAACGTAGAAGTATCAAATCTATTACAGTACCCGTAATCTAACCCCTAGATCACTGAGATGTGATCACGGAACCACGGTGCGCAAATTTTGATGACGTAATCACACAAAACTTTAAAATGAAATACGAATCCCACATAGACCACATATTTTTTTGAAATAATTAAAAGTAATAGCCTTCTAGCGACAACAACAAGCTTTAACCACTGAGAATGTAAAAATAATTGGTCCAGCAGTTAAGCGAAATTAACAATACAATCCAGAGGTTCACTTCGTGTCCACGTGCCCAATGGACCTTTCCCCGAGCATCGACTTCCTTGTTTACTTCGTGACATTAGCCAATCAGCAAGATGCAAAACGTGACGTAACAATGCTCCCTTTTCGCATCAGCTCAGACACTTTTCTCACTCAGACAGATTTTCAGTCGTGGTCGTAAACATTACCTCGTTTTCGCGTTTTTGAACTTTATTCGTTAGTTTTCAGTTGTGTTTCGGTAATTTAAATATAAGTCATATATTTTAATGACCACTCTGTCTTATTAGGAGTTTTAATTTAATTGCAGTAATAAAAAATTTGTGCAAAAATAGCTGTGATAGACTAGGCTAAAATTCTTTACCGGTACTTTTAAAAACAGATTGTTGTATGCGATGAATCAGAATGGTGTTTGAAACAAATACCCCACTTCACAGGCGCCAACTCGCGAAACCACTCTTAAAATAAGCCCGAAAAATTTGGAATGGTAAAGTATAGAAAGAATTTTTCGGGGGTCAAAGGTCGGGGAAAGGTCTACAAAGCGTTCAATCTTCGTATTCTGACCAATTAGAGACACGCACTCAAATATATACTAAATTGGTTTTAATTCATTCTAATCGCCATTTTCGCCTTTGAAGCATACTTAAACAACATAGTATAAACCAGGGGTCACCAACGCGTAGCCCGCGGGCACCAAGTCGCCCGTAAAGACCATATGAGTCTCCCGGAGGTCTGTTCCAAACTAAGCTTAATAACGGCGCTTATGAGTAAGCTACATCATTTAAATATTGTCCTGCTATTCTCGTATGGCACTATATTAAATATTGTAGCCATCAACCTGATTTTTATTTGACTTCAGTAATGTGACGGGTCAATTAACACTCTTCCAATTATGACATCACACTGATATAACTTACCACGAACCCGCGCTTTTTCTTGTCCGTTGTTTTGTGGAGCAGCAATAATATAATTATTGATTCCAAAGAAAAATGGCAGAAAAACGATGAAAAACCCATCATTTTCACAATGAATGGGGGTGGATATATTTTTACCACCATGATAACTGCCTGCGCGTGTCTCATTTTTGGGGCGATTGTAGCGACGGCAAAGCGAAAATGTATTTCACGTCTTGTCACGCAATCTACCCACTCACTATCCACTGGTCAGCGCAGTACGGGCAGAACAGCTCGCGATTCAAATCATACAGCAATTCTATTTTACGAGACCATTGTTTCGTTCAACCTATCTTTGTGAATCAACATTTTTGACATAAACTCAGAATAGGATGGGATTTACATATTTATCCCGGGGGAGAAGATAGCCCATAAGACGGCTTAACCATATAGCGAACCAGGGCCTCTCGTCCGGTTACCATTTCATGTCGGGTATGGGATTAGCTAAGTATTTGTTTTCGTAAGCATGAAATTGATGGCGAAGGAAGCCATCCCAACTGCGGCAAGGGGTCCAGCAATCCTCTCGCACATAACTATATCCTCACATGGAATTCTAACCTGTGAACCTAACGCTTAGCACACTAACGATGGCCACACAGCCGCGATTTTTTAGAAGTGTACATTGAATTGGTAGCCCGCGGCTCAATCTGTACCCAGAAAGTAGCCCTCGGCCTCGAAAAGGTTGGTGATCCCTGGTATAAACTGATTAAATCATGATGTTAAAACACATTTATTAATTTACAATTTTATTGTAAATTTATTTACAATTTTAAATAAAAAATGCTTTAATTGCCCATATAATTTGATACATGTCATCGAGTATAGGTAAGACAATAGGAATGTAAATAAGAATTTTATATCAACAATTGAGAAGAAGTTTTGAGAATTGAGCAGAATTATTACTATATTTTATCATACAGCCGGTGTTTCTTTCTTTCACGAAGACATAAATAAATTAAACATACATTGTTAAAAGCTCACACATGCATGTATAGGAAGGTATTTTTTGATGTTTCGACATTACCGTTTCAGTGAGATAATTGCTACGTAGAAGAATTTTAAAAATGGTTTAATAAAAGCCCCAGGTGGACAACGATCATATTGTTAATAATTTTGAGAGCCCGTGAATTTATCCATTCTACAAATGGATAAATTAGCGGTTTCGGATATGGAGATAAGTTTGCAACAATTATAAAAACTAGTTAAGAACATGGACACTCATCTTCAATGAAAAAGTAGTGCCTAGTCATAGTCCCATGCTGTACTTTGCACAGGATGAAATTTAAACTTAGTATCTGGATAGATTTGACTTAATAATGTATTATTTGATACTTTCAAGTAACACGATTAATAGAGATCACTTGCTTGAAAGCAAACGAATGAAATTGACTAATCTTCAATAAAATGTTTTCAAAATTTATCTAATCAAATTAACGATGTTTTTTTTGGTAATCGGAATAAAAAAATGATTAGGTATCTCAATTCTTCCGCATTGGTTGTAATATCAATTTATGTTTCGCCGTTCCAATTTACTGTCACGTATGCAAAATTGACATTCAATACCCTAATTACGACACTACTGACGAACAGGTAGTCAGCTGATACATGCATAAGCTGTCGCAGTTGGGTGATTTTCGAAAAGTTTTTGGATGATGTATATCTTATTAAAACAACAGTAATATTTTAAGTGATCAAAATAGTGGCAATTGTGAAAATATCTGAATTTGGGACATTGGGTAATCTGCAAAAACGCAGTTCTGTCCTCTGTTTTCAGTTTGTACGTCAAGTTTTTATAGCGAACTTATATAAATATATAAAATCGTGCAAATATTCAATATTTGAGATAGCATCTAGAATACAAAGATATAGAACAAATTTTCAGAATAAATGTTTCAAAATTTCAGATCAAACACGAGAAGAGCGAGGAAGAGCTTGAAAAGATCTTGGCAGATATGGAACCGATGAAACGGGTTCCAAATCCAGTTCGGAAGACAGATGAACTGTGACGTAACCATGTTCATTCATTCACAATCGATCGAATTTTCCGTTCTTCTGTCCACTTTTGTTTGCTTCTTTTTATATACCTTTTCTAGTTTCGAAAATAATAATCACCGACGTTCACATGTTTCCCCACAAATTATGTTTATTATTCTATCTTTGAATTTTGATTCTCCTATTGTTTCAGCCCCACCCGGTATTTCAATGAGCTGAAAAATAATAAAAAACATTCGTGAACCCTTTTTTCAGATCTACTTGATTTTAAAAATTGTTTGATATCTGTTTTGTAAAGTATTCAACAGTTTTATGAATATACATATTTACTGTTTTATATATTTTCAAGAAGGAACCTATTTTTGCGACTAAGATTCATATTTGGGTAGTAATATGTGGCAGAGATACAGCATAGTTTGAAAGCTGTATCGACTACAAGATGAACGAACAATTTCTCTTGTCAAAAAATCACAGCCATTACTACCGAGTTAATAATCTAATAATGCATTTTACCTCATTTTGGAGGAAGCATTGCCCTTGCGGCAATATCAAATTATTTTGAATGGAGATTGAGATGAGAGATAGAAAATTTAGCTTTATCTGGCACTGAACTGGCTAAACTACTTGGATGTGATGATGTAGGCGTAAGTTTAGAACGTTTAACCGCAATAACCGGTATGTCAGGATAATCTCCTCGCTTTTAACGTTACAAGATTTATTACTCATATTTCAAATAGAGAAACAGTCAGGATTTGAATGAGTTTTCAAATTAACAGTACTGATTGGATGAAAACTTGAAAATTGTATTGATTCAGTTCTATCAATTTGTACTAAGAAAGGCGGATGATTGTTACGCAAACGTTATTAGAAATATAAAACACATCAAATAAAAGGCGGTTAGAAATTAGTCATTATAGTGAACAGTGGTAACAATGCCGTAAATGGAGGACAATTTATCATCGGTCACCGAAAACTATATTTTTCAGATGTTTGGAAGACGATGAAGCGGCTAAAATATTTTTAATAAATTTGAATATTTCAAATCTTCTGACGATTATGGGATAGTTGCGTAACGCGTTTGAAAAAGTATCTTAGCTTTAGAAACCATGCAATCTCAGTATTGTAGTTAGTACTCAGTAACAGGGGATCGAAAAAAAAAGCAAATATTTTAGGAATAGCCACGGTAATTGGATGGGGGGTTCTCTCATTCTAGTAATAGTTCATTTAAACATAAAATTGCTTTTTGGTACAAATTCAAATATAAAATTAGAGATGTATAAATATTTCACCTCACAAGTGAATAAAACACGTGATCAATAAAAACTGACGACAGGGTCAATTTTATAACATCAGATTAGGAATTCCAACAAAAAAAATATTTACTTTTGTTATGCAAGTAAATCTTCCAGTACAAAAGATTCATTGTGGATATTTTAGGGGTAAATATTCTCATTCTGTTAGTCTATTAGGTGAGATACGTTATACGTGTAAAATTCCAAACACTTGTATAACGTCAAGAGATCGAAATCAAAATATCTCACCCGTTTTTTGAATCCAGCAGTTCCTCGTAACTGCTTCATATCAACATATGAACCGACACCGACCGTTACTACCTGCAACAAACATCAAAACAAAGTTGACGTTATCTTGAAAGTTTTTAGCAAGAGTATAGTTAACAGCATACCAATGGAAAATATCTTATTTTAAAGTTAATGTGCCGTAAACAAGTAGGAGATTGCTTCCACGTTTGTAGCAACGCGCCTAATATTTAATCCCACGCACTTAATTTGCCTCTATTAGAGGTTTAACCCAATTTAAGTGAATTAATTTTCGGTTTGGAAATTTTAATGAAGAACACTATAAAAACAGAACTCATCTTTCTCGTTGTTGTACAAAGATTTTGTTACAGGAAAGTTTGGGATTAGTTTTTGTAAGCTGTTGTTTTCCCACATTGGTCATGATAATTGTGGAAATGTTTAGTTGAAACTAAGTTCATCAGGTGCGCCCTTGAGTTGCGAAGTACATTTCGAGTTTCGATCAAAGCAACGTGACTACGATAATTTATTAATTGCAATTATGTGAAGTCATTCGGAAAAGAGGCAGGCACGATCGTGAGTAGAGACATGTGCACCACTGAAGCGACGAGTGTATTTATTTAATGACAATAACAAATCGAAAGTCATAAATATTGACATTTGAAGTATTTGACAAATAGAAAAGACCAAAAAAGCTTTGATCTAACGTTGAGAACATTGCTATTTCTTAGTTTCTAGGAAAGCTGGATAAAACTTCTTCTAACATTATAGACAACAGTACGAAGCAGAAGATAACTATAATTTATTCGTGGCTTTAAATTTACATATAATATACTAACTCCCAAATCATCATTTATAATTCACGCAAAGACTTCACAATAATAATCTGTGTGACCTATTTCTACCTTTAATTTGAAAAGTTTCTAAAAATGCCACTGGTGAATATGGTATGTACGAGAAAGAATAGCTCGACATAATCTTGGAAAATCGACCAATTCGAGCTCATGGCGAGGTGGGACATGGGCTTGTTTTAATCACTCTTAGAGAACTACTGCTGGGTTGCAAAAATGGGATTCGACAGACATGGATATAATAACTTTGATCGCTATTTACAATTTACATACATAAAATTGCCGTAAAATAATATGGTGCATTTTATTATTCACTGAAATATTTTGGATAATATTTGTAAACTAACTTACATCTATACCATTGTCTCTTAACAGCTTAGCTGTTGTTTTTGGATCAAGTTTTTCTTTTAAAGGTGCTCCTGTCGTTAACATAACTAAAATATCTCTATACCTTCTTCTGTTTCCGTTACTTTTTAAAAATGAAACCCGATTCACGTGATCGAGAAGTTGTCCAATCCTCGTACCTGAAATGAGGACCAAAGATATTTTGAGCAACCCTCGCATTTTCCTTTCACTACTTGATTTTGTAAAGTTAAAACTAGAAGAATACTATAAAACAGTGGTTCTCAAACTTTTTAAGCCCTTTTCTAGAATTTGTCAAGTCTCGTATTCCACCTCAAAAATAACTAGCTAACAATAGGATACAAATAACAGATAGTGAAGCGAAAGTATGTTTTATTCAAAAAACACGTTGAAAATATGTAGATGGAACGCATATAATGGAATAAAGGAAAGGTTTTGAAATATCAATATTCAAAATAAGGCGGACAAATCTAACAAATATTTTTATTTAGCTTAACGTCCCCTCAAAAAATTGTCTACGCCCCTTTTTAGGGCGCGCCCCACCGTTTGAGAACTACTGCTACAAAATATATATATACATTAAATTGAAAATGCGGAAGACATAATTGTTAAAAGCTCCATATACTTTAATATTACACAAACACACATACATCCTCATTTGACGTTTAAAAATCCGAAACCAACTATTGTTTTTAAATGTAGCCTACTTAAATCATATTTACTGCCAATGCATTGATGTGACACCAATTCGCCACGTTGATAAAGTTTTGCTATTTAAAATAGCTAATGACGAAAATTATTTTTTTTATATCGGAACTACTTATCGGTGAATATATTGGTTTTGCATTTATTACCCATTACAAAGACTCTTTGCTCAAAATAATGCGGTATTATTGTATATTATATTGCAATATATTTCCTTATTTTCAAAATGTGATTGGCTTAAATGTATATAGCTTTGAGGAGGTAACGAGTCATCGATTATTGAACACAATCCTGGCGAAAAATATAAATACATTTGTCAAAATTAATATTGTATGTATGTCTTTCTTGTTTTGACATTGTGATTTGGGATATAAACAATGCGGTCGCATTTCGTAAGTACTATACTATACCACAAGAAAGCATTCAACTTGGAATCTAAACTGACGTCAGAGCAATGTTTACAATGGAATTCAACGAAAAGAGTCATGTAGATTTGTAGGCCTATTACCATTACGTTTATGACCGGAGGGTGTACAAGAGTAAACCGAGAGTGAATTTGACAAGCGACGTTAACTTTTATCGCTTCAACTTTCAAGTCACGAATTCCTTATTCATCAAGTGGAAATCAATTTACGACAATATTCAAGTGTTTACAAATTTTCAACACCTGGAGCATAGTTTGGAATTCAATAAATTCCCGTTGGTGTGGAAGATCACTTACGGTGAAGCGTTTCAATTTTCCGAGTGGTACATAAATAGTATGGACAACAATTATTAACTGTGTTTTCTTTTTGCATACTGTAATATTGTAACGTAACGTTATGTTCCACTCCAAGAACCTGGTCGCAAATGACAACAAGGAGTCACGTTATAGCAACTAACCCCCAAATGTTTATGCTATAACGTTACCGCAATTACAACTAGGAATTTGTTCAAAGAGAATTGTCTAAAAACAATTGTTTGCGATGAAACCACGTTGCGAAAATTGAAATGCGATCGAATAAATGAGTTTGTATAACCTTGAAAAACTCACTTCAACCTTAAAAAACAAAGTATGCTGAGCATAAATTAACCGAACAGTATTAACCGTAACAATGACTTCATTTTATGAGAAAAATGTCAATACATGACCTCGAAATCCATATTATGGCGTCATAAGTTATGACTCATAACAGATTAGTTGTGGCGTCTTTGCATCAGTGGACTCTTACAATTAACATAGGCTAGGTTAAGGTGTCCCATCGTTCATATCAGTAGATTACCGCCGATATAAGCATATTCTTCATTATCGCAACCCACTCGTTTTGCAGAAGGGCTGCACTTGATCGAATTGCTTTTGTAGTAGGTTCGTGGGCTAATTTTCATGATTTTTCTCACTCAAAACGTCTCTCTGATATCTCGGTTAAACATTCCAAAATCTTATGACTTTGGTGGAGATATAAAGTGGCGATATTATGTACGCAATAGTGGTAAAAGTCAAAATAAAAAATTTACTTACATTTTTGAAATTATAATTCCGGCTGCGTGTGCAGCTGCCAGAATGCAACGTTTTGGCGTAGTTTCGCGGCGATGCAAGGGGTATTTCAATAAAAAATACAGAACAATTTTGTTTAAAAAAAGGCCTTGTTTTAAAACACGATGTTTTTTTTAGAATTGATAAAAAACAAAACCCTAACTACAACGGTATTATAATATACAGTATATATATTATCTTTTGAGATACTACGTGGCCACATTTTTCAGTTTAAATAACGGTAACGTCTAAACGAGTTTCTGAATATGCAACAGTGAAACCCAGAATACCGGTAATGTTATTGTGGTCACCAGACAACTTTGGATAGTTGGACATATAGTTCAAAAATGAACTACGTTGCCACATTTTCCAAACGAGATCCTGAATATGCAACAGTGAAACCCGGGGCTAACGGTAATGTTATCGCGGTCATCAGAAAATTTTGAATAGTTGGACAAAGTTTAAAAATGAGCCACAGTTTCCAATTTAAATATTAAACATTAGGCAGCTCAAAACAGAGTAACCTGTTGGAGTAATTGTTTTTTATATATGATCATCATAATTACCACAAATATCTATAACGTGATAAAGAGTTATCTTCACAGACAGTTGCTGTCGTTGATATTTAAAGTGACATTTGATACATCAGTATTAATTTCGCTTTGTCAACCTGTCGAGACTGTCTGCCCTTTATGTTGAAGGTGTTTCATAATATATATATTCGCATGCTTCAAACGCGACAATTGACAAGTTAATGAACTTTCTATTTGTAAACCTTTAACAGACTTTGGATCATGGGGGAGCCTGATTGTTCGTTTGTTACAGAAAAAAGCGCTTTGAATATAAGCGGAAACTACAGCTTTATTATATTAAATTTCATAGGTGAACAGGGTATCTCTCAATTCAATATGGCTCAGAGGTGAGCCTATTTTAGCTCTGAATGAGTGTGTGTGACCTTGTCTTGGACAACTTCTCTAAAACTATATTTAGGGTAGGTATTAAACTGTACGTTACTTGTATGAATTTGATACTGATAATGCGCAAGCAAAACTTGATAGTAAAATTATCACAGAAAACCGATAACCGATTACCAAAATTTAAAATTCCTAAAATGAAAATCTTAGCGACGTATTATGCCTCTGGCATGTCCATTAATGAAAATTTACATATTAAGTGCAGTATGATCGGCACGTTTGAACTAAATTCTAACGATGTTGTTAAGGTAGAGTAAACTATAGCGAGAAAAGTATCAACATTGGATGCATTTAGTGAGATTCAACCCTTCTGCTTAAATGAACACTGTTCATTGAATCACACTCTCGTTAAAATTTTTAGATACCACCATTGGAAGTCTAATTTTGGACTAAGGTATATCAGAAAAAAGAACCTACATCTTTCTAGTTGAATGTTTTTCGAGTCTGATGCAAAATGACGCTTTAATGTCCGAAATTGCGTAAATTATGGGAATTTTGTGAGATGCATAATGGGTAATTGATTGACAATCTTGCCCCTAAGGCCCTCATTGTCGAAAAATATAGTGCAATTGGGATCTCTTGGTATTAAATTTGTTTTTTCAATTTATAAAACTGCGTAAGGAACAACTTTCATATCTAATGTTTCCCCTCTATTCACAAGTATTTAATGACTCGTAATATTATCATCAATTTGCTTCAATCATTACTAGGATTTGTTCAATAGGCCTCGCCTCGACTACAGTTCCATTAAATCTCTTTGTTTCTAAAACTGAAATCCAAGATCTTCAACATTGGATCTCATGACACCAGGCCAACTCCTATAACCTTTAACCCCAAATGAAAGTAAAATTATTGTTTCCAATTCAGGTAGGATTCGTACACTCAAATTCCCATCTTAAACAAAGATACCTCATTGTAGAAATAAATAATCTAACCTCTCGTTGGACCAGGATGGCTTCTCAACGTATTGACAGCAGAAGCAAGTTGCGTTGTTGAGTTGTAAGAATTCAAAAATATTTCACTATCCGCCCCAACTTTTTCATTGTATGTCACAATTCCGATTCTGCTTTCTCTAGGTCCGACCAAAAATGTACTGAAATATAGTAACACCTAGCATCACTTCTTTTCATATTAATTATCTTGTTTCATACCTATCTGCGTTTACTGTATTTTCGGATTTTATATCGCTCCACGTCGTGAGATTACACTCTTTCGCTTTAAATACATTTCTAGATGAGAATATGGATAGCAAAAGGTTGCTACGATTTTAACGATATAAATATATATCATTAATACGATTTCAGAGACACTTCTGGAAGTCCTAGGTTCATTCATCATGTTTTAAATTTATCCAATAGACAATATAACGTTATCCAATTTCTCTCTATAACTGTATAAGAACGTGACTGATCTCTGCCTTGAGACTTTTTTTCTGAAATTTATATTTTTCAAATTCAGAGCAGTTATACACTCGGACATAACCAAAACATGAATACAAAAATAAATACAGAAATTTATTGTTGTGAATAATGTTTTAGCCTGCATTGATATCAATCGTAATCGCTGCCACGCTATTATTAACCATGGCAATATAATAATACCTTTACTGTGTTTCACATTTAAGGAAAATATACTTCACTTACGTTATTAAATCTTTCAACAATTCTTTTATTTTCTCCCAATTTTCCTCCGTTTCTATCGATGAATCGACGGCAAATACAAGATCCATGTTTCCATGAGGAGGACATGGTTCTGAAAAAAAAAACAAGAATCGTTTTCAAGTACTAGTTTAATCGCAACAGTGTGGTCTGAATTTGTGATAAACACAGGATGAATCAACATGGAAAAATGATAGGTAAATAGAGAATGAACTGATTTAGTTTACTCATTGCAGCGCCATTCAACTACTCGTTTAAATTTGATACTAAATTACAATACTTACTGCTACAACATGGCATCTTATCTGACCATGTTGCCTCCAGTTTATCCATTTCACAACGGAGCATTCCTGGCCCGTGTAAGTCGTGAAATTTTTTACATCGAAATCTGCAGTTTGAACCGGGTTATTGTTTCTATCACACGAAACGACACCGTTTCTCAATCTGCGAATTTTTGGACACTTCGGTGAATTTTCTCGCAGTAATTTTGCGTCGGTCACTGTAAAAATATGCGAGATATATTTCAGTGATAACATTGATAAATAATTTAAGAACGATAACATCGTATATAAGTTCCTAGGGGACCAAAAATATGCTAAAATTGTGCATGAAGGTCACGAGTGTTGTGTAACACAAGCAAGTTTATACTTCATGGTCATTATTTAAATGGTGTGTTGTTGACGCTATAACACATTAACTCGTGTAAAGTCTTGTTCGACGTAAAAGAAATCAATTTCATTCGAACAGTCAAATAACAGTGTCAAATAAACTAAATAAGTTGGAAAGGGGAGATTTTTAAAAATACAGGAAAAGGGATGACTATGACACAGATGGGGACTTTATTTCAAAAAAAGGTAAATACAAATATACAATAGGCTATCCTTAATCATGAGTAGGGCTGGGCATTTTCGAATATCTGATGATTTCAGAATCGAATCGAATAATTTTTTCGAATCGAATCGAATCTCGAATACTTTGGAGATATAAAATTGTATGTAACTCTTTTATTGTGTTAGGTCCTCCAGACACATAAATTACTGAAAACATAGAATACATCACTCAGGCATATTGCTGAGCGTTCACACACAATAAAAACACGTTTTCCTCAATAACTCACAACAGAAAAGAGTCATATGTCAAAATTGCGTTGAAAAAATATGACTTCTAGAAAAAAAAATGAGAAATTTAGCTCGACCATTGGCGGGAAGAAAAAAAACAAGATGTCGGCAATTCGAAATTTTGCTCTGAACCGATTCGAATAATTTCATATTCGATTCGAAATGCCCAGCCCTAATCACGAGTTATTTTTAACTATTCTGTAATTTGTTGTTTGAACATTAACTCTTAACATGTCTCTAAACTAAACAAAATGTTAGTGTATTCAACAGTTGGGTAATTTGAGACGAAATCGTACGGCGTTTTACTCAAAACATTATTTTTGACAGCATTCTAAAGCGACACACAGTGGTAATCGAGATATGGAACATATCTACCTCCTGTGCAGGTATCGCTGTCAAAATTGCATAAATCATCGATGCAACAACATCTACACACGGATTGATTTTTGAAATATCTGCATTGTGAATTATTTCTCTTCCTTTTGTTTTGTCTGAAATTATTTTGACAGGCTCTGGCTTGCTTGCAATTTTTCGTTATTTTTGTTATAGGTCCCCATGCGTAGTCAACACGCTCTGTAGTTTGACATGCAGTCTGAAACAAAAGATACGTGGAAATGTGACATATATATTTCATGGAAATTTTACACATTGTTCGTGACAATTGATCTGAGAATATTTCCACCAGTTGTTATTTAACGATACCTCGTATCTGTTATTCATTTTGTATTAGTTTGTTCAGCTTAAGCGGTAGAGCCCTCTGCGAAAATAACAACGTACGGATATAAGAGTTGTGGGTAGTTACTGATGTATTAAGAAATATAAATAAATCTCTTGGACAAAAATGTTAGTAGATTGTAATAGAAACAAGACTCAACACAAATAAATTACGGTAAAATGACCTATTTTCAATAGCTCAAATTTCAGAAATATAACACAAAAAGTCATTTTACGTCCGCCTATAAGAATTATTATGACTAAGAAATGTGCTCTTGATATAATGATAGACATATTCTTACCTTCGTTTTGGAGTTTTTTAATTACATGCTATTCATAATTTATTCAAATCAGAACTCAAGAGATATTTAATTTTAGTAAGTCCTAATTGCGACTCAACAAATGCACAACATCTAATTATATAAAAGGTGTGTAGTGGGAGTGGCCACATGTTCAAAGCGTTATTCAAGTGCACACAAACAAACCATTCAAACATTATATCATGTTTTCCTGTAAATAGATTTGAGATGATTATGGCATGAAGCCAACTGTTTACAAAATGTAACCAACAATTTCTTGCGAGGCGTAAAGCTGATTTCTTAACGACATTAATTATGCTCTTTATTATTGACAACCTGAGGTAGGTCTAGGAGGAGAATTTGCAGATACTGTTCAGAATTAAATTCACAATGAGTTCGTACAAATCATTCGTCCAGATTATCATTGCAACGTACGCATCAATGAAAAATGGCACTATTCAGTGGAATGAATTGGTTTTAACGCCTATGACACAATTCGAGATTCGATTTGATTCGAAAAAAAATTTGAATCTATTTTGAAATCATCAGGTATTCGAAAATGCCCTAGTTATAATATTGTTTGGAACATTATATAAGTTCGCGAAACAAAGTACAAAAGTACTATGCCTCCGACCGCAGAGTTTGTAGATAAAACAGAATAATCTGCCATAATAAGTTTTTAGTTTGTATATAAACTGCCACCAATTTGACGTCATAACTTTCACACTATTCCGATACATCTGTTTTTGTTTTTAAATTAAACGCCTACGGTGTTTTACAGTCAAAATATATCAAAGCACTAATACACACGCATATTATTTATGAAATTTGAGTATAATAAATCCTAGTCGAGACTAGAATGTTGAAAGTCAACTTTGTTGCGGTGATATATCACGATTCTAATAAAAGTCTCCAGTTATCGTCAATCATTACCCTCACCTAAATCTGAACCATGTCTGAGAAAATGTTTTTTCATTACGATATTAAAATACATAAATATACACATATATATATGGAACACCTTTTTAGAGAAACAACACCGACACCTTATAACCGTAATAAGAAAAATCTGGAGAAAAGAATAATTCCTCCCACCTGCGATTTTTCACACAATCTGACTTTTCCCTTTCTCCGGCAATCTTCGTCGTTTTTTGCATTCCAGCATTCGTAACAAATCAAACCTAATAAAAAAATGAAGAATTATCCGTAATGTTAATTGTATTCAATTGATTTTGTTCGTATTTTCTTCACAGTAATTGGCATCAATGTGATTTATAACGACTACTGCTAAATATCACATTAAATTGCCAAGTTCATGATCCAACAAACATTTGCATAAATGGATGACCTTTTTCTGGAATGCCAGTGTTTGAAGTACCAACACTATAATTATAGTTATTTATATTTCATATTCCATTCCTGTTACTCAATATTAGGTTATATTTCAACAATCATGGATACAATGGGATCGTTATATACTAATCTTCAATGGTATTCCAGTCGCTATTGATAATGGATATAATTATAAACAATGATGGCTATAGGAACAAACATGACAATAATTCACACAAATATGCAGTTACAGAAAGTCCCCACAAACAAACTCCAGTTCAATAACAGAATCAACCTGTTATTAGCTCGCATTAATTGGCCAATCAAATTGGATATACGACAACCACTGTCTGTGCATATATACTTTTAATGGGAATCTGGAAGTTTGAGCTCACTTTTCACTAAATCATTCTACGATCCCCACTCAAATTTAACCCGGCATGCCAATATTTATATTCCTGCCATCTGCTGAACTGTAGACTCATTCTAGGAAGCTACTTTCAACAATAAGCATAAAAGCAAGTTTGAGCATGACCTAAAACTTTCGAATTGTCACATAATTAGACCTGCAATATATTCGCGTCTATTTCCGTATATTGCTGGCATAAGCAGCCTGGCTATTCTAAGTGCACATTATGGCTTTATGCCACAATTTATCATAAATAATAAAAACGAATGTTTTGAAAAATACAAACCTTCAACTAATGATGTGATGACGACAATAACGTAACAGATAATCCAGATTACCACAATAACGCTGGAACGCATTTTAAAATTTCCAATAATATATAAAAATTTATGCTATGCATAGAATTCGAGATAAAAAGTTACACTTCATTAGTAGGCTTTACCAATATGTATGTATGTATAATAATTAACAATTTATACAAATACAATGTACTGTTCTGAAAATTGAGCATAATGCAGGCATTCAAAAGCTGAGTCCGCCACTCAAGGTTTTTTAGGTGAATGAGACGAGATTAAATTGTTCTTGCTTTATATTTATTCGAAGACAAAACCTATCAATGACTTGGCAGAGTATTTGTAAGTATACTGTAATACAATTTCATCAACATTACAACAATATCCTATAGAAAATTGAACTAAGTAGTGAAAAAATTCTAAGCTGTTTAGACACAGGTAAAAAAGTAACTATAATCTATAGCAAATTCCCTGTACATATCTGTAATGATATCAGTTGATGCGCTAATTTCCATATCGAGTTTAAATAATCTTTCTGGAATTACAAACACATTTGTGGTGAGGTTTGCGGGAAATTTGATCCTCTATTTTACGACTTCATTAAATATTGAATATTTGCGACTTCTAACTATCCCAAATCGCCTAATCTTAACACATGCAAACCTGAAGTCCATATCATTGACTAAATAGCGAAAGTCGATATTCTTTATTTTAAGGTGTACGTGACTACCATTCTGCCTAAACTAAGCCAGCTTACCCCGCTTCAGTCAAATGGCGTATGCGAAAATGTCGGCCACCCGATTGGCTTATCTGATTTGACACATACATTTTTCTTGCTTGCTTCGCATGCAAAATGCGTTCAATTCCTCCGGGCATACAGACACCCTAAAAAAATATCAAATTTCTATATCAAAGCATAAGTAGTTGCTATTTTTATCAACAAATTTTGATCGGCACGTATGTTTACTATGAAACTCAAGAAAAAATATCATCAATTTCAAACATCTATAAAAAAACTTCTAATTTATGTCGAAACACCCTAAAAGTTTCAAAGTTAGTTGCTTCTAGACTAGAAATATTGAAAGTTTATAATATTTATAACAAGAAAAATAATATCAAAGGAAATCAACAAAAACAAGAATAACAATAACATAATAATAAAACGATCCATATGTACATTTCGTGTCCAACAATCAGTTATGCTACCGAAACTAGAGGCCGACTTATAGTCGGTAGTGTGGTGGTATATTGGTTCACAGTAAAAATCAAGGCGCTCCAGAAGTATGTGAATCAAGATGGCGGACACCGTAACGTAGTATGTATACCAGGTTAGGGTTAGGCCATAATTTTATTCAAATTTTTCTTATTTTAGTTCTATTACGAGTTCGGGGACTAGCCAAGTGACTCCCGTAGTATTTGTACCTGAAATTATGGCCTAACCCCGACCGGGTACACATACTACGTTCCAGTGTCCGCAATCTTGGTTCACATACTACAGGAGTACCAAAATAAATTTTCAAGCCATCGTAGTATAACTGCAAATGACTATCTGCCCAACGAATAATAACATCTATTATTTCATGCGCATCTGAAAATAAAAAGAGATCTAATCCATTAAAGGCAATTTCTAAATGAAAATTTACCACGAACCTAAAATCGAAGAATCTCGAGCGACCTCTATTGTTTAAAGTGCAATACAGAAATAATAAATCATATTGTAACGTGATAGGTCCTGTGACTCCCGTTTACATTGCAATAAAGCTGTAGATTGTAACAAAAGCACAAACATTTTGTTTGTCACTGCTTGGGATTTTTTGATGAGACCTATTGCTGTGAAGAAATCTTATAATTTTTACGGAGTTTCTCGCAAGATCGTTGAAATACCGATATTTACTTTTCAGTTTTAATTAATAGTATACAGAATCGAATTGGGTTTATTATTTCTAACCCTACGGGGGGTCTTATTACGTCATAATACCATGCATTATTCTATATGTCATCGGTTCCCAAAGGGCGATTTGATGAGTGTACCCCGAAAACTAACAAAATTGTGTTAGAAATTAACTAATATATGATTGAATATTTTACAAATCGTACTTATTATAAATGTTGTATTGTTTCTTTTTCAAATTCTGTAAATATGAATCACATGATTCATTTCACTTTCCTATGTCGTTCACTTTCCGTTACGTATTGTCTGCCTCTAATGTTGCTTAACTGCTACGTATACGTAATAATAGAGATAGACACCTCTTGCTGCAACTTTAAGTTATTATAATTAGAATGTCAAATATAATTTGAATCCATGTGTTTTTACGGCTTATCAAGCAAACCATGACACAATATAGCAAGAGAGTAAGAAACGGACATTCTTTAGCAAATCAATTTCGATTCAATATATATATTTCATTTTAGGATTATACATTCTTTATTAATTTAAAAAAATAAGGCCAAAACATACAGGCTCACATTTTTTACACTTATTTGAGTTGATTCTGAATTTTTAATACATTGACACTGCTTAGCTGGCGAGCTCTGTGAGTTCTAGATATTTATAAAGACTTAAAACTAAAATCCAGTTTACTGCAGAAACCATATAATTATTTGCTTTTTTTTAGAATTGTTCACTGTTAAACCATGGGATACGCGTTAATTATACCTCCCAACTTTATTCCCCCATTGTGAATTCGTATTACCCTCTACTGTTTGATTATCGTCGTTTATATGCGTGTTTATTTCATCATTTTGTTATGGTTTAAATATGCATGATCCACGAGGTCTAACATTAGTCAGACGAAGCGTTAAAGCCGTAAGTAAGTGTAAATGTGAAACATGATTTCTTATTCTTTTCACTGTTTCCATTCTCGCGAATACTATTCAATCCCTCTAACACTAACTGGAAGTGATGCTTGTTGAATTGTCGAAATGCGCGGTTCGGCTGGCGTTATCTCAGTTGGCCGCGCGCTCGGCTCGGCTCGGATGTTCGTACTACGAATTTCCGTTCGAGTACCGCAGCATTTTTGACTCGAATTTTTTGGTCGACTACCGAATTTTTAGACAGTCAGAATGTCGATTCGTTCGATTACTGAAGTAACACTGTGTGTACAATGAGGCTTAATTACACTCTACACAATTTCAAACTAAGCAACTTCTAGAATCATATCCATACCATGCTCATCCGAATTTGACACGCGCTATGCATTTGGACTCTCTTGATTATTTTATATGCAGGGCTGGGACTAACCATTGAGCAAAATGAGCACGTGCTTAGGGCACCGAGGTAGAAGAGGCACCACTGCAATTTCCATAGTTGAATTTCCAATGGCGCTTCAGTGTTTAATGAAATAAGCCCACAGTTTGTCGACCACTAGCATAGATCAACGGACAACGGCTCCGGTGTGTGAGCCATAAAATTGAATCGTAACATGGACATTTCGGTCAAAACCACCTTTATTGTAATTTCGAAGTAAAATTAGTTGTGAGGTGAATGTATTTATCCTGATGGTGGTATGATGGCAAGCGATATAACTGTCCCCAGAGCGGTGGATACTCCGTACCGTAGTTTATGTCGGATCATCTAAATTTCCACTATCCGTTCAAAAGGGGTCATTCTGGGTGTAAAGATAATTTTCAATTATTATCTAAATACCTGAAGAATCAGGACTCTTCTTTAATCTGCAAAATTGTCAAGAACTCTAATATTTGTATTCAATCTGCTGGAAAAATCATTGCGGAAGATAACAACAAAGAAGAATCAATACCAGACACCTGCTCATGCAAAGTTATAGCTTAAATAGCCTCAATGGCTAATTAGCCTCGATTCATTAAAATGTGTGTGAATATTGAAGTAAATGGTAGGTGGTCACTGATCGAGCATTTATTTATTACCAAAAAAATAAGTTGTCAACGGTAGACATTTTGATATTGTGTGTAATATTTTGTACTTTTTATGGACGCTTTTGTCGCAAATCATTAACTAGTGATGCATGCCTTGTCGGTCTTGCATGCATTTGTGCAAACATTGTCCGTCATCAAAACTGAACGTGCGATAGGTTTTGTGCCGGAAGCAATTTTGATATCAACAGATACATTTTGTCAAGATACAGTCGATGTAGTCGTTCTAAAACTAAAGAAAATGTCTCAGAAGCTCTCCAGTGTCATTGTAACTACAAGGAAAGTTACAAATGAAGAGACAGGTATTGACTTGCACGTATATGAAGAACGGAAAAACTTTGCTTCTAAACGAACAATCAGGGCGACTGTTTATAATATAATTGTTGTAAGTAACTTACAGACACTTAATGCAAAAGCAGGCGAAACAGTGCAGTATACAATCGACAAATCTCATGATGATTGCGAGAAATTACATAAGAATTTATCAAAAAAATTTCCTGGAACGTTGATCCCAGAGATGCCAAGTAAACCTATCCGCATGATGGACACAGCAGAAAAGGCGAAAACAAGGAAATCTCAAGTCGGCAACTTTTTAGCCTTTTGTGCGAAGACGCCAAAAATAAGCAAGTCAGAAGTAGTATTAAAATTTCTCGGCGTTGAAAATGTAAAACTAGATGGCAAAAGTGAAGATGACGAGCCTAGCGAAAGTCAGGAATCACCAACTCCACTGATTTCCAAACCAAACGTTAACTTGTTTACTCCGGCCATTGATTCATCTCATGAAATATTTTCGGAAGAAATGGAAAACCAGCAAGAAGAAGAAGGCGAGGAGGAGATCGATTACACACCACGTAATTTAAAAAAAAGCAAAAATAAAACAGAAGAAATATCTTCATCCGGGCGCGAGGTGAAGTTATTCGACGATAAAGATACCGATACACCAATGATTGAAAATGCTGTCGTAGCTCAAAAAATAAATGAGGTTACGACAGAACAGGAAGTGGAAGATGGATTATTCGATTATGCAGATAGTGACGAGGATTTAGACGAGTTACTACGCAAATTAGAAAACACAAAAAATACGCGACAAGCAAGAGAAAAGGATATTGCGGAAAAAAGAAAGGCTGCACAAAACTCAAATATCAAAACGGCTGTAGAGCCAGAAGCGGGAGATTTTGATGTCAACGATATTTCTAAATACATATCAGAAAACGTTGTGAACATGAACGACCTTAACCTCGGTTTGTAACATCAATAAAAAAGTGAAACCGTGTTTATATACTATATAGCAGTGCAATATTGAGATGCTTATATTGATTTATATGTTTTAACTATATATATTCTATTGCAATATTTCGCTAGTGTTTGAACTAACATTTCATCCAATCGATGAAACAGACATTTCCAAACTACCATTTTGTGAATATTTCCTAATAAAATAATAGCAAACATTTGTCAGTTTTTGTTCAGTTAATGATGTCGCCAAGAAATTTTTCCATTTGTTTGTTGTTTTGCAGCCATTCTGGGGACGCACGCGGGTTTTATAATCATCTCTGCTTTTTTTCTACGCACAGCCTTTCTTAGAATCTCGCAAAACAACGGGGACGAAAAAATGTTTACAACAATGCCTGCATATCTGTCTGAGCGATTGAACAAATTACAATAGATTCGTCATTGTTAACTCATTGCCGATTAGTCATTGTTAAGGAAATAAACAAAGAAATTGATTATGTGAAAACATCCTTACTGAAACTCATTCAATTTCAGATAACATGGGACACTAGATTAATATTATATTTTATATATAGAGCACCAAAGTCTAAAGTGCTTAGGTCCTGCACTGTACTGCCCATCTCCATTAGGTCACAAAATCTTATGCAAACCATTGCTAAGTGACATCTATAAAAAAAATAGAGTACGAAAAAGTAATGAAGCTGAAAACTGTCATTAAATTTGACACTGCCTTCAAATATTTATCTTAAAACTCACAACACTTAAAGATGGATTAACATGGTAGGTAGATATTCTTCGTTTAGTTTCCCCACACACTTGAGACAAATTTAACCATATGTTAGAAATGAATTTTCTAATATCAAACAAGTGAACATAAATGAGGAACATGCTCTCCCCTTAATCATAATGCATTTCATAAAATATCGATGGTCCATGCATCCTTGTGGCTTGTATATGGCAAGTGATTGGATTTGGTAACATAAATTAAAACAGCAATGATTGAATGTTTATATGGAGACCATGTAATTATATAATCCAAAATAATAATAGTACAGAGAGACCCATTTTAAACAGGCATGAAAACATAACTTTTACATGTTTGGAATTAATCATTCAGTCATTGGATAATAATAAGCATGCCTCAGGTCACAGTCATTTTCAAGAAATGAATTTTCAGAAAATTTAACATCATAGCCCGATGGTATAAGATCTACCATTCGGGTTGTGTATTTGACTTGCTTGTGGAGAAGTGACACACCATTCATACCAAACCTTTTTTCCATTGGAACAACGCCAAAAATCAGTCTGTAATGTACAACCTTCGGTAAGAGGGATTGGATTCATCAAGGGAACGAAAATTGGAAACCAACTGAACATTCCCGGTGAATGTGTTTTCGGTTCGATACTGATTTCAACATCTTTGTACAATGCGCATCTGAAATAACCACCAAATCCATGCAGCATGGTGTCAAAAGGAATCGTGCAAGAAAATTGTTGATATCTTGTGTTGTGACTATTTGTTGGCATTGTCGGAGTTGATTTGATTTGATTGTTATCCTTAGTTGGATCAATGTGATTGTGTTGACTATCTTGAATCTGATTAACTTCAGTTTTCCCATTCGTTTCCATGTCCTCTTTATCCTTCACATCTTTTTTGCTGAACTTCTTGTCCCAAACTTCTGCGGAAACGTCGGCATGGAACTCTGGTTTAGGATTTTGACTATCCAAATCCCAGTTTGGATGATTGAATGTGAACAACGGAACTGGTTCAGTAAGTTCATGATAATTATGAATACGAACCACATACAAAGTTTCAAAAGCAGCTTCGGGTGTCTTATTTTTATCCAGACCCATCACACCTTTTATCTCATTGTAAAGTTTATGAGATGAGATAGGAGATATGTAAGAAGTGTATGACTGTGGGATACTGACTGCATCTGGTTTTAAGAAGCGATTTGCCCCGTCTAAGCACTCCGGTGACAATTCATTGTCACCCAATGATCCTAGCAACTCTGAAACAACAATATCAGCTAGCTCAGGAGCGTTCCAAAACCTCATATCAGATGAAACTACAGTGACATCATAGTCTTTCCACTCTGTCGTGCACAAATGTTGCAAAAGTACAGCAGCATTTCTGTTTTTTTCTACTGCATAAAGACGAACTTTTCTTTGAGCTCTTTTAGCACCTCTGAGTGACATTCTAACGAGAGGGCCGCGACCCGCACCAAGCACCATGATAACAGCTGTTTGCTGTTCTTTTGCGGAATCAGGAATTTGGTCAAGCAAGCAACGATACACTGCTTCCTCGTACTTTTTATATTTGATAGGATCTCTTTCGAAGATTTCATAGGTTGACGATTCCAAATTATCCATGAGCGGCTGGAGTGGTGCTTGCAAATGATCTTCATAACCTTTTGAAAATTTTTCATATTCCCCTAGATTTTGAGCACCTTGGAATAAATGATCCAAGTATTGATGATACACTAGGATTCCTTCTGCATTATTCAAGTTAGGACCAGACAATACAATTTGACAATTCAACTTCATGAGATTTTTAACAAATTGCTGATGAGCACGGGACAAAACAGGAAATCCTTTTTGATTCATCAGAAAAACAGAGGTTGGAATATAAACCACACGAATAGGTTCACCTTGCCATCTTTCCAACTGACTTGGTAAGTCTGCAGTTAATTCTAATGCTAATCCAATCCTACTGTGATGGCTGCATAAGGTTCGAAATTTGTTCCACCAGTGCCATGTATCCTCCTCACAATTTCTGGAGTGTAAAGGGACTTTAACCCATATGTGGACATTATGATGACCTTCATATAAAAAGGTGTTTATCATTCTGGCAATATTTGAACAATTTTTGCTCTTGATTTCAACAATAATCGCAGGTAAGCTCAAAAAAGCAACAAAATGAAGCTCTTGTTTTACAGCTTCTTCCGCACAAATACGCTTCTCTGTTACAACAGATGTCAAATCAGGAAAATAAGAAAGTTTGCCAACGACAAGGGAAGCCCATTCTTGTGAATTGAATAAAAATGATGTGTCTGTAACACCACCAAGTTTATCACATAGATTCGCTGTTTCAAATGGTGTGCAGCCTTGTCTGACAACATTCGCACATATAAAGTCATAGCCATTTCTACTAGAATTCTCTATAGATTCTTCAAGATCTTCAGTAAATTCAATATCTAGTCCGCAAGATACACGGTTTCTTGAGGCCATCTTAGGTTATGGTAAGCTATAATTTTAAGGAGTTATATTACAAATTTTGGTCCTAAAATTTAAATAGTAAAGCACACTTTTACCAAATCTCTGAAAACTTGTTTTTGCTTCAGTGTCGATGACTTCCAAATACATATATGGTCACACAGGATTAAAGATGAAACATCCCTACTAGTATGTTGTGTTCAGTTTTCAATGGCAAAAAAGGATGATTTACAGGATTAAGGTTATATGAGGTCAACTCATATTTTTTGTACCATTTCAATTTGAGGCATAATACTAATATTACATATAAACAATTATCCGCAACAATTATAAACTTATTAAAAAAGAATAATCTAATTCGCTGATAAAAAAATTTTACCATAGCATTTGAGTTTTTAGCTAAAAAAACATAATTTTGGTCACCAGACGTCCAACTCAGTTTATGATTGATTTAAATTATTACCGAGAGAATCTTGGCGTGATGTAACTGTTTTAGAGACAAAGGGAGTGCTTGCTATATAGAACCAAATGTTGGGACATTTTGGAATCAGGTAACTGTGCCACAATGATGGCTGGATGGTATGAAAGAAAAGTCGAATCATGCAAAATTTCAGATATTTAAATACCGGTACTAATTGAATCGAAAGACCAGAAAAGACAGCAAGAACAATAGACTATGTGTGTGTCATAAGATAAATTGTTATCATGTTTTCTTATTCTGTTTAAAATGGTCTGAAGGAAGACTACGACGACATATATGCCAAAATAATACGCCAAATTTATTGAAGAAAGCTACTTTCAACACACATGTAGGCTAGCTAACTTGCTTCTAATTCTCATATTTAATATATCAGTAGAAATTGTGTCTTACTACTTACTGAATATAGCGCGAAACACTGCAAAGAGCGCAAAATAGCGCGAAACAGCGCAAAACAGAAAGAGACCAGCGCAAAACAGCGCAAAACAGGAGACGCAGTCATTACCACCTCCTGCCACGAAAGAACCACGGCGCCTCTCGCCATGGTTTTATGGCGCTATTTCCGTTATATTTACAAGGTTATGTACCGGATTATAGGTCATCATGCGAAATTTTATCTACCTTTTTGGTGCTCCAGAAGTATGTGCAGCAATATGTCGCACAACCTGAATCCGCTACACACACACACACATACTCCTTTCAGGTTGTGCGCCACCTTGGTGCACATACTTCTGGAGGTCCCTTTTTACCTAACCCTAAAGCCAACCATATCCATATGGAAAATGTTTTAAATTATGGTACCCAAAATGTGTCACCAGCAGGGGCAGACCTGCCATTACAGCATTACTGGCTACATACGTTACCGTAGTTTGTGTTTTCAATTTGCTGCCGTGGTACTCCAACTCAAAACAAGGTGCCCCGAACTCATTGCAAAAAAATTTTCCGCTTCACATTGTTTCCCTCTGTTTTGCGCTCTTTCGCGCTGTTTCCCCACTGTTTTGCGCTGTTTCCCTCTGTTTTGCGCTCTTTGCGGTGTTTCGCGCTGTATTCAGTACGGTAAGTAGTAAGACCGGTAGAAATTTGAAGTCAGGAGTTCATTAATCATAGACTAACGTCAGAACATAGAACGATAGTAGGCTAAATTAAACCCACCATGATATCATACTGCCATAGCATCCATAAATGCGTATTACATTGTAGTCTATGTGTAATAAAAAAAACAAAGAATGCGGATCGAAAAGCAGGGCTGGAACTCATCCATATGGATGTTTGGAATTATACTACAGTACCATAGTCAAAAGGTTTTGAACAATAATTTACAAGCAAGTTGCCAAGATTAAACCCTCACACAGATCGAGACTATTACATGCTTTCAGTTAGCAAATCAACATGAAGTAAATACAAACAGAAACTCCACCCCACCTGCTATCAAAGAAAATATCCCCGCATGCACCAGCAAAGTGGACAATCCACATGCTACTAGTGCGGTGGTGTATGGAGTGGAAATCTAGAGTCCGAACGTAATCCGATTCCGCATAAGTACCCTTGCATATATCAAATTTACGTATATGCCTTTATATGGTGATTACCACCGTAAGTAAATTCAAGTTTGAATGAAATAGCTAAATCTTAACATCTAATGCCTTATTTTCCTTATTATTTTCCAATTCTTACAAAATTATTAATACGGTGTGGCAAATTATTTTTTTTAATTTGTTTGTATATTATTCTTTTTATTAGGTAATATCTTTTATGTATTAATTTTTATTTTAAACCTTAGATTTTACATCCTGACAGATTCTATTTTAAACCTTACTTGAGTTATTTTTGCTCTCCTGATTGTGTAATCAGTTTTATTTATTTAGTTTTTATCAACAATTTTATTGTCTATTGTGCTGATCATGGAATCGAAATAAACTATCCCACGTAATAGTCTACGACTGCGGTATGCGTAAATGTTAGTTCTTCATGCGTTTATATTCCCATTTTTCAGGAAATTGCAGTTGATTTTATTCAGCGATCCCGTCGGGCCGTGGTTCTCATAGTGCGTCGTTTCAATTTTGCTAGGTCGTCCCGAAACCTTTTTCTTTTGCGGAATCGTACCTGTTTTGCGGTGCGTAAAAAAGTTTAAAAACGTCTAAATATCGCTGTAGAAATGTACGAGCGTAAAAATGATACTGAACAAGAAGTATGATGAAAGCTACTTGGACTTTGGATCGTTCAAGTTTCGAGTAAAAAAGCGCTGTGGTTTTTGTTGCAACTGGGGATGCGATGTACTTACTACATGCCGTTCAGGCTTATTAGGTAACCGGTTTGACTGGCTGAAATCTTGCTACACCAACATATTACGGCTTTTGTTCGCCATTTTGTGAACGGAATCGATATAAAAAGAAATTTTAATCACGAAAATGTTATGAGTTTTTGGATTTCCTCGGATAAAGATTATCCTTCCTTGCGGATAAAAAAAAAGGCATTGCGCACTTTCATCCCCCGCGACTTCGTATTCATGTGAAGCAGGCTTTTCTACCATGGCTGTAATAAAGGCAAAATATCGTTCTCGAGAAAACGTTGTAAGGCAAATGCGTATTCACCCCAAGGCTCAATGACAATTGTGAAAGGAAGCAAGAACACCCATCACATTAAATGCAATATCACCGACTTTCGGTAAATTTTGTTTGCTTGTTTAAATAAAACTCATTGCAAAAAGGTCTTTAATTGTATTAAGACGTTTTCACGGGGAGTCGCCACTTGAGCATATTTTTCGGAGGGCGTCACAATACAAAGAAGTTTGAGGACCATTGCGGTAGTAGGCAATCCGTAACTGACGTCCCAAACATGGGCCACATGAAACCCTCCACGACAACGGGTGTCTCAGCAATGCTCCCCCACTCAAGTTTTGAATCTGCACACATTAAGCACGAGGCATTTTACTCCATATTTTTTCATTTAAGTTTCTGTGAACTATGAAAACTAACGCAAATTTCTCAAAAACCAGACTGTGTAGTTTACAGACTGTGTCAAAATAATACCGCCGTATCAAAGATACTGATACCTTAAACTTTAATAAGTAAAGCTCAAAAGTTGATAAAATACAAATTAATGTATAGACTCTCAAGTTTTATTACTTGTTTCAAACTACCAAAGTTCCACAGATAAATTACAATAACTAAATTACATTTACAGGTCACATAAAAATGAACCAGACCTAATAACTACATGATGAATAAGTAACATGCACAATGCAACTAATGTAACAATGATGCTAGGGCTAACTACCAAGCCAGTAAAATGCCAACAATCCACATAAATTCTCATAATTAGCACTACTGGGTATAAACTTGAAACCAGACGATACTTGACAATAAGTGATAATAAGGTCTGTTTTAGATCAGTCGAGAGAAGTTTGTTCATCGAATATAGATTAGCCAACCTGTGCGAAGTGGAAACACTTCTCTGAAATGCAGTTTTAGATGGAAAGAAATATATTGCACTGCAAGAAAAAAATAAATGAGCAAACTATATTGCGCTACCCCGTATATACATGCAGCTCTGAAAAGATAGAAGCAGTAGAGATGAGACCTTGCGATGTAATATGCATTGCTTCAAACGAAAATTATGAATTTCATCTTGAATTTAGAACATACACAGTAGCATTGAAATTGATAAAACGTAAAATATGCAATTAGGAATCCTTGAAAGTTGGGCAGACACAGTTGATGAATTAAGACATCAAAGACAGCAAACAGAACAAAACTTGTGCAAAATAATAAAGTTGAATTTATGTGTATACTGTATACATGTACAGTACATTAATTGTAAGACATAAATCAAAAATTTGACAGAGTTTGTACAACGAAAGTGCTTCGATGATATAAAATAAATTGTCAATCGTACATAAATATAGATGATAGGATAAAGTAATCTTGATTAAATAAAAAAACCAGACAAACTTAAACTATAATCACAATTAGATTTTCAGCCTTACAAAGTCAATTTTACAAAGTGCAATAAACGTTTGTCCGATAAATCCCCAAAAAAGTGTATTCTATATCCATGAACTTTATTTCATTAATATTATCCCAATATAGCAAATTAAGAACATGGTGAAGAAAACAATAAAACCAAATGGAAAATAAAAAAAAAATTATTAGTACCTTGTAATCTAAAACAATAAAATAAACTAGAATAACATATTGAAGAAATTAAAGGTATGAAAGAAAGGTTTGGATAGACATATCCACATAGTAAGACGAGGAACGATTTTGTTTTCACCTTAATCATGTTTTGCAATATTTGTCCGAACGAAAAAAGTTGGAAATCTGTTTAAAATCAGACATATTTCACCTAAAGTGTTGACAGCATAAATGTCTTGAACTGGCACTTCTTTTTACAAGGTATATATGCCCTCTTTGTCCTGACAGTATAAAAATAGCCTAAAACTACATGGAATTATTACAATTACATAACAGTATACATAGAAAAAAAACTTGTCACTAAAGTACGAAAAATAGTTTATTCAGTTCAGAATTTACTCTCTGAAAGCATAATTATTTTATTAAACAAACCTGAACCTTAAAGCATCACTAAAAACTTGATTTAAAAAAAAAATCTATCTATTCCAATAATTTCATTGAATAACCATTTGAAACCAAAATTTTGGTTGATTGGAGCTCTCCAACTCTAAGAATGGTAGACTGTGGTGGGTGAAAATGTATGTGTAATATTTTGATTTTCGCTCAACCACATCATGTTCAATTTTCATAAACATACTTCTGTACAGATTTATGACATGATTATGAGTATCATGAATAAACAGAGTTCAAAGTAAATGAAAAAAAAAGTTTAAATATTGAGATTTTAGGGCATCAAAATGTTCCAAATTCATTGAATTACTAATAAATAGAACCAAAAAAGGCGAATTTTAATCTCCTTGGTCAAATCCTATTTGACATATATTGAAATTTTGCCGCCTTTTTAGATCCAATTCCGATATTACAGTTTATTTTATCAACTGAAAGCATCAAAAGCACCTTTTTGAATACACTCATTTAAAAGGAATATTTAATCTCTTTTGATATTGAAAATCAGTGGTGTAACTAGCATTAGATATTCATGAAGAACTGTGGAACTGATAAATATGGAATTAGGTAGCACCTAGATGTAGACGATTGTCATCTGCAACTTTCCTATATTCTTTGGATTTCAAAAAGTTTGACATCTGTGTCATACCAGACGGGTGGATCAACATTCCTGAACAAAAAAATTTATAAGAGGATAAAAAAAAATTTAATAAAAAGGAGTATTACTAATTATCAGGGAATATTTCCAGTGGAGGGATTGAGGGGGTTAGCGCAAACAGGTTCTCGGAATGTTGCGACAATCAGCAACCAGTTCTTGCTTTTTTTTTTGGAGACAGCAGCAAATGTGTAACACGCGCCGCAGCTGACATTTAGTGTTGTACGCAGCGTTTCGAGAGATACGTATTGGATTTTTATAATCGTGTCATGTTAAAGTAGCTTCCGTATTGCCATACATTAATAAATATGACATCGCGTAAACACATTTTCGGAATGTTGCACTAATCAGTGAACCAGTTTTTGTTTCGACGACAGCAGCAAATGGGTAATGTGCTTGGCGTTTCGAAAGTTTCATGCTAAAGTAGCTTATGTTTTGACATACAGTTATAGTTTGGCATGATTTTTTGGAAGGAGGGAACCTGTTGTGAGTTCGATACAAAACTTGATTCTCATCACAGGTTATTTTCAATTGATCGATACACCTTTCTACAAATGCTTTATACTGATTTCATTTGAAAGCTTTACCTGAGATATATCACACCCCACATATAAGTTCGAAACCATGTTGTTGTGCCAGCATTTGCCTGATATTTTCTGATGAGAATCGGATGTGGAACAGGTAACAAACCAACAAGCGTGCCATGTTGCAGAAATTTGAGAATTTCTGACTCATCTGTGAGGTTCCTAACAAAAAGGAATGTGAAATTGTTAAAACATATTTACATCAAAAAAATGGTCAAAACTATGAATCATTTTTCACCAAAGTTATTCCTAAAGAAGCTATGCTATGTGGCATTACTATTTAGCTGAGCTGTTGTAAAACTGCAGGTCTCATACCGGCCGGTATTTGATGGAGAGTATTTTAATATGACATGATTATAAGCCTTCCGCTCTGAGCAAGGCTCTGCACAAAAAGTCACTACTGGGTTAGAAACTACACATAGTTTGGAAGTAACTATACACCACTTACTTATCAATGCAAATTTTTTCCACTTGAGGAACGAGTACTTGCAACATTCTCATTATTGTTTGTAAAGGTAGCTTGCTTTTCCATGATCGTACCTAAACAAAGAATAACATTTCATAAAAGTGTTTTAGTTCAGTAGTCTCTAACTCAATTTACTCCCAAATTTAAACTAAAAGTAAGTGAATTTGGCATAATGGGGTTTGGCAAATATTACACCAATCCTCAATTTCAACATAAAATATGCTGCATTAGTAGCCATCTCAACTGGTATGCTGCTAAAGGGAAACTGTGTCCAAATTTGATGTTACACATAATCAAAGCAGTTGGACCAAGATGACAATAAATGTTCAGTTAGGAGTAGAGATGGATATTCGGTGCCGATTACCACACTAAAGCCAACTTTGTATAAAGCTGCCATACGTGGGTTTGATTTTTAGGGCAGCTACTAAAGTCTTGTATTGTGAATCAAACCGAGTAAGTAAGTAAAGACTTGATCTCTGTCTCCGGTCTGATAGAAAAATGGTGCTGTGTAATAAGATTTATTGAATATTTGTTATAAAAATTTTGAAGGCAAAAAAGTGAAACATGGACATTGTATTAGAAGTACAAAACACGCAAATATAACAAAAATAGAGATAAAATAGGGAAAATAAGCACGAGACAGGTGAAACAGCTGGCTAGCTGCTGTTAAATGGAAAACAGTAACTTGATGTCCTAAGTAATCAATTTCAGCAAATACAAAAATTGAACGTGCGAATGTAGATTCTAAGGTCAACTGGTAAAATCGATCGAATTACCATTAACCCTTAAAGTTGTGTGCACAAGCTTAGACAACTCGCAAAAATAGAATTTGGAGTCACAGCCCACTTACCCATTCAGGAGTGCAAACCCATTCCCCGGATGGGGCTTTCGCATCTGATGGTCTCTTGGATCTTGTTGCTGCATCACTAGGCTTATTAGCGACATTATTATGAGAATTAACATTATCAACTCCTGACTCGGTTCCGGAACTTTCTCCTTCTAATACTCTTGCGCTGTCAGATTGAGGTTGGCGATCATTTTGCATTTGTGATGTCATAGTATTAAGATCTGAAACGAATAATTTGTTGGTACACAAGAAAAAAATTTTACATAAAAGTTCAGGGATGATCGGGTAGGTAGAAAATCCAATTATTAAATTTTATCAGGGTTTTCCATTTTTAAGGAAAATTCCACGGAAATGGGGGAAAAGAAAAAATTTTGATGAAATCTGAAGTATGTGTGATTTTGCACTAGAAATGCCAAGAATGAGTAATAGTGGGATAAATTAGGAAAATCATTAATACCTAACAATTCTCTATACACTATATTATAGAAATAGCTTTTTATTTCAATAAATTGCTTTGCCAGCTAAATGACTATTCAGTTGGTAATAAAAATAATAATACTAGTATTAACATAGTATATTTTCGATAGACGAATATTTCGATGAAATTATATAAATTTTTCTTGATTTCTGCTAAGCGTCACAAATTATAAGTAAATATTAAATTTATCTTAGTTTTTTCACAATTGGATGTTGTTTATCACACGGATAATAATAACACAAAATTATCAGAAAATAGTTAATTTACAAATGCAAAAAACACCCAAAAAAAAACACGCACAAACCCTTGAAAATGCAATTTTGCGTGCCATGCTGCATGAGAAATTAAGATTTTACATTTTCACAATCTGGATCGGTGGCTTTCAGCCTTTTTGGTGGAGCCGAACTCCACATCGAACATTCTATTAACGGTGGTTCTTAACCGAGATTCAGACAATACAGTCCAGGGGTTGCTCAAGTTTCCAATCAAAAACAAAAGTCTATCTTATCTGTATATTGTTCAAATAAAACCAAATACCTATTAGGTTTGCCACTATTATTGATCTTGCTGCATTTTGAAGATAATTTTGTTTTGCAAGTATTAGGTTTACTTTTATACAGGTACATATACATTCATGTATGTAGATTTCTCAGTCTCTATACTTTCAGCCAAATTGCTCGCAGTTGAATTTTTTTTCTTTAAATCTTTTGGTTCGTGTTTTAATATGGACCTACCGTATGTCTTGGTAAAGAATACACTCGCCTCCCACCTCCGCATAGGTTTGCGCTCATTGTACTGTATATGTATGTATATGTCTGAATTACATAAACTATAAATATATATAAAAGCAAACACAATACTAGCAAAACAAAATGATCTTTAACTCAGCAGCAAGTACAACGCCAAGCCGGTAGGCGCCTAGGATCTCCGCTGATAGTTGAGACCTGCACTCAAGCAACCGGTTACCATCCACAGAAACTTGCGGATCTATAACGCCGGCATAATTAGGTGAATGAGTTAACAAAACAGCCAGTTCATTTTTAGCGCTCTGTGTTTCGTAGACATTCTCGTGTGACGATATACTGCAGCTAATCATTAGAATAATGTTCACTAAAATCCCTAAGGCTTCCCCAGTTCATGGAGTATCGAGACGAAAGACGACTTGTTCCAAAGAGTATTTTCTTCTGCGGAAGGTAGCATTCTTGGAATTTCAATTTTCTACATGGTTAATGAGAAAACTACGATGAATTGTGAAAATTTTGGAAATTTCATAACGATCGGCGCATTTTTTCGTTGTTGCCATGGAAGCGGAACTTCAGTTCAAACTTTCCCTAAAACGCACATTAGGGTGACATGATAACCCACGTGTGAAATTTCATCTAGATCGGTCCAGCCGTTAATAGGCTAGAGCTGGACACACAGACAGACAGAACGGCCGATAATGAGGGTCTCCTATAGCGAAGATCCAATAATGGCAAACCTATCTGATATTTGGGCATATCTAAACAATATATATATGTTTACATAGATTCTGACATTTGAATGGAAACTTGCAGAACCCCTAAACTGTACCGTCAGAACCCTGGGGTGCCCCGTGACCCCAGATGAAAACCACCCGATCTACATGTTAGAATTAAACCTATTCTACTGAGATACAAAGAATATGCATGAATTGGATGAACAGAAATTGTTCATCACAAAAATGCAGGTTGTTATGTAGGCCTATCTAGATCTAAAGTTTGAAAGATCTATACCAAACTCTATAGCAAAATTCTATAGCATAAAACACAATGTTATTTGCAGAAGAAATGACATAATCTGTTTATATCGACGCATGAAATCCAAATTGGGCTAAGTCCATTTTTCTAGTTTTGAGAAAAACGCAAAAAACGTTTTTTTTTTGTTTCTTTTTTTTATTTCTCTAATACCTTTCATCGAGGATGTCTAGTTTTTATGGTCCACCAAAGTTACAATGAAGGCCATATTTAGATGGTATAAAAAAATTTGTGCTCCGCCCCAATTTTTTTGTGGGGGATGGAGGAGGGGGGGGGGGGGGGGTTTGGACTTAACCCTTTTTGGCTCTCAATTTTCTGGACCAGAAACAATTTTATTGGACTTAGGGCCCCTTTATTATGTTATTATTGCGGCTGGTATGGACTTGGCGCTTTGTATTATATTTTTTGAGAGGAGCTATGTCCAAAAAACGGACTTAGCCCCAACTTACAATGCAGTTATCCAGAGCTAAGTCCACTATAGTAGACACAGCTCTGTTTAGTTCTCAAATGCCCTAAAAAGAAGCAGGGTTATGTCCATAGCTGCCTTGAGATCTAGAGCAAGCACCTAGAGATAAGGCAAATAGACCAAAATGTAGAGCTAAGTCCAGGAAAATCAGCAATTAAAAAATGTCATTTTTTGGAAAAGTGGACTTAGCTCTGTTTGGTTTTGAGGTGTCGATATAACAATGGGAACAACAACGAAAGCGCATATACAGAACTTCATCAAAAAATTTTTTGCGGTTTTGCAGACAATTTCTGATATACACTTCGATAGTGAATTAAGAGTAATTTTTCTTGAATAACAAGAATTCGTTCCATTTTAACTCATGTTTAACATATTTTTTAAAAATTATGGTCATTCGTGCCTTTTATTCTGAACAAACGCCACCAATGCCTAATAATATGTGAAAGACTATTATTTTTTGAAGAAGCCGAATCTTCCAGTCCCGCATTGCCTACTCCAGGCCCCAGGGATGACCAACCTGCTTTCGAGCCCGATCGACTAAAATCTTCGAAATAGCTCACGATCGACTGATGAGCAATAATAAGGTCATGCAAAAAAACGAGTGATTTCTGAATATGCAGATAACTGCACATACGCATACATAAAATTCCACGACTGCTAATAAACTCGGCTCTTTGGGCGCATTTTAATGAAATCGCCACAAGACTTCGTATTTTTTATGTTCCATTTAACTTGATTATGTAATTGTGCCCGGAAAAATGTTCACAATTTATTTGAGTCAAACAATTCAGATATACAGCCTCATTTTGCGCATGTACTACAGTACTGTATTCATCCTGTTTTGAAACACAACAAGCGCTGCATGAAACTAGTTAAAGGAAAAATGTTGGGGTATGTTATCAAATTCCATCAACATCAGACGCGATCGACTACCTGGGACTCAGCGATCGATGTGTTGGCCACCCCTGGCCTACTCAATTCATTACAGCATGGTTGAGGTGGGGGTCTGGGTCTGAGTGTAACTTGCAATGCCAACACCGTTGAGTGTTGAGTCTAACTCTTTCACCGCTAGACATACAAACATGCTGAGTGTAACTTGCAATGCCAACACCGTTGAGTGTTGAGTCTAACTCTTTCACCGCTAGACATACAAACATGCACAGACTCCCTATATATAGTTCAAACTAACACCACTACACCACCACCATTGTATGCTAAAAATAAACCTTCGTCATCATCAACTTCATGTTCCTGTCCTGATGCATCAATTGTTAATTCGTGCAATGCTACAGCATGAAAAATTAATATTTTAAAATAAAAATGAACGTAAGAAAATAAAAGGTCATTGCATTCCAAGCAAAATAAATAGTCAGGCTGGTGGGTTTTTATACGTTATGTAAAATAACAAACAGTGTACTGATACAGCGTGACCCCAAAATAACAGAACATACGAGGCTAGAGAGAACTTTTGTGCACAAAGCGTCCTAGATAACTAAACTTTTGGATGCAATCATACACTAACAGAAGTTGAAGTGTTAAATAAGTTTTCGTCATTTATGTAGAAATAATCAAGGAATTCATGGGATCTGTTTTTGGGTCACCTTATTTATGGTCTATGAATGATAAATCAGAAATTTGTGAATAAATTTGTTCAAAAGATATTTTGTTGCTTACATGCGCTCTCTCAGCAGTAAGGGATACTCACTTTAGAGTAACTCAAAGCGGGACTATGCAGAATTACGCATATCTAAAATATTCAAAAAACGATTTTCGATGAATTTGGATGAATAGAATTTGAGAAAAAAAAACGTCAAAACCTAATTGTCAAAAACTGAATTTTTATCATGATGAATCATTTGAAAATATTCAAAATTTGAAACATCAGAAACTGAGAACGATCTGTAACAAAAGAAAAACGCACACCGATTAGTATTAATCATGGTAACCTGGACATGCTCACCAGGTGTGGAAGCCAGCGTTGCGCTTAGCACTCCGCCAGATTGATTATTTTCAGGTTGAATTTCATTGCTCGAAACTGCGACTTCATGCACTGGTATATCAGCACCTATACCTGATGGTACGTGAGAATTTGTTGATGTTGAGGTACTTGAATGTACAGACGATATCGACGATCTCGATTTTCTCTTAGATTTGCCTTTAGATAATGAAGCTTCATCGACTGGTAGGTTCGCAAGCTATTAGAAGTATAAAATATATTTTGACAATCTGTCAGAACAAGTCAGTCTAGCAAATAAAATATTAGCACAAAAATAAATGACTTTGAGGAAATAGCAACAGGATTTGATAATAGAAGATTTAATTTTACATTGTGATCAAAATTTTCAATTTCTAGTAGAAAGGCATTATTAATCAAAATTACGATTTATGATCAATTGGCTGATATATACCATGTAAAATAAACTTAACATTTTCAAATTTAACAAAAATTTCAAACAAAATTCTGACGTGAAAGCCAGATAGAAGAAACACCTACCTGGTGAAAAACTTGTCTTTTTCTTATAATTGTGTACACTAAATTTGAATTACCTGGAAATGCAAAGTAAATATTGATCAACCTTTTCTTTTAGTAAGAACTGAACTAAAATATTCAAACAGTGAAAGAACATTCTATTTAAACCGAATATTTATTTAAATTCTAATTCATTTGAATTTATTGAAAGTTTGTCAAGTGAACCAAAATAAATAAAAATTTGATCATAGCCATTTGTCTCTTGTTATGTGTACCGGGGGATTTAGTTCACAAATGACACAAGTCCTAGAAAGATAAAAGTAAAGTTGATCCATTATACTGATGCTTTATAATTTTTTTTCACATATTTTTATTGTAGTTTTTACATCATAAATAACCCCTTCGAATCCATTGAAGAGATTCAAGTCCCATATCCTTGAAGATCTACTGGCTGGTAAAGTAGTAATGCACCAACATAAATTGGTACTCTCATAGTATGTGTACCAGGTTGGGGTTAGGCAATAATTTTATTCTAATTTTCCTCATTTTAGTTCTATTACGATTTCGGGGACTGTCTGTGTTAGCCAAGTGAATATACCCACTGCCCATAGTAATCAGTCCCTGTACTCAACTTGATGTAAAGTAGGCGAACAAAATTAGTCACCTCCATATTGGTACACAAACTTCTGGAGTGCCCATAAATATATATACCTCGTATTCTAAATGGCCACATGTTATCTCACTAGTAGATGAATCTCCTTTACCTATGAGATTTATAGGGGGAAATTCTTTCATAAATTAGTAAAACAAAGAATTCTATCACTATAAATTCATAATTTAGGCGAATAAAACATTTCAAAATGAAACTGAGTAAAAAATTTGATAACTGACAACCAGGCATAGTCATAAAAAAACCTTATCAACCTCTGAGTAATATTTTCTACCCAATATACAAATGATAAAACAAGTGAAAACAAATACATACCATCAAATTGATATTGAATGATGTTGTTGAAAACTTCAAGCAAGAAGAAAACAAGATGATGATTATGAGGTGATGAAAATAAAAACCATGGTGTGCCGAATGCTTCTAACAGATGGAGTAATTTTGTAGACGCAACCATTGACAGAGATTTCAAGTACGGTGAAACTAAAAAAGTATTTGTGAAATGAAATGATTGTGTCAAATGCTGAACTGCACCAAGAATGTGGATGCCGATATCAATTAATTTTACACTGATCCGATTTAAAATGTTTAATACGGTCAGATGCAAAGATTAATACAATTTGAGCCACATGCTTCAAGCGTGGGCTGTGAAGACAGGATTGGGAATCTTGACTTTACGATGTTGTACAGAATTGTACTATGAAACTTCAGAGTGGAAATTTGGAGTCCGGATTCAGAATTTTATACATTTAATTGTGATAATAGAGCACTCAAAGATCATTAGATTGTAACAGTCCATTACAGAAGTATTGCGTACGCCACGTTCGAAACTGCAGTCTAAGTCGAAATTTTACACATCCCGAGTCAAAGTAAAAATTTTCCAGAGTCTGTGATCAGTTTTAGATTTTCACTGGCCCAACACAGAGTCCTTTCTTTCTTTTAATAGCGCTGTTCATGTCGCATGATAAATGACATGAATGTGACTGACTGTGTAGTTATATTCAAAATAAATAGGAAACAAAAAGAATTTTAAAATACCTTTTCAAATATAATTATATAGTATAAATTTATTGAAAGCAACATACCATTTACAATGATTGTTAGTAAACAATCATACAATGGTTGCAATCTTTGATGGCCAGCGGTGATAATTCTATGAAAGACTAAGATCAGGAAATCAGCATGAGTGCCAGCAAAAGCAGGAACATCAGTTGGTGCACCAGCAGAAAAAGGCTTGTTCAATCTGACTCCAAAATTTCTCTCTCCACTGAGAAGTAATAAAATGAAAACTCCAATGTGCATCAGTCCAACTCGAGCTATTGAAAGAAATGGTATATTTTATTTATAATGGTATGAGAACAAACAGCTAATTTTGTGCAAGTATCGTTATTTGACACAAAGTGGACATATAAATCGTTTTACTAAGTTGTTGTCGGTATCGTCGCTGTCGCTTTTCACCACAACTAATCCCAATTGTTTTCAAAATGAAGGTATTGGAAGATAGGAAATGATAGTAAAAGACTATTGATTTTGCTTATTTTAAACGTTTTCAAAAAGAGTCCCACAAGGCCCATTATTAGCCCACACATTTTGATGTTTTTATAAACTCATGCACACACCTTTATATGACACTCGGTACACACTCACACCTTCATGACAGTTTTTTACAGTCTTGCAGCGAGTAACATTTATGTCAATAAATTTTAGCATATTCCTCTTGCTATACAATATATTGATTAAGCTGGAAAAAATTTAATATTTTCATTATAACAGAAAAATCTTAGTAAATGGCTAAATTGAAATGATATGAAAAAAAATGCATTATTGAATGAACATGTAAATTAAATATACTCACACTGATCTGTTCTTGCATCGTTAAGATGATATAAAACAGGAACCAGAATATCGAGTACATCGCTACTTTTCAAAACATAGAAGAGAAATTTCTGAAACAAAAAATTTAACATAACATAATGTAAACAATATGCTTAGAACATAATTAGGAATATGGCAGAGAGGTACCTAAAAATGAGGTGATTGTTCTGGTGGTCATTAAAGTTGAAAGGTTTCAACTCGTGTTTCATCGGCATTTAAGCTGATAGGAATTATGAATTATGCTGAAATCAAGTTTATTTTACCCCCATAAGCACTTCTTAGTTTCGGCTATCTGACTTTGCTCATATTAAGCATCGAATGATCCCAGAACAACACAGATAATTGATATACCTAGGTTCAGGCCACCAGAAGCTTTTTTAATTACTGTTGTACAAGCAAGCAAGATGATAAATATACAATACAAAATAAGTTTATTTCCCAAGCAAAAAATGATATTTATTTCAAACACAAATTAATATACATTAGGACACCGGATTACATTGTAATTGGATAAAGTCGCGAAGAAAACAGAAAACAAGATGAAATAACTCTTATTAAAGAAAAAGATTTCAAATCATAATAATAAAGAATAAATAACTCCGATATGCATTGTGCAATTAATGCTGGACATATAAATGTGTATTAAATAAAGTTGAAAATTCTAAATAAACACTGTTTAATATAAAACAAACTTGGATAAAATAAATTGACAACTGATTGTATAGCCTAACAAAATTTTGATATCATAAAAGAACTTTATGAACACCTTGTATATTTGTGTAGTCCATACCTTATTTATGTCACATAATTTCCAGAAAAACACCAATAATTCCTGATGAAATCCGATTCTTTTTGCGGACCCAGGTAAATAAGTTTGTTGAAGTGGATTATTAAGTAGTCTGCTGACACCTCGTAAAATCAATCCAAAATCTTCATCTCTATGTATTCTCGATAAATAATTCACAAACAAATTATCACTGTCTGCATGTGTCGGCGAAGCGTGAGGTGTAGCATTCGGATCTTCTTCAGTCATTGACATGACTTGCTGTGGATTTTAAAGATTCAAAAATATTATCCTACAGCTTAGAATAAATTACAGTTGCCAATTTTGAATACAGGATATCAATTGGCTTCTGTTCAATTAAAAACTTTGGTGGTTAACGTGACAGCCACAATAAATATGGCAGTCAATGCTGAGCTGGAATAATTTCAAACCTTTCATAAATAATAACCATTTGCATATCAGTGGCTGCTTGCACCGTGCCTTGTTCAGAGCGAACAATATGAATAATATATTCAACCTGTGAGGCGAACACAAACTCCAAGCTCACCCCATCACTCAAGTTGCAATAAATTAAAAGCATTGTTAATAGGAAAAAAATATTCTTGTTCTTCCAAAAATGATATCTCTTTACATACCGTATATATATCAATATACCAAATCATATCAAATCGTATAAAATATTAATTCAATAATTTGATTATGAGAAAAAAGTCTTCTTAATGGTACGAATTTTGCATAAATATGTCTCCATGATCCATGTACTTTTTTTTGGTGCCGACCCAATCGTGAAAGATAATCCAACTTTGTTTATATATTCAATACTATCGATTATGTATTTTCAATAGTTTACGCCTTATCAAAACCATAAAAACAAAAATCAAATTGGTGTTAAATTTAACATAATTGGAATACCTAATCTAAAACAATGAGTTTAAAATTTGCGAGTAAAACAAAAATAGCTACCGGTAGTTATTTTGCTTTCAGAATTGTATCAATGTGAAATCATTTAGGAATCATGGCAACAAAATGTAAAAATTCAATATGAAAAACAATGTACCTCATCGACTACCGCAGTTCCGTGATCAAGAGTAACAATCAATATCTGGCAAGCTATTTCAACAAGTGGTTCTCTGAAATAAATCAAGTATATTTGAGCTCAAGAATACTTGTATCAGAAAAAGAGTCAGATTTTGTAGAAGAATACATATATTCATAGCATGATATTTAATTGATGAAAATTTGGAAAATAATGGTGCGTATAATTAAGATACAGGTATAATTGAATTGTTACGAATATACACATGCTTATTAAACTATGATAATGATATAACAATTGGTGGTATCTAGAACAAAAATTAAAGTGTTAAAACATGAGGTGTTAAAATATTTCACTTAAGTTCGGCAGGCCATTATGGAGGGCAACTGCTTTAAACGGTGATAAAAATCATGGATAGTACAGATAGGGCAATAATTTTTGAAACTAAAAAATCCTAATTCCCAAAAGTACTTCTTTGAGTAAAGCAAGTAGCATTTTAACACTTTGGAAATACCAACCTGTGGTCCTTAAACAAAAGGTGATTGTATGGTACACCATAACCGACTGGATCATAGGAACAAACCAAGTTCAATAATGATGTAAACAGTGGTAAAGCGTGCCGGTTTTCCGAAGAACAAAAACATTGAATCCATGGATTATTTTTCAGTTTTTCCGCTGAAATAGAAAATTTAATAAAATTTTTTGAACGATTCCAAAAAAAAAAAAACATGGTTAATAAGATCACTGAATTTTGAATACAAGCTACAAGAGACATCCGAAGAACTACGCCCAAAAATATTCAAACATATTAACGATTCAACTACTATTTTCATACATTTTGATATTTATATAGTGAAATAGTAATCTTTGTTGAATCTTCACAACAAAATTAGTATATTATCCCTGTTATTAAAAGACAAAATTGGTGAAAAATAACATGAATAACAAATTTTTTCGTGATGGAAATTCCGCAATGAGTTTACTGCTATTAGGTAAAGCTAGGTTGAAAACACGCCTGTTGACAGTTTTATTCAATGGCTCTTTAAAAACCCTTGAAAACTAATTTATTATGCAAACAAGAATATATTTATATATATTTGATATAAAGAAACATTTTCTATCAATGTAAGGCCACCGTAGTTCACAGACATTGAGAATCGAGGTACCCACGCCAGTGTCACAACAGTAGAACTAATCCCCCCCCCCCAAAAAAAAAACGAAAACCAGGTAATTTGGCACATATTCTCAAGAGAACAAAACTTTTCTGCAAAACGTTTTAGAATATACAACTTTTGAGTACAATATTACATAAACAGAAATGCAAGTGTTAAATTTTTTTTTCTTCATTTTGAAGGAGTTTGAGAAATTTCTAGGTTGTAGTTTTTTCTCTCTGTACATAAAACTTAATAGTTGGGTATTTTAATAAATTTCTGAAAACTGTAATAAATAATAAATTTATATTTTATATGTGACACATATTACAATGAATCAATAAAATAAAGCATGTCATGAATATTTAATTATACTATTTAAATACCAAATATCCAATAAAAATTTGTTTTACAACTCACCAGATGGAATGACATACATCGACTCTGAGAAGCATGTTAAAAGTAATTTGAGAAGTTCTGATCTGTTTTTATCTATGAAACCATTAGTGGGCGGAGAATGTGGAAAGCCGACGCCCTCTTCCCAAATATATTCACAACTGTCAATAGACTGTAAATCTTCTGGTCTATCCTGGATAAGAAGGTAGGATACTGGATAAAAACGGAGTGAGAGGATAATAAACAAACAAAAAATTAATGAAAATAGTTATTGTCATTTGAGAGTTTAAAGACAAACAGGTGAAATTTTTTTAGAACATTCAATAGAAATAATGTGTTTTTTATGCTGGTATTTTCTAAGATTGAGGCAATATTCACCTAAACGTTAATAAAAATTTGAAGGATTTCAAAATTTAAAAATATATTTCCACTCATTTTTTCGGAACAGCGTTTTCAAGTTTCATTTGTTTTGGTTAAAACTCTCAATTGTCAATTTGTTTGATAAATTGTATTGCAGGAATTTCGGTATAAAATCGTTCATGCCCAGCATACTATACGACTCAAGATTTAATAATAAATATAATAACATACTATAGATTAGAAATGGAAAGCATAAAAATAAAATTTGGAAGTGTACAAATAAAGAAAAAAGTTCCAAGAAAAGGCCTCTAATTCATTCTTTGATATCATGTTATTACTATATATTGTAATTGTACTTTAACGATGATACAAACGTGGTAAAAACCTATCACACGATTGTAAGCACAGTAATAACATGCATGATAAATTCATACAATGAATCAATATTACTGAATTATACATAAGCAACAGCTTGTTTACACTAGATGAATAATTGAAATATAAATAGAATCAATGTTACATAGTTAAAATGAATACTAATTATAAGCCAAATAGCAACTATTAACATGGTATTACAATAATACATCACAAATTCACAATACACAAATTCACGCTTCATTTGTTTTGTAGTGATTAAGAAAATGGCTTATTGGATATTGACAGTTCTATGTGAAGCCCATTTATCACATTGTAAAGAAAAACAACTGGATTGTTTTATACCAGTCTTTCACTCCGAGTAAGGCTCTGCACATGTTCCCACTAATATTCAAAGAACTGCAGAACAAATGATTGCATACAAGGGCAGGGTAATGTGATGAAATTTAAAAAAAAGATGAATGAAAAACTTACTGGATTTCCTTTCTTTTTGTGTGTGATGACAGTGAAATCAGGACAAAATAAGAGATTCTGAAACGTTAAAAAAATCATTTGGTACGATGAAAGCTAGACAAATGCAAACTCCACAAAACATGATGACTATTAGATCGCTGTATTGCATACCTGATTTGCCATTTTTTTCAAGTTCGTTATTTTAAAAACATGTGTGATTCGTTGGATATGAAACATTATTGGATCCGAATTATAGAATAATAAAGGCTTCACATTTGCACTCCCAGTAATAAAGCTTGCCTCTGCCCTGCCAGCCTCCGCTATAAATTGAACTACTTTGTTTTAGGACCATATTATCTCAGACTTAACATAAGGTACTCAATTTTTCACAATCTATCAAAAACATTGAAGATTAGGAATTTTAATTTCAAGGTTACTTGTTTTTTCTGTTACTATCTTTTTATAGAATCTCTCTATATTAAATGCAAGAAAAATAATACTCAACTGCAACAGCTAAGATCAGTGATTGTGCAAGAGGTACAGTATTTTCAGCTCCATTGTCATCGGCGTGTTGCTATAGAAAAATAAAACGAATTATTGTTAAACACCATAGAATAATTTAATAAATTATGTAAACAGAATGAAAAATTCTTTAATTTACTTTTAGACTCTCTATAGCTGACACGGGCAAACTACGACCCGCGGGCCAAATCCGGCCCATTGTGTAATTCGATCTGGCCCGCCTGATCCTGCCACAACCAAACTAAAACCAAATTTTGATGATTTTAAAGCTGAAAAGTTTTCCATATTTGCTTTTGTAATACTGTAAATATTGTTGACAAAATGTAGGTTTTCACGTCACACTAACATGGCCCGCCAGTCTAAGTGGGCAAAATTTTTGGCCCCTTGTCAAAAATCCTTGCCCACCCCTGCTCTATAGCCTAATTAAGGGGCGCAGTCAGGATTTTTAAAAAAAGGGATTTCAAAATCGGAAGTTCCCATTCCCCTCTGAAACAGTCGCTGCCGCTCGTGAAAAAAACGACTTTTCCAGCGTATTTAAACTTTTCTGTCGCATTAAATCTTCAGAACAATGAGAACTGCGTGAACTCTCTAATTATATCTTGTTTGATCTGTATTTTTACCATTTCGGTTTCGACCTGAAAACCTGCACCTGGCCTAGTTGCTAAATCAAACTGCTACACTTAATAATAACCAGAGAAAATCTAAGAAAACATCTAGAACTCCAATACAAATGAGCAATACAATCATAACTCCCACCTGGGTTGGTAGTCGTGACCAGAAAAATCCTCTCCAATCAGGATCTTCAAAAATATATGGCAAAAGTCGAGTTAGTAATCTAGAACAGTTTAAAACAACTTGCTGTTCTTTTTCAGTGTTGCAACCATCTTCCGAAGCATGTACAAGTTTTTCGACAGCCTGTTATAAGTGAAATTAAATTGGGATATTGTATGAGACACATAGTTGATGAACACCATCACTGTTACATTACTTCAGAGTTTCTAAACGTTTTCGTTAATTTCCCCCTTCGTCCATTTTGGAACTCTTCATTCCTCACTATGGATAAAAACTACTTTATTTATTCAAGCTATAACGGAACCTTATTAATTAGTGTAATGCCATAATTCCATAATAATTACAAGAAATTATTGATTGTAATGAATATGGTTAATATATTTGGCAAAATCTCAGTTGGGGTTAGCCCTCAGCAAGATTGTCACTCAAATAAATACCTTATAGCACAATGTTGCAAGGTTAGAAGGTGATTCCTCTCTTAGAGCTCTTATTTCAGCAGCAGGAACCAATGCAAATACATCTTGTATATTACTAACTGATTCGCTCCAAAACTGATCCCAGAATGCATCGTCAGTTGCTTCAACAGGCTAAACACAAAAAAACAAAGAAGCTCGATAAAAACCTAGAAAGAGATTGGTATTCTGTTTCAGTTGCCTCAATAGACTAAACTGAAAATACATAGGAAGAGACTGGTATTTTTTTTTGCAAACTTATAATGAGACAAATAATTGGAACAAAGGTCTGAATTGGCGATTGTTATATTTATTCGCATACAGTGTGAGCCAAAAATCAGAGCCCACAAATTTTTTAATTACCTCAACGAAAAAAACAAAAAATTTATTTAATATTTAAAGTTCTGTTCGTGCATGGTCATACCCAAAAGTTTCCGTAATCTAAGACGCTTTACATGAAGGTTGTGTTCTCTATACCTAGAGAATATATTCCAATGACTTTGGTTCTGTTTTTTCAGGTCACTCTGTATGAATAGTGTGAATTTGATATCATATAAATCCTGCATCTGCAGGTAATTTTATTAAATTTAAATTGCTTTATATTACATAAATTATCATATATATCAGAGTTTATAGAGTAAGAACACAATCAAACAATAACCTGTGTCTTCGTTGTTAACTGAATAACAGCTTTCCGGAAATTGAGCTTTGTATCAGCATTTCCCATTTTTCTTGAACTTTGTGATTTCCTGACGCTGTGAATGTCAATTCATGGATGACTTCAAATTAATAAGCTATAATTACAATTTACTTAATTCTACTTGGAAAAGTGAAGTTAGTTGGCTTTGGATCTTAAATTTGATTGCAAAAAATACACAATGAGAAATTTTACTACAACGATACAAATAATATGATTTCCTATTTAAAATCACTGCATACAAAGACTGCCACAAAATTTTTAAACAACAGCAGGCAGTGAATTATTGAAGCTACTAATACAGACTATAAATAAGAAAAATGGCAAATTGGAACACATAGACACAATACAAACGATTTGATTTTAGAAAGTTCAAAAAGGGACAAATTTAGAATATCAAAACAGTGCAATTTTAACAGAATTTCTAATTCAATCATAAATCAAGAACTCGTCAAGACAATAAAACAGCTTTTATTTAAGATATTTCAGCTTTACTAGTGATGGGCCTCAGACAATTAAATTAGCCATTTAACCGATTTGTATATTCTAAAATGTGATGGATATAACTACGGTATATCACTGCATATAAGAAAAGATGAATTTCATAACCAAGATAAATCTCAAAAAAGATTCTGGATATTTTATACAGCGTAAGTTGTAACCAAAAGAAAACAGAACATGCGAAAATGAACAAACTTTATTTGATACTGGAACTTCTGTTTATGTATGACGGACGTACCCTAAAGTTCAAGTAATCTGTTCAAGTAATTATGTTCCCTTTATTATTCTGATTGTGTGATAATAAGTTATGAGTCTCCCTAATAACTACCATACCAGGTCAATTTCAAAAATACATGCATTTGCTCAAAAATATCATTAGTAACTACAATTGTCTACTTTTAATAAAATATTTATAATATATTCATTGCATTAAGGAAAAAAGTACTATTAACTAATCCATAACGTTTCACTCCATTTTTTCTATAGTCCACATCCTTGTCATGTGCCAAATATAAATTAACAGCAAATCCCATCCCATTTGTATCCAACTTAAAACAGGGACCATTTTTGAACCATCTATCTCAGTCCAATACACTGCTACTTCAGCAATGGGTATATTCAGAGATTCAGCAATATACAAAAGCTCTGCATCGAAGGCCCAACGTTCAACATGTAAATTTAGGAATGTAGTGAAAGCAGCTTTTCTATTAAACAATTTGAAACCACATTGTGTATCACGGACAGTCCGAACACACAAAAACCAAACTAGTAAATGAAATCCTTTCATTAAAATGGTACGAAACAATGAACGATTCGCAATAGAATCTTCCTCTAAATGAGCACGAGATCCAACTGCAATTGCCATTCCATTTATGGAATCTTTCTCAATTTCTTTTATCTTTGCCTCCAGCTTGACAATGTCAGAGAATCTTGTTGCAGCATCCGCATCAGCCATGAGAAGATATTTTCCTCTAGAGCTTAGAATCCCCATTCTTACGGCTCCCCCTTTACCCTTATTCCTAAACAGGGTGAGAACTCGAACTTTATTTGCCCCATATTTCTTTGTATACTCTTGTGCCACCTCTGTTGTTTTGTCTTTGCTCCCATCGTCGATGACAATTATTTCATATGAATAAGATTTTAAAGATGCGGATCTTTTTTCTAAAAACTCAATGGTTTCATCCAGCATCACTGGAAGTCTTAATTCTTCATTGTATGCTGGAACGATGATGCTCAAATCGACCGACCTTTCCGACGAATCATTAAACGGAAAATTTCCTTTCTGTGATTCAGTTTTGGGATCGTAATAATACTTTTCAGTATCATGCCGAACTATATTTGGATGTGACATATTTTATGTGATTGCGAAATAATAACTATCAAAAACAGAGGAACTATAGTTCATTATTTTATGTTATATTCTCCGATTCTAAGAATAGCCCCCACATCAATTATAACAGAGGGTGCAAACCCTCCTTTACAGGCCAGTCTGGGTCTCCACATCGGCAAAGAAGCACTGCATAATAAACTAAAAGGAAGAGCAATCTAAAAACATCATCATTGGATTCCTACGAAAAAAATAATCAGTTTTACCCAATAAAAAAAATTTTGCGGAACATTGGAGTAAAACAATACACAAATTTGATCACATGATGGCCGACACATCGCAATTGATTTAAATTATCATTGCGACGAGACAAGCATGGTGCTACTGTGCTATGTGGCGCATCGGTCGTTGTGTCAGACGCTCTTGTTTCAGTGTTCCAGAGACAGATAGAGTGTATGTTATATTGAAACCAAACGCCGAGACATCTTCGAATGATAGAACTGCGCCCTACTGTATTCAGATATTGTAATTGCAATAGCTGTTGTCTAAACTGGATGCAATTTGCATACGGTCTATTAGAAGGGAAACATATCCCTCAATCTGTCAATGCTACAAAATCTGAACATGCACTGAAGCAATGCTAATCTTATAATTTTCGAACATGCTGACATGAAGCAGACTTTAAATGAATTTGCTACGTTCAAGGTTTAAAATTCAACACACAGACACACCCTCTCAAAGTCGACCCCCGAAACAATCTATTTGCAACCGAAAACCAGAATTTCATACCTTGGTGCAGTGGTGGGTGGGGGCAAAATTATTGACAAAAATTAGAATCCCATGATAAAATCTAATTCTAAACACCACTAAACATACGGTACTATATGTATTATTCGCGCCAGTGCTAATTTTCAAACCATTCCTGCATCACGGCACCGGTACTGTACCCCTTTTTCTTTACTTTTGGCAAAAAACTTAAAATTAAAGATCCGAGTTGGCGATCCCGAATATTCGTGATGTTCGTGTCCAGATTTTTGTATTTCATAAATGGGTGCGATAGTATTAATACTTTTACGTAACGTATTACACACCCAATCGATACACCAGAATAAATATGGGTACAAAAACCGCCAACACAGTAATATAGGCTGGGTAGCAGAATAAGCTAATGATAAAATCTGAAATCGACAATCCGCGTCAACAAGCAACACGTTGAACCAGCACAAGGTGGCAGTGAGCACAATCACAATCATAATGGCTGTGGACTGAGTTGTTCTTGTCGGATTTCACTTCACTCTTGTGGTAAATTCACGACTCTTACCTTTTAGCAATTTTATTTTTTCAACTCAGTTTGCACAATTGAACATTGGAAATGTCGTGTTAATTTCTTAACTCTTTGATAAAGACTAGCTTAATATGAACTATCGTTCTGACTCAACTATAAAGAAAACATAGTTTGCGTACAATTAGGATAACCATGATATTACACTCATTGTTTGCGTATTTAACAGTTGATCTTAAGACAACAAGTTGTTAGCAGTGAAAGTTGTATTTGTAAAAAATAGTATCTGTAGCTATGAAACATGTGTAAAATATTAATGGGCAATATTGGGTACAAGTCCCTAAACCCAGTGGTTGTTATCAAAGATAGAACACACCAACAAATGTTCCCTAATTTCAGAAAATGAATGTAGGTCACTAGTCACTACATAAGCTGCAATTACTTAAAATGCTCTAGATTAGGGTTAGTTCGGATACCTATAATTCATACTATCCGGATAACGGATATTTATCGGGTATTTCGTATTTTAACTATCCGGTTAACCGGACAGTAACTGCTAATTTCAGAGAACCGATTTCACAAGATTTTTGCGGCGAATTGACTAAAACCACCACACAGTTTTATTTTAAATACGTACATATGTATTATTTAGCTCGAATAAAAATGATTGTGCATTTTGAAGTTGCATGTGACAATAGATAAAATTTAAGCCTTGTAATCGTACAGAAGTACAGCTGAATAATATTATGAAACATTTTTTAAACCATTGTGTCATAATTGTCTTTCCCCGACTGCTTATTCATTTTCTTCTATTCAAATCCTATGTAAAAATTTATATTATTTTTTTTTTTTGTTGTTAAATTTTTTGGAAGTTTTTTTTGTGTCTAGAGCATATTTTCTTTAAATTTTGACTCGAACTAAATTTTGGTGTCGCAGACTCACGATGACCATTTCTTTAAGCTTTTAAGTTCAATTAGTTTAGAATAGATTTATTTCGGCTGGTATATCTATTAATTCGGTTGATAAATGGAAATTTGAAAAAACATATAGGCTATATCAAAGTTAAAAGCAAGCACATAACATTTGGTCGTGCACTCAAAATTTTGAAATGCTACACAGATTACATGAAATCGGAAGTGCTGTGAAATAAGTCCTCGAAATTCAAACTGGTTTACATCATGATGAGATGCGTTCCTTCAATACACGCAACAACTAAAAGCCACACCCGACAAAAAAGCAACAAACTCACACCCACCCAACCAATGCTTTTCAACTGAATTCGTTTAAGTTAGTCTTGCTTAAACTGTACCTCCAGTTCAAATCTAACTTTATAAAGCAAATGAGCTCTTCTAATAAGCGCAATATTAACATTTGTTCTGCGTGTTTTGTGATGTAATAGTGAAATTCACTCCAGCATTCTACGGATGGCTAAAATATAGGCAGATTAGAGTGGGAAAAGTTGTTATTATATGCTCTGGGAGATGTCAGTCGCCACTCAACGAAAAATATAAAAATCGCTAATGCGCATATGCATTATTTATACTACTCCATTATCCGGTTAACCGTCACAATAATATCCGGATATCAGATAGCAAAATGACTCTTGGTTAACCGGTTATCCGGTTAACCGCTATCCGGATAATCCAACCCTACTCTAGATCAGGGGTCTGCAAACTTTTTCACTGGCGGGCTAAATTCAAGCAACTGAGTGAAGCCGCGGGCCGCACCTTTATTTAATATAGTCTTTCTAGTAGTTACAAGCACAAAAATTGTTTATTTCTGTTAGTCACCTTACGGCGTTATTAGGGTTTCTTGCAGAAATAGTGAGTTAAACGCATAAACTTCCGAAGAAACTGCTATTTAAATTTATCGCCACACCGATTTTAATCCAAGTCAGTGAGAAACACGTTTTTGTAATGTATATCGTATATTTTGCAACAGAACCTTGCTATCTAGTTTTGCTAATATGAAAGTGGCACTCAGGTACTGCCTGGTATAGGCTTTGTGGCACGAAAGGATTAGAATTGCTCGAATGTACCAGATTACCTAAACTAAATACTCGTTTCACGGGCGCACCATTCAAAATTGTTATTTCTCCGCGGGCCGCACAAATTTTTCTTGCGGGCCGCAGTTTGCACACCCGTGCTCTACATAAATGCAATACTACAATGCAAATTGTCTAACCTCCAGCGTCGAGTTAATTCGAAGCGAGTCATCCAAGTTCCGAATCAAATGTGAATCAACTATTTTTCGATTTATCATTCGAGTTTGAGTCTTTTTAGATTTCATAAACAATACTGAAATGAGTTGTTTTCATCATGCGTTACACCAAATTGTTTTTAAGTCAAGTTTCCATTCACAATACTATATACCGGTTTCTTCAAGATAGCACTACACTCAATTCGCTTCACTATGAAGCAATCCCAAACCAACCCCACTCCAAAAACATATTACTGCCAAAAGCTGAACAGTTGGTCAATTGAGTAATTGTGTTCAAGGAAGTTCGAAGAACTCCAAAATCATACACTGCTTTTGTAACTTCAGTACGATTTTAAGTCTGGTTTACACAAAAAGAAGATGTATTCGCTGGATCCACTTATTATTATTCAAAGAGAATATGTATTTTCATTTCTTTATAATCTTTTAAACAAATAATGTACAGTTATGTGCAAAACTCAAAATACAAAGGCTAATCAGCCACAACAAATATAAATACTGCATGCCTCAGAACAATTTAGGAATGCAAAAATTCAGATGAAGAAATTGTGGAATCGAATTTCATTTTACAACTAATGCAATGTAATAAAATGCAATATGACTGGCCATAAAGTGAACAATAATTTTAAAACATTGTCAAATATGGAACTGGAACGCAATCGTGCGTTTACTTTTTCTCTCAGAATTCTCCACCAGACCATGAAACAGCAGTTACTCGAACAAATTGATCCATTCTGCACAATACTTGATTTGAGTTCATACCCAGAATCTCCATTCCTGTGCGTCCGGCTGTGGCCAAAAACCATCCAAACCTAATGTAGTGCAAAGTTACAACTTATGAAATAAACAAATGAAAAACAAAAAACGAATCTTTTCAAAACATTCGTCATAGTCAATCGTTAAGCCGTTTAAGTTTAATACTTTGCTTTTCAGAACGGTCGAGGATTTTTGAAATAAGCATGGAATTACAGTAAGTTCCCAAAAAATGTATGGATTCCATGATTATATTGTTATGTCATATTATAGGATAGCATGCATTCAAAAACGTTATATTTATTATCCGGATTATCAGTTTTTATAAATCCATTACATTGGAAAAAGGGCAAACATTCGCAGGAATAAAAATTTAGACACTGTTAGGTAAATGTGCCACAAGAGAATAAAGGCTGAGAACCACTGCTTTAAAATGCTGCTTAAGAATAACCTTCAAATTCAACTTACCATCCACTAGGTGTCATTTTCCTTGATCGTTCTCTCCATGGCCAAGCGTGTTCGGGAGCAGGAGTTGTCATTCCATTTATTATTTCTACTTTCTTTTTCTCCAAATCAACATACATTATATCGCCTGCAAAAGATTTGAAATCTGATCATCAAAAGATCGAAAGAGTTAGCAACACATGGGCGATTTTGTTGGAGTAATGTTACTCTGACAACTATGAAAGCACAAAAGTCTACATTTGACTCTTAGCCACGAAGGGACGAATTTGTATTTTAACGTTGATGCAAATGCCACAAAATGTCCACTTTGTCACACGATTGCCCAACATACTTTAAATTCTTAATTTATTTTCCATCTCAAACATTCCATATAAACTAGGAAATAAATAGCAAAAATAAAATACTTAGATGGATAAAGAAGTGTAAAAGAATTCAATTTACAAAAAAATGGTTATCTAAAGAATTTAAGTTTGTTTTACACATACAAATATACACTACTTTATACTGTCCATATATTGGAAAACTATCTCTGAAATCTGTTGCCACGAACTCATTAATGTCACAAAGTCAATGGGGCAGAAAACAAACAATTTGTTTTTATATTATATTTACTCCGCAAAATGAGAAAAATCTTGAGATTGACGTGTGTGCCATATAGAACTAACTCTTACCTTGGTTTTTAGCCACCATGTAGGCAACCATAGATTCTGGATTATATTTTTTTCTTGCAAAGTACGTGTCAGCTACTTGGAAGTTTGTTCGTATCATCTGAATAAGTTATGATGTTTGTTATTTTTCATTTTAGCTAAAATTATTCTATTTTAAAATTTAAAAGTTACCATAAATTCATGCATTTCTCCGCCGTTTGAAATATTGTGAAGTGTGATCATGTCGTGTCCAGGACGAAGTTTGATCGCAAAACTATAATCGTATGAAAAGAATTCTTGTGCCACGCCAGTATCTGAAATAGTAAAAATAAGTTTAAAACTTTGCAAAAAAAATCATTTTTCATGTCGTTTTTCTCTAAGATATACTTATATATGCAAAAAATTTGGCTTTGCTTTAACATGGCAGACGTGTGTTATAATCTGAGTTATAATTAAACTCGCCTCGAAAGGTCCGAAACTTGGCAGGATGACCTTATTCATCTCATGACAATCATGTGCATAATTGAGCTAAAATGGTAATTCCCCAGAGACGGTCGATCCTACTTACTTTTCTTAAAAATCACTTCTACGTCGGTCTCAATATCGATTGCAATCTCGTGAATTGTCTTGCCATCCTCTTCGCTCTCGCACGTGATATAGAGAAGACCGCCGATTGGTAGATAATTAAGTCGTAACGGAATGCACCCGTATGGAGAGAGATCGATAGGATTGGAATACGTTAGAGTAGCAAGATTCAATCGATGGATAGCCTTAAAAATCGATTTCAATATATTGTGAGTCGGTTAAAAGTGGTACCTAATATGCCTACAATAGGTTGTATGGCTATGCAGTAGCCTATTTATTGCTTACATCCGACCCCATGACAGCACTTATCAGCAACAATAGGTAAGCCAGTGAAAAATATATATTCAAATTCGCCACTTTCTTTTATTGTGCCTCATAGAAAAGCTTTGGTAATTGAAAAATCGAATTTAAAGATTAGTATTAAAATTTCTGCTACAGCTCATATACATATGACTGTATGCTCATATATTTATATATATGAAATTTGGAAATTATTCCGTTATATCTATATCGTACAATAGGAAAGGACAATACGTTTATATTGCTTGTTCAAAAGCGCCAACTTAATTGAGATATTGTCATTAATAGCCATAACACCATTCATATGCAAAGTGTCAATCAACAGTATTCAATATTCGATTTGACGAATATGTTTGCATTTAGGACGAACAAAGTATTTTTCGGAGCCCGTAATATTTAGACTTTCAATTCTAACAAACTATCTTCCACAATACACTTTCATCGCGTAAAAACTTACCGCTTCGTTCTTGTGTAAAATGTATCCATATTCTGAATTCGGATTGAGAGGTGTTTCTGGAGGAATATACAAACTATGAATCGCTCTATCGTATGTTCTATGACCAGATATTGCAACTGGTTTCACATGTTCAGCAAAATGAGTTCCAGTCACAGCAGCGCGGTGAATGACCTGTATTAACGATCCTGTCCGAAGTGAATCTGCCCAGCAGACGACAAATACCTAAATCGATAAAAACATTGTTATTTTTGTTTTGTATATATATAATAATTACTTGAAAATTCACGTTTAATATTCAAATTTTGTACCTGGTCTGTGGATTTGACATAGTAAAGTTCGACGGGCATAAGGTCAGTTGTGATAACTTCAACAACTCGCTGAAGTTGTTTATCTACTACTATGATTCTGTCTTCTGTTGGCTGAGCAACATAAATAAATCGATATCCGACCTCAATACTATCGGACCACATGCATTGTCTGGTTTCGTCGTCCACCAAGTCGCAAAGTTTATCCTGGAGAAAAAACATAAGTAGTTCAGTAAAAATCGGATATTACGAAATTATATTAGGGTTAATGTTGGAATTCAAAGATCATGTGTGACAGTGTATAGCGTTTGTTTATAAAATCGGTAATATCTGAATCACATTTTATACGACACATTTTACTCCGAACAAGGTCTTGTACAAGTATTCACTCAAAACGATTAAAACGGAATAGTTCCGATATGGCCTTGCTTACTCAATTTATTACCCAATGACTGCGATATCGGGCGTGGGGTTTGAACAACACTCTTACAACACAGTCACCCGCCTCCTCCCAACAAAATTATAATGATAATGTAATAATCATATAAAATCAATTTTGCCTTTTTCTTTCAAATAACTCAAGTTCTGAACCAATCCGGAACAAACCTGAAATGCCCAATTCCATAAAAAATTCAACACAGTAATATTACTAAAATTTCTGATGTTTTTCCATTTCAGAACTTGGGCAAAATGTAAAAACACATTTGATAATATGAACCTGCGATAGTAGACCGGGAACTCTTTCCGTATTTTGAATGCTCCTAACAAGTTGACAAGAATGTGGATCCATAATTGATATTCCATGTTCATGAAAAACAAAATAGGCTGAGGACGCTTCGCTTTCACCTGTAACAAGATTATGAACATTCCATATATTATATTGCTAGGATTCGTGATTGTTGAAAAGCATTTCCAAAGTGTTTATCGTGTTGACTCATACGAAACGGCTGCGAATTTTTATATTGTGCCATTTTTGACGAGCAAACATTAATGAATTATTTTCACAGAGTAGTTTTACGATGAAATTTTTAATATATTGCCAAGTATTAAAACATACCAGAGCTATTACGAAAAGTTTCGCGTTTGTAATTTTAGAAATGAAAGATGCGTACCCGTACTATTTTTGGCACTACAATTCCGGGCAACAGGCTACAAATACTATGACAATGTTGAATGTGTGCTTCCATTTTCATTTTAATTTGCTCATTTAAAATATGATGCAAATGATTAACTAAATTGTATTGATTCCGACGGAAATAAAACATTTATTTGAAAATACTAAAAACATTGAAATTTAACGAAGATAGTAAATATAGACTATAGAGTGAAATCTCACTTTCATGTACGTCATCAGTTTGGACATAAATCGCTCCAACATCTTCTCCGACGCCGGCTGCGTTTTCTGCAGTACAACTATATGCGGCGCTGTCTTGTTCCTCAACGGAGTTGAAATGAAGTTCAGTATTATTAGCTAAAAATATAAATTTCATGAACTCAATAGTATATTTTAAAATTTGTTTCAATCGTTGTATATGTTACTTTGCTGGGTGGCCAGTAGTAATGATAATGATTTAAGGGGTCAATAGCTTTTGGTCGTGTCCGGAAAATTCGCCGCAGAAAATTTCGCCGCATGAAAAATCTCCGCAAGAGCATTTTGATGTAAAATAAGTATTTGTGATAAAAACAGTTAGCTTTATAGTGTTAGGACATGCTCCTAAATTACGAATTTTTTTTAAATAAAAAGGTACTAAAAATCTAACTGTTTTTATAACTAATACTTGTTTTACAGCAAAATGCTTTTGCGGGCGAAATTTCCTGCGGCGAAATTTCTAGCGGCCAATTTTCCTAGAACCGCTCTTGGCACCTTAATGGTGGCCGATAACTTCCCTCAGATCAATCACCTATATTTCTGTCTGAGTGACCTTACTTCTCGCAAAATTCTTTTGAAAAATACTAATCAATTGATGTATCGAACATTGATTTGCTTGATGAGACAGTTTTTAGTAGTGTGACAAGCTTATGTGCTAAGAACACTAAAACCAAAAATGCGCTAAGGCTGAAAGGCAGAAACCTATAAGATACCTACAATCGTTTGTACAAGGTCGATCGAGTTTATACAAATGTGAACGCTTCATCACCCAAAATATATTCTTAATTATAATTCATCCCCGATCTATATACTTTTATTTTTTACCCATTAAAATGTATCGACCGCTTTTCAGATCTAATGACTCTCCGTTTCTTTTCCAAGTGATTCTAGGACGAGGTAATCCTTCTGCATGACATTTCACTGTTGCACTACTTTGCAAGGAAGGGTGCTGAGTTCTTGGATGAATCTGGAGAGAGTAATACAAAAAAGTAAAATAGTGAAAGCATTTTCAATTGCTTCTTCTCGAAACCTCTTTAAATAAGTCCAACAATGTATTACAACGGTTCCATTCATAAGGCACATAATAGATATCCTTCGAGCTGTAACTACGATCCGATCCTAGTAAATCCGACTGAGTAAGAATCGCTACCATACTCAACACTATTTATAATTTAGAAGCAACAAAAAAAGTTAACAGGAACATACTCAGAGGCGAAGCAACACTACCCGATAGCATGATCGCCGGTGTCGTATCTACCTAAAATTGCGGCCATGACAAAGTTAAAAATTGCGCTTCCTTGGCGGTTGACTCACAATTTTTCGGAACTGCTGTTGAGACTAGATACTTGTACGTTATTATTTGAGTAAAAAAATCCAAAAGGACGGTCGCTAAGCTACCGGCGAGAGGAATAATAATAATAGAAAAAGTTTTGGACTAATTAAAAGCTGACGCTGGTTTGATGAGGGATGGAAGCAGAAAAGTCGTTGCGCCGGACGAATGGCGGATATTCGTCCAGCGCGCTTCCTCCTGCCCACTTCAGTCCTTTAAATAGTTTAAATACCATGTCATAAACTGATAACTCCTAATGGGAGTCGAGTTTTATCAACTTTATGGTCCGTGATCACTCGACTGTGACGAAAATTTTTCATCATATATTTCACTTCAATTACCTTATATAACTCAAATATGGCATCTCTATCTATTACCATTCTCCAGATATGACTTAAAATCACTGGAGCGTGGCTGGAGGGGTGTAGAACAACATTCCGCTTAATCTGGTCATGCCCATGCACTGAAATTCCGATAGCACCTCTCAGAGGCCTGCAATAGGCCAAAATCACTGGACCGTGACGGACGGGTAGTAGAAGTTTCAATTATACCTAATTTGAAACTATTTTATTGAAACATTTTACGATTAAGATATTTCGCCCTTTTTGCGCCTTGTCCAAACGACTTGTCGCTAATGACTATCGATGGGTTAAAAAAAAACTATTTAGTATTGTTTTGTGTGAGTATATTTGGATTTATCGTAATACCCGAACTACTTCTATAACAGCAAGTATATTTGCACATGTGATTGATACCCGGTGCGTAAATTCACCTAATTGATATAATCAGGGTATGTCATGTCTTGTCGAAAATAATTAAATTGCCATCTGAACGTAATTGTCTATATATAGAACAAACACCCTTTACTTCCTTCCTATTTATTGATGTAACAATCTAGCCATAATGCGACTGACAACAAATTGAAATCGATCAGGTTTTCTGTAGGGAATATATTTAGTTTCAATCAATTATGTATTGTGCTTTTTCTAATCATGCCCATCAACCTCTTACGTTAAATAATAGTACTTTTATATTTATTACGAAAATAATTAGAGGTTTTAGGTATCGACAAAACCGTTACTAACCTCCACTTTGGGAGCAACCATAATTTGCAAATTAATAGTTTGAGTTATGCTTTCTTTTTTCTTTGTACTGCAAGTGTAATTCCCCGCGTTTTTTGATGTAACGTCACTGATGTATAAAGTTCTTCCAAGCACCTGAAAATGAAAAGTTCGATATAGGAATACGGAAACCGGACCTCCTGAAGTATGGCGCACAACATTAACTTAGGTTGTGTACCAGGTCAGGGTTCAAGTTATGCGACATCTTGGTGCGCATACTTCAGGAGTACCCGGAATTAGTTATTATGATCTATAGTTCATAACATCACGAAATTATAAGCAATGTAACTTCACAGGAGTAGCGAGTTATCTAATGGTTCTATAGCCTACCTTAGCTCCGTTCTTTTCTTGTACTTTACGTCCATATCGATACCATACAGGCGAAGATTCTCCTTCGATTCCACATTCTAATTGCATTGGATTTCCATAAGTAGCAGGCCTGTGAACATATCGCTTCTGATTTTGTAGACGATAAACGCTAATATCTGAATAATATTTAAATTGATGAAGCCTTGGAACAAAAATTATAATTTTCAAAACTGTTAAATATAGTATAGTGATAAGCATATATAGGGAGAACGTGACAATTAGAAAAACTTAATTCCTTGCAATTTCATCAATCTAAAGTTTTTTTTATTGAATGAAACATAAGGCCATAGTGTAAGTGAATATGAATAAAATATATTATAAACTGTCTTTTATCATAGGAATCGTCTATGTTTTCGTCAAATTATTTTTATAAGATCGAGTTTGAAATTCCAATCCAAGTTATTTTGGCGCTTAATATTGCCATGACGAAAATTATTATCTATATAGAGAGAAGAAAACTTCATTTTAGATTTTAAAAATTAAGGTGCCCGACAGTCAATATTGTTGTGTCGGTTTCACGTCTACTTAATCCAATTCAATGTCTGTCCCCTGAGAAATAGCACGCTCGCAAAACGAGGAGTTCGAGTATTTACTCATTTGAATAACGAGAAGAAGCGAAAGAAGCAAACTATAGATCGATATTGATAAGTCTGAGCGATTTATTTAAGACAAGAAAATTCTAGAACGTGAATAATTCATCGACCGAATTGGATATGGCTGCTTTACTCCAAACAGAAAATTGAAAATGCTAGCCAATTACCAGGTACGATCTACAGGCAAAGTCCGCTTGTCAGTCCAAACCTATTTCTGATCATACTCGACTGGTATTTGGGTCTACCGACATTTTCCGACTGAGTATTACAGCTACAGCTCATTACAACCTTGCGTATAAAGCGCCCATTACAACACCTCTTTTTTTGAAACGTTGCGTGCGAAATATGGACGAACATGTTGTCAATTTATTTCAATTTATTCCCGGCATTAATTAATTCCCTTTGAACCGATATAGAACATTTGGGGTTCTTGTTTAAAGCGGAACAAACAAGATGAAATGTGTTTAATTAATAATTTCAAAAAATAAAATAAATGTTTCTGCCAGGTCTTCATAAAGTATGTTTGAAAAATTGAATTATTCAGTTGTTAATGTGATACGCAGCTTTATAATTAAATGCGTATTTCATGCAGATTTCACAAATCTAGAAATTGAAAAACTTTCGAGTATTCCAAGAGGCCTTATATTCAAATTTAATTTAAAATATGACTTTAAAAATCATATTATTGAAATTTTGACAAAATAGTTTAATATTCCATAAAATTCTTATAATCTTGAATGAAGGTATACGAATCAAAAACAGCCCCTAAGTTGTACAACAGAATATCGCACATCAAGAATAATTCCGAAAGTAATGTTGTGATCAACTTTTTTATGATTTCCAGTATCCCTCTAAATTAACATTAAATATACAGTCTAAAACAGTGGTTCCCAACTCTTTTCTGTTGAATTCTCCGTTTCGCATACTAAAATATGGCGTGTACCAATTTCCATCTTAACAATTGCGAATAATAAACCGTTGCCATGGTTACAGGATTATGAAATGTCATTGTCAAGTGTTTATATATACAAAGACTTACTGAACAACTCGAAAGTTTCAGATATATCCAATGTTCTGTCGAGATTCGTATCTCCATATTTTAAAATGTGAAAGAGAGAGCACGGACCAGGTAGAACGTTATCCAGATGTTGCAATGACGTAATCTAGTAATGAATAAGTAATGTCAGAAATTCTGACCTTTTTTTACTTTAAGTTTTGAAATATACATATCAGTAATTATTCAGAATAAAATTATTTCACAATATTTTGAATAGTCCTCATTTACCTCCCATATTTCATCACTTCCGACATTGCCGTTTGAGTCTAAGTCCATGAGAGCAAAGATGTATTTCACCATGTCTCCTGCTGAATCTTTCGTCATTATTTCTTCATACTCATTACTGAGGTTTATCTTAGACTGGATAACGTTAAGAAATTCATATGAATCTTTGATGACAACTTGTTTTGCAGAAGGAATTTGATCAGGTGGAGTGTCACTTGGACTCGTGCTTACATCATTCTGAAGGCGACTTTTTGGACTCGGACTGACGTCGAGTTCTTCAGTAATCGGTGGTACAATTTTGTTCGTTTCGGGATCTCCTGCTTCGCCCGGGATTATATCAAGACCGCCTCGACGGTGGGTTTTGCGTTCAGCTGTTCTTTCTTTTTTTGTACTCCGTTTTGATCGGTTTAGTTTTGTTTGGACTTTACCGTCTTTCCCCTCATTGTGACGTAATTTCGCGCTTGTCATAACGTTACGATAAAACTGCATCATCATTTCTTGATATTGCTTCAATTCCCATCCACTACATTCAGATGCTATTTCAAAAAGAAAACTGTTTTACAACTTTGCATAGTTATATATTTAAAGCTTTGCCTTGAATTTACCAACAGGCTTCTATAAAAAAAATAAAACATAAATGAAAGTAAGTCACTGATTTCTATCCCGAAAGGAGCGTCACACATTTTCTCGCCCAAACCCAGTTCGCCAAGCAGGACAATCGACAGACTATATCTGTGCTGCACCGGAAATATTTATTCAAATCCAGTATATGAAGATTTTTACAAACAATGTTCGCTATAAATATTTTCGTTTATTCAAGGTTGTACTGTAGTTAAATTTTAGAATATAAAACTCACATGAAATAAGGTTAGCTCTGGTTAGTGAAAGCGATAACCAAAATTGCAAATAATATTATCTCAAATACATTCTAAACAATAAATAAAAGTTTATGTATTATATCAGGGATATTTACCTTTATAAAAACAGTCCTTGTGCCTGGCATCGTAGATATCTCTCACGGACAAGCAGGCCTGTCTGTGCATTTCACAATGGTTCTCGTAATATTCACCATCTGTACCGCATATTGGCTAAAAATAGAGGTTGAAGTTGGAATAATATGCATAAGCTCTACAATAAAGTTTTGTGTAGAATACCATAACAAACTTCTTACATGATGTCTAGCCTTGCAATGCCTTTTACATACGCATTTTGCTCTTTCATCTTCCACAAGACATTCTTCTCCCGGTTGGCATCTCATGTACCGACATCTATCAGTTTTAGATTCTGCATTTCCAACATGATGTGATAGTGTTTCTCGAAATAACTCGATGCTAAGGTTGGCATCGTTGTATCGCTTTTTATGAACAATATTTTTCCTTCTAGATGTGATATCATCCTTCTAAAACGAATAGTAGGTTACTTTTGCAATTTATCATGGAATAAATAAAAAAAAATGTATGATGAAGTGAGTATCATTTGAACATGTTACCCAAGCAAGATGCATTTCCATAAAAACGGAAGAGCGGAAACTAGAATGTATGTGGTTAACAGAAACAAAATTCGAAAAGTACACGAGAAAACCTATATATGGACACTTTTAAACGTTGTTTACCTGGATTTTTCCGTCCGAATGCACTGTATCCAATGACTCTGGCAACTGGGATATAATTTCGTTTGGATCGGGTGCGTTTGTATCGAACGACTGGGTATTTTTTTCCGGTCGGGCAATCACCATTGACAAACTCACAACCCAAAGCACGACAAATACTGCATTCTGCATGTTTCTATAAGTCCGTATTGGCAATATATTCCGTCTATTGTCTACTAGTTTACATCAATTGAAAGACAAACAGTTATTTTTATTTCTTGAAAATAATACATTTCACTAGACAATAATATCCTATTATTTTACAACATAAATCTATAGCTTACTACTAAACAACATACTGCACAACTAAACAAAAATGCGCACAGTGAAGCTATCTTGTCCAACTCACGTCAACTGGTTACTATTTGCGTCTTTCTAGAAGAAGGCAAATATGGAGTTAAATTATTGAACAGCACTGCAATTTGGTATCTTCTTTCCGAAACATCTTGAATAATATATAAAGGAGAGGAGCGACGCGAAAAAAAAGCTTGGATTTTGTAATTGTGGAATGAGGCGCATATCGACGACTTCTCTATCGTAACAGGTGGAATGCGTCATTGATTGATGTTTCATCGACGATGTAATATGGGTGAAGGCAAATGAGTCTAATTATTGGAAGTGCAAGGCCATATGTTTTTCAAACCTTACGATTTTTTACTGCTTGTGATATCGATTATTGATTGCGCTTGGTAGTATTTGGTGATGTCCATATCCTTGGAAATATTCAAATTACATGGCGTGATTGGCGTATTTGAACAATGGCTTATGAATAAATCCCTTTCATCTCTTGCAGTGTAGGTTATCAGGGAAGACCAGTGAATTTTGTATCGGTGCTCTGCGGAAGACTGGAGTCCCGTGAACGACATTCACATGTTTGCCCTCAAATTGTTGTTTGATCGAAACAGAATTAGGGATATTTATTAGTTAATCCGATTTTTCATTTCCGAAAAATATGACATTTTTATTTGGTGTTCCGCAAGTATTTTATCAAATCGAAAAGGAAATTATTGAGAACTCAATTTATTGAAGACGTGCATTATTTTTACAGAACAGAAATGTCGGATACTCTATTAAATCTCATCAGCTTCGCCAGATATTTACAAGATGGTGAAAAGTTTTCTACTATGTGACGAAAAAACGTCAAAACGTCAAAATCAAGCTGTAATGAATGTGGTCAGTAGCTCGGTTTAAATTGGAAGGGGAATTTGAAAACACGCAATTTTAATCCAGCTAAAAAATCCGAAGATGCATTACATTTTACTAGCTAAGTCAACATTACCCAAAAAACATATATATATATATCAAATACAACATAAACAATCATACAATATCCTGATTATTTCTAAACAAGGCTTGAACTGTGGAAAACCTACGGTGACTTACCAGCAGGCCTACCTGTATCAGGTTACCGGTAACTGGACCAGACTGTTTCAATTTTTCCAGGTCCTGTGACGATGATTCACGCTTCCAGTTTCAACGTAAACTGAAATATCAAATGATCCGAGTTACTACTGTATTATCAGATCCAGTACCGTAAAATATAAAGTATTCCAGTACGAAATTCAACTGTTCTCGCGATATCAAAATTAGAAGAAAAACTATCGGAAATATCCCATAGAAATCAGAGGAAATTTAAAAAAGGTATGGCTTCAAGTTTTTGTAACGTCATCTCTAAGTACTGAAATCGATTCGTTTATTAGTGGCGAAAAAAGCGATTCTTTCTCAGCAACAACAACCCCAACAAGAATAACGACAATTTGGCAAAACGGTCTTCATGCATACTTTGTTTCAAATAAACAAAACATCAATGTGGACGGCGTAATCATCTTCCGTTTGGGAATGTTTATTTCAGAAATACAATATTATACTTGTTATAATGTTTAAAAGGAAGAGGATGATTGCGTTAAAAAATTCATAAAATATGAGAAAGGGTCAGAAACCCATTAATGGCAATAAGAATTGAGTTTACTACATGAGGCGCCACAGAGCAAAGTAGCCTTTTACGCCACACCGTGCTACTTCATACCAAAACATACAACGAGTTTTCACCATACTGAAAATAGGAACAAACATACAAATTGCAATAAATAGGCCATATTTCAGGATGAAGAAGACGCGGGAAACCAGTACTGGTTATCGAGCAGCGGCACCCATAAAATAAATCTACACTATATATAGACTGCACCGTAAGTTCTGCACCGTATCGTGAACAAATTAGAAAAAATGATTTAGTGACAATCTATTTAGTTGGTTTTGTAATTTACACTTAGCTGTTATTTGTTTTTGATTACCCTAGTTATTATTTGTGATTTTGTAAAAGCGCGAGGGTCCAAATATATTTTCAATCAGATGGATTATATATATATATTCATTGAATGCTTAAACGTCCTGAAATATCAGGAAACTATTAGGACTCCGCACTATGTATAAAATTCCAGTTTTGTACATCGAATTTGGCCGTTGTCTTTGTTGTCATTACCACCCGAACCCACGCCGCAATCAAATGGTATTCGGGAATATGGCTGACATGGCTGATAACGCGTGGAAGGCTTAGACTTTAGTTACAAGATCCCTCACTGCACAGACATGCAGGTGAAAGACAGTTTTACGTGTGGTTTTCTAAGTTTGTGATTGCGCACTAAAGAGTGTTCAAGCCCATGAAAGTAAACAAGAACTTCATTGTTACACCATTGAAAACACATTCGGAAATAGTTTTATTTGACCAATTGATATAAACGTCCAACCTTTGTTCTGGATTGGCTTACCTTTCGGCCCGAGTTCGACAACCCAGACAGAAGTAAGCCAGCATTGTATACTTCATAGATCATTATGGAGCGCATGCTATCAACTGTCAAGACTTTGAAGCCAAATGGAGGTAAATTCATGACAGTGACAAATTAATCGTTCCCGTGTAAGTTGGGCAACGTACAAAAATGACTAATTGGACCAAAATAAATTTAAAAAATATGACAGTGTACCCTCTAAAATAGCCCGTTAATGATAATGACACACGTTTCAAGTTCCCCCATTCAAATAATGTACGAAAACGTAGTCATGTTCTTAAACCAATCGAATTGATTTATTACTTGTAACAGGTATTGTGTCACGTCTTGTTGATTAAAAACGCAACCTGCACTCTTCACATTCACAAAAGCAACAATTCACCTATTATACTTAGTTCGACTTTTTCTTTTTTATAATATATATATATAGTGTAGATTTATTTTATGAGTGCCGCTGCTCAATAACCAGTACTGGTTTCCCGCGTCTTCTTCATCCTGAAATATGGCCTATTTATTGCAATTTGTTCCTATTTTCAGTATGGTGAAAAATAAACTACTGATTATTGATCAACTATGTGATTATGACGCCATAAAGGTAGAAATGTTTGACCGCTTTCGGTGCTGGAGCCTTAATCGAACCGAACAAAGAACCGACTTATATGTAAAGATGTAGAACTGAAATATTTCCGTCCCGGCATTGCCTACCCAATTTATTACACCTTTGTGAGGGATTTTAACCGGAGATATTTAACCTACGATGACAACACCGTTACGCCTAACGCTATAGCCGCTAGGCCGTTGCGCCCACCAGAATGGACTTTAAATTCTTCATTTCATTGAAAGCAAATGGGCGAGAGCTGATCGTGATTCGATCTTTTGAAGTCGTTTTGAGTTTGGTTGGACGATTTTCTGATAGTATTAAGCAGGGTATCCATCGAGCAGTGACTGGCGTTTATACTCATAATGATAAATTAAGACATAGTTGAAATAATTGTTTCCGTATAAATAACTCCGCACAGGAGAAACGAAAGATCTTCCCATGGGTGACATTTAGAATAGTCCGGATCGACGTCGTGGATTTGGAACGCATTTGGTGAAAAATGTGCAAGATTGAATATTTAATACATATCAAGAATACCCGATCTACCACCGATATTTCTATTTTATTGACGACTGTTTTTCTTGGTTGACCAAATAATAAATCTCTCTCTGAGCCCGGCAGTGTAGCGCATCGTGCTAAGCGTTAGGAATACGCCTGCCGCCGCATCTCTGATTACCTTGCGTGGGTTCGCATCCCACGCGGGGATGATTATGTGCGAGAGGATTGCTGGACTCCTCGCCGCTATATGGTGGTTTACGTAACATCTGGTAGGTTACGGCTTCCTCCACCATCAAGTCCATGCTTCCGAAAACAAATAACTGGCAAACTAATCCCATACCCGACCTGATAACAGGACGAGGGGCCGTGGTTCGCCATATGATTAAGCAGTCTTATCGGCTTTCCTCTCCCCCCGAGATAAATATGTAAATCCTAAATCCTCCCTCTCTCAATAAGATACCATCTGCTCTTTAAGTTGAGATCTAACGAAATAAAACTCGATAGAATGACGTCATTGGGTTGTGAACATTCAAGTTTATTTCCAAACTGGCAAAAAGTACAAACTCAAATTCAACCAAAAAGGATTAAATAAGACATGGACAGGTAGTTATTCGTTCCCATATCAGCAGAACAAGAGGCACAAAAAAGAATTAAATCACGTTAAAAATAAAATAAAAAGGACACGTCAACCTATGGCGTCACAGTTAAACCAAAGTAGCTCATGTCACATATTTCAGAAATTCACTTTGATTTTTTGTAATTATGGACATGGGGCCCTATCTTGGTCCGAATTTTAAAGCAGACATGTATTAGTTTTGATTTTCAGTTGTGCATCACGACCATTTTAGGTTTGTCTGTACAGATCTAAAATTTACAAATATGTGATTTCCCCCTGAAGCTAGGGATGTGACAAATTATTTTGGCTCAACTGTGACGATATAGCCAATGTCTTACACCGTAAAGATGTTTTAAATGTATGTGCAACATAACTGCGAAAGAGAGAGAAAAACACTTCACCACATCAAGGAGCCAAAGTTATCTAATTAAAAATTATGATTATTTCAGAATTATCTAGGTACGGTATTTTAATTTTGGAGTATTGCTGGCACTACAATATATGCAATCAAGAACAAAACAATTTGAAGGACATTAACACAACAGCTTAAAACATAAAAACAAATACAATTACCACAATCCACTAACTACATTGCAAAATTCATTATTAACAAACAAATAATCATTAAACGAATTGAATTCATCAGAAAGGTCGCAAAAGATTACGATTTATTGTGAAGATGCATTCGAAGTTCAATCCATAGAATTGAGGGGAGGCTCTCTAATAAAACTCATGACCTATGTCAATAGCATGAAAAAAATGAAGTATACTGGCTGAATATAATGTTTAGAGAAAGTCAGAATAACATCCAATGCATTTTTAATTGAAGGAGGAATTAAAATTAAGTGTTGGCTGTGAATAAGCAATTGTAACTTTGTGTCAGATACAAATTAATCCAATTAATATTATATACTTAGAACTTGATTATTGGACACAAAGTACATATGGATCGTTTTGCAAAATTCTTATTGCGTTGGAAATAATGGCTTCTCCGCGACTAATTGTCCAACTGATTTCAAATTTTAGTACTTGAAACCATTAGGCATCACTTTAATTTTATTTCTATTTCCTTGGAGCCCTATGGGGCCAGATATAAAACAAAAAAATTTTATGGTTTTACTTTGAGTTTTAAGAACAGGCTTGTCTGCTATCTTCTACTCTGAAGCCCTCATGGTAAGTACTGAGTACTTTGAGTACTGATGTCTTTCTTAGTATCTGATATTTTCAGTTATCATCAAAACAGTCTGTATTTATTGTGATATTACCAAACCGATTTGAAAAGAAAGCCATTAATAACATTTCGAATGCTTTAAACTGATCAATTATTGGAAAATCATTGTTAATTGAGAAAACATGTCATTGTGTATTAGTGAATGTATATGAAAAAGAACAAAACCTGGACATCATGGCAAGAAACAATCAAATTTGTGTCAGAATGTATGGAATTTCATATACATATACCTGATTTAGAAGTATGTGAAATTTTATGTGCTTGCGGACTTAAAGATTAGGGGTTAATATAATATACCAATCAATGAGTATATATATGTTCTCTCGCTGAGAATTTATTTTTAAGACACTTCGGCAATTCGATCTGTAATCATGCCAATGCCCAGTCAGATTTCAAATTGGATAATTTGGTATTTGTTAATTACCCTAAATACTGATGCATAAATTTATAGGAGCCCTTACAAAACAATGACCAAATTAAACTACGAGGAATGGGATCATACAACGATAGATCAAACATGGATTGCGAAGTCTTATTTACGTCCCATATTTTTAACGCAATAAAATAGTCCAACAACTTCACTAATAGCAATATCATATCGTTCAATGAGATGAATATTTGATTCTTTTTTCATAAGGTTCATCCTTTAGTTTTATTAATTTTTGTTGAATATCAGGTGATAACTTGAGTTTCTTCGGATGTTCCCAAGTGAATTCAGATCTTCCAAAATGACCGTAATGTGCAGTCCTGTGATAAATCGGTGCCTTCAGATTAAGGTCCCTGAAAATAAAAGTATAAATTTAATAATATTGCCTGGATAATATGAATAAATGAAAATTTATAAAAGCGAAAAAGAATGATAATAGGATGGGCGTTTAGTTCATAGATAAAAACAACAATACCAGAGGTTGTTATTCATTCATTTTGTGAATTAAGAAAACAAAATATTTTAAGCTCGACTCAAAAGATAAAAATTGTCTATTGATCTGTATCTGATCAAAGCTGTTTTGAAAGTTCCATACCTAGTTGTAAGATAATTTCATTTTTATTTTGTTACTAATAATGCTATTCGACGACGATCTGCAAAATGGAATGTGGTCTGAGTATTTCTTTCATAAAAATACTTGAGTCATTTCACTAGAAATTGGTTATTTACACCAGCGTGATGTGAGATATTTGGAGTTTAAAATGATACAGATGTATCTGCAATATTGGAAAGTGTCCAAACATTTTTAATCTTTGCTGCGGTCAATTGAGGATGTAACACAGTCTAATCAATATGCAATGTCTGTACAAAAAAAGTCATAAGAAATGTGTTATTGATTAATTCAATTAACAAAGAATTAAAGATAATGAGGCACGATTTAAATATCTTCCATTCTCAATAAAGTAAGAAGTACTCACGTTTGTCAATGTCAAGTTTGTCAATGTCAATTAATATCGTGACAAAATGCAAACACGATTTAAAGTTTTAATGCTATACATTTCAAAGGGGGTGTGACAGACTGACAACCAATCAATATTGATAATATCAAACAAAGAATTTCATAGTTTTGAAGTCTGGTCTGGAGACAGAACTTAGGGACAAATGAATCACAGTTTTGTGTTTTACAACTTATTGTGCAGAAATCAGTAGAACACAATAAAAACATGTTTACTCATAAATTGTTCAACATTCATTTGTCTGCTATATTAAGTAAAAAATGAGTCAGAAATGAGTTTTCTAGACTATTTGTAAAAAAAAATTTTCTGTGAACTATCAAGTTTAAAAAACTAATCCAAAGCAAATAAGTTCTTTAATATAGTTTTTATTATTAAGTATATATTGAGTTAAAAATGAGTCATAAATAAATTTTCTGGACTATTTGCAAAAAAAATGTTTTTTGAACTGTTAAGTTCAAAGTTAAGTTAAGTTCATGCAAACTGCCAAGTTCAAAAAAGTAATAAAGAATAAACAAGTTCTTCAATATAGTCCTTAAACGATCATTTCAATCTTGATATTTGTAGCCCACATTGTTTTGTATGATAACCACACGAGTCTTTGAAGACAAAAAGGGCAAATATTGACATTCTGAAGACATTTTTATTTGATAATATTAATTATGAAAAAATAAATGCCTTCATAGATTACATTTTTATCATTTTTCAAAACAACTTTTTCAATTTTCGCCCCGATGGATTAACGCTCCCCAACATTTGTGATAATTAAACAAATAAGATTTTGAAGAATCAAAATTTGTGGCTTTACTTAATATTGACTGCTATCGAAAGATGTTAAAGAATTCCGATATCTTTGCACTTTGATTAACTGATTTTTTCGTTAACGTGGATGTATCACAAATTACTACGTTTGGGTGAAATACTAGCCATTGTCAAGGGTGACTCAGCAAAAAGTACATTTCCGAGTCAACAAAAAGTACATTCTCATCTTATTTCTATGTGAAACACACAACATTTTTAAAATTTGAAATATACAGCAATATAGTGCTCAATTCAAGACAGTTATATATATTCCTAGTAAGATTTAGTTTTTGTCTGCCGTACAAATTGCTTCATGAGAATATTACTGATTCGTGAGTTAAATTATGAATTGCCAGATCACTCAGCTGTATTTATTTGTTTTAGTGGGCAGGTGCCTGAAATGACAAAAAATTTCAAAATGAAGCAAATAGATGTTTCGAAACTATTTTGATGAGTCATTGTGACATAATATGAATTCGTTTCTTTGCCAAATATTGGCGATAATCAGAAGAAGTAATGCATTTTTGTGATCATATGTTTTAAAATCGGTCTGTATGAGTGCATCGCTCTTAGCAATCGTATACACGAATATCACAAATCTCATGGGAACAGAGATATTCTTTATTGTTTAAATATGGAGGGCAAGATAAATAAAAGAAAATTTCAATCTTGTGAAAAATTTTGATTGAAAATTTTTTCTTAGGAACTGCAATAATCATTCCTACTGAACAGCTTTGATATATGAAAACTTGTGTAATTTTTCATTTTAAAATGTTTTCACAAATACGAATATTGATGTCCCACACTGGTCGGTTATTACAATGTTCTAAATGTATGATTTCTAAGTTTTGTTTCACAATATTATTTTGAACCGGCTGCAATGCGTATAGATTTTGCACCAGTTTCTTATACTTTATTCATCTTGTATTTACAGTGCGACCCATAAAAACGGAACCCACAAATTTCCTAATTACTTTCATGAAAACGGAGTAAATTGTTTGATTTTGATAACACTTGAAACTTCTGTTTCTGCATGATCGCACCCCGAAGTTTCATGAATCTAATACGTTTTGCACACAAGTTATGATCTCTCTAGTATATGTTTCAAATGACCCCCTATCAATAAAGATAGACTTGTACCCGTTGCGAACATTTTTGAAGTCACTGGTTTTTGGTATAATTTAAGAATTTTATAACAGATTTAGTTAATCATAATATAATACAGCTTTTCACTTATCATATTGAATTGAACTGCTTATAGTCTAATCTCATGGTGGCAATAGATATTTGTTGATACAGGAGGAAGTGACGAGGAACATGTAAAAATCTATATATTGCTATTTCAGAGGCTTCTCGTAACTTTGTTCAGACATGAGTCTCCTTTACTTCTAGGGTGATAATGTGCGATTTGCTTCGAGAAAACGCTAAATAAGATTAATCTTAAAAAATAGAATAGTACTAAGGTAAGTAAATGATGCATACTTTACAATAACTCCAGGCCTCAGATCAAAATTGTCGTTCACTACAGTCAGTAGATCGCTGTCATGAAGATGAGATGTACCATAAGAACTCACAAAAATAGATAAAGGATGAGCAATTCCAATTGCATAGGAAACCTACAAGAAAAAAGGAATATATATAAATTGTAAATTTTTGTAATTATTAATATGAGAAACGATTATATAGGTTATAAATAAATGATTAATTGATGAGTAGGTTTAGGTTAAATGTCACAACTAATTATAGGTTGGCTGGCTACTTCGCTCTTCGTAGAATTTGTATTTTGGTTTATTTTACAGATTGAAGACAGACATCAATTTATCATACCATAATAACATATCAGAATGGTAATGGACGATAAATCTGAAAAGGCTACCAAGACACCGTTAAAAATATGAAAAATGTAAAACTTATTTAACATATCCTAAACTGAAGTAATGAAAATGAAATATTACAATAATTAGCGACAAGAAGTATTGATGGATAAGGGCAAAACGGAGGAAATGCCTGCAATAAATTTAGGAAGGAAATGAATCAAACGGAACAGTGACAACTGTAGCTTGACACATAAATGATCAGGAACCAAACTAAGATGAAAGGAAGACTGTTTAAGCCAATCCAAGAGCATTAAATAAGATTTATTGATTGAAAAACGTAACGGTTTAATATCAGATCATTATTGACATTTAACGGACTGACCCATTAAAATAACATTTGAAATATATTAATATAATTTGAATTCTTCAAACAAAAAGCTTCTTCAATACAGCATGATCACAAACCTGCACTAAAACTCGACGACAAAGTCCAGCAGTTACAAGAGATTTTGCAACCCATCTCGCAGCGTAGGCAGCGGATCTATCAACTTTTGAGAAGTCTTTGCCGGAAAATGCTCCTCCACCATGAGCTCCCCAACCTCCATAAGTATCAACTATGATTTTTCGTCCAGTGAGTCCAGCATCACTCTGAAGAAAAATGATGAAATCATAAGCTGACAGGAAGCAGAGATGGCTATATAGTCTCCCCCCAAATTAAAAAAAAAAAACATAAATTTCTCAATTATCCATTATTTAACATTTGACCTAAATTATCCATTATTTAACATTTAACCTTCGATCATGAAAGAGTGTACCCAAGTTCAAGTAATCTGGGACGCTTTTCACAAAAGCTGTTCCCTCTAGTATTTTTCCAAATCTTGTATTAGAAAACAAAACATGAAAAGATTTATATTTGCACAGCTTTTCTGAATATTTTTGCAATTCCTATAAACTACAGAATTCTTTCTTTTTCAAATATTTAAAAACAAATTATGTTGAACTAAAATTTTGTAAGTTTTTATTTTTGCTCAGCGTTAATTTCCATCATGAAATATGAATTTTCTTGTATTTGCAACCCACAATTCTGTTTATTAAGATAGTTCAAATATAGCATTGTAATGTTCTATTTATAAAGTATATTAAATGTACATATTATGTTTGACAAAGACATTTATTTAAACACTTTTAACAAGTAAGTAAATTACACTTCAATATACATTTCATCCATAACACGATTGAAATAGCACACAATGAACCCAATTCAACAACATGATGGGTTCTTTAGTATCCAGATGAAACAAATAATTTGCAAACTAGTTATATCCTGCTTAAACCGGTTTTATCCAGAATAATCAGTTGTCAGATAAAAATCTACAGTCAATATTAGCCTTCCATAAAAATGTTTATCCTATTTTAACGAGTAGCATAAAATGGAATTATTTGGAGTCATTTAAACTTGGCAAATCAATGTGTAAAAATCCCAATCTCTGTTATTTTTAATAAAACTGTTTCAGTAATTTTTAGGAAAAATTTGAAAATTGAGATGATAAAAACTGTGATGATGATGATCAAGAATCCTCTAAATCAATGGATTTTATCATGTGTGATAGTAATATGTTTGATCTCTATCTGAAGCATTCATATAAATAATATTACTATTGCAGTTGGATTATGTGGAATTGTATAACATTGTGAATTTCAAACAACTTTTTTGTTTTCACCTTCATTGTGTCTGCTGATGAGATGACGTACATCCAGTTTTATAACTTCTATAGTTGTTTGTGAGAAAATAGATGACTCAGGTGTTCTCTATCTGTCTGAGTTTAAGTGAGTTACATGAGAAGAACAAGCAAAAATTCTCACCTCAACATTGAGCAAACAAACCCACTCAAACAATTTGTTTGAGAAGCAACAAAACACCTCAGTATTACTCAGTTTGCAAGACCTCTGCATATTTTCGAGCAAACAAAACCTACTCAACCTATTTGATTAACAGCAAAACACCTCAAACTCACAGATTAGCAAAACTCAGGACCAGTCTCATGCAGACATGACGTTCACTTAAAAAACAACAAAACACCTCAGGACTACTCAGTTTGCAAGGCCTCAACATATTTTAAGCAAACAAAACCTACTCAACATGTTTGATCAACAGCGAAACACCTCAGACTCACGAGTTTGCAAAATTCAGCCCACTCTCACGCAAACAAGACTTACTCAAACATCTTGTTTAATAAACAGCAAAAATATGTCAGAGTACTCAAGAGTTCGTAAGCCCCTTAACTAATAAAAAGAAACAATTCAATGAGTAACAGCAAAACACCTTGGGACGGATTGGTCTGCAAAATTCACACCCACTTTCAGCAAACAGAACTCACTCAAAACAGATTACACACAGTAAATAGAAAAATACCTCACTTGCTACTCAGTTCACTAAGTACCCTATAAACAGATTATCCCCAATTACAATGTACTTTTTGGAATATCACTACCAGCAAATTATGTAGAAAAATTATCATTACAAGATAAAGCAATTAAAGTTGTATCAATCTCATATTGCTGAGAAGATGTGTATAATAACATTAATCTTAATTGAAATAATTTGATTCAATTGAAAATGTGGTTAATCAGTTTGAGCTGAAATGAAGAAATATAACCAGCATGAAAAAATGTTTTAAACCAAATCAATATAATTTTGATGTATTTTTAATAAACTCTGAAATAATAGGATTCGGACCACACTTTAATGAAATCTTTCAGTAACCATGGTGAAATTTTTTTGAAATACCTAATCAGACACATCAATGTCTCTCCTATTCCTTAGTATCAAACATGCAAACATGTATCGTCAACGATGAAATGGCGGAAAGCTTTGGAGTATTTGATGTATAAGAAAATACATATATTTCTAAATGTGAATGCAGCATGGCTAAGATTTATGAAATCCAAATCCGTTATAAAATACATTCATTTCATTGGTTGTTTTTCAGAATCAAACGAACGAGAGATAGATGTTCCTCCATCGCCGCCACTCCTCAAGCACGCCCCTATTTACAATAATTTCAATTTTCGCACAATTGCAGACGACAGTGTTTCTGTTTACAGTGGCAACAGGTACAAGATCCAAAATATTACAAAAGTACAGACACATTTATTGATAACATCTAGCAAGCAAGCATGTGACATGTAATTTTAGAATCACAAACAATGCTATTATTTGAACTTTTGAAGGTTTGTCTACTAACTTAATGAGCAGTTTAATATTGTACAATCGGTAGAGTAGATTTTATCACCTCATATACCAAAGGATTGAATAAATAATATCAATACAAAGAATTGTGAGTCAGAAGTCAAATCAATTTTCCCAGTTCGCAAACTACATAAAAAAGGACACTTCTAACTATGAAAGATTAATTACGATTCGGTTACCTGATAAAAATCATTCGACAAAACTTACTACTTTCAAACATTTTACTTTTAAACCAATTTAATGAGATTTTCATATTTAGGATAGATGTATAAATTCTAACAAGCGTCTCGAGTAAAAATCATGGTAAAATTATGTGCCACATAAAGTGCTCCTCACAAATGATATCAGCCTAACAGTGATGATATTCTATACTGACTGCAGACTCTCCAACTTTTTTTCCTTACCTCAAACTGAGACTACAGTACATGAAAAAAGCCTCAATCACTTTCCCATAATCAAATCAAGATACTGAAACATAAAATACTTTATTTTGACACAAAACAGGCACATTTAAAGCATATGCTTCTGCAACAATTAAGAATACGTAACATTTAGTAAAATTTTAAAAATTCTGCAACATTATGAGAACAAAATCGGAAACAAATTGAAAAAATAAATTGCGGATGCAGTAAGGCAGAGTTCAAGCATTAAAATCAAGATGACTGTACCAAAAGCTGTATTACATTTATAAGCACCCACGGTATAATACAATATTGACATACGGTACAAGTTTAACACAACAAATTAAAAAAATATATTTTAAATTGTTCATAATCCCCAGGACGGTGTGGAAAATATCTCTAAAAGTGGGACGTTTAAAAATTGGAATTTTACTCATAGGCATAGATACCGTATACAATTATGGTTCTTGATAAAACAATTGATTAAAAATTTTCTTTGGCACTTATTATGGACGAATATGATGACATAGGAAATAAAATTACATTGATCTATTGCAGGTAAAATTATAGAATGAGGATGACATAACTATAATGCATGGAATATATCATAGTTCCTCTTTTATATCAAAAATATTTTAGATTGAAAAAATTGCTACACACCCACAAGCATATTTCCTGAAGATAGTTTGGACCCAATATTAATCATAAAATTAAGGACAGAGTATAAGACTAAATTCATTATGAAAGCTGAGGGCGTTCATTTTCAATTTAGAACCATTTATCATTTATATCCAATTATTGTTTTGCATCCTTCCAGTTTTTCTTTTGCAAATTGATGTAACTGTATACTAGTTAAAAATTTATGGAACATGTTTATCTAAATGTAATAATTAATTAGTGTCTGATAAGCGATCTTCCTAACAAATTAGGGCACAGAGTATATTCTAAATAATAGCACACACAATGAACAGGGCATGAATGAAAAATTTAATTACCGTAGGTCAGTGATTCCCAAACTTAAAGACCAGGGGCCAAAATTAGAAGGGAAAGGATATTCGTGGGCCGGGAAAGGGCCCACAAAGGGCCAGTGTGTATAATTAAGATACCGGTATAATTGCTTAGACTGTGATATTGCCGTATCAAATGGCAGTATCTAGAACGAAAAAAGATAAAAACATGAAGTTTTTAAACTTTTTCACTCAAGTTCGGCAGGCCATATTAAATCGTTACAGCCCGCAGTTTGGCAACCACTCTATTAGGTAGTCGGAAAGATATTAAAGAAAATTAGAATTGCCACTCACATATTGATAGATTACATTAAAAACAAATTGCATTTGTGGTGGAGTGGCCCTATATTAACAACACGTTTTAATATAAGATTATACTGAAAAATGCATAAAAATTTCTGACAATAACCTTTTATATTGTCAAGAAACGTTTAAAAAAAATTTGCAATCACAATCCACGTGTATAAACACATAACGGCAACGCAATAGGAGGTTTGAGAAAATACAATCAACAAAGGCACGTATGGAAACAAATTTGTGATAAAATTTTGGGTGGAGTAACAAATCTATATAAAACACAAATAAATATAGCAATTTAATTCATTCAAAAATTAACGAGGCGATTTGCATTTTGGTGATGAAATGAGAGAATCCGATACAATAATGTACCACACTACATTATAAAGTTTTGATCGAATATTCAGCTTTATAGAAGATGCTTAGGAATTTTTATTGGTTTGACTTGTTCCCACTTGAATTCGTCATATCCGAAATGACCGTTGGTGCAGGTTTTATGATAAATTGGAGTTTTGAGATCTAGTTCTCTGCAGAAAAAAAAATGATCACTTTTTAGTCCGCCGTGGGACTATTTTTTAATAAAGGAATTGAGTCTTGAGTTCGCCCCAGAGATGTCCGTATTGAACCAAACATCCAAAATAGTAGTATAGTAAATTCTGGATTTTAAGAATTGGAAATTTTTGTTAGAAAATGTCTTTTTAAATATTTATTATCTTGTGATAGACAAAATAATTAGTAACTACTAACAAAATAAAATAGAGAATACTAATATTATTTTAGAATGTGTTCGGAATAGTAAATTATTCAGTTTTGGCCATCCCTGTTTAGCACATTTATGAATTTAGTAAACTGAAACTAACCCAGAGTCGAGTTGAACAAGAAAAGGTTTAAGTTCAAACTTTCATTTGCATCTAAATAAAAGCTGGCAAACACCATTGTTTTTCATGACAAAATTTGCTATTCTGGTATTTTGAGTCATTTTTATATATAAGACTATTTTTTCTAAAATTTCTGCAACAGCTAGCTTATCTAACAAAAATAATTCCTGAAACATTTTTCCTTCGCTTTACTTTTCCAGAAGGTACACTGAAATAGGAATCAGAATACCTTCTCAATTATTAACAGAGAGTACCCTCGGTCTTATTCAATTTAATTAAAAAAAATTCTGACAAAATATGAATTTTCCAATATTTTAAGCGAGAATATCAGTCAGAGACCGAAGACTTATCGATCAAAACTGCGGTTTTGATTCATGACTTTATAGTGACACCGCGTGTCCCATCACTAATTAATTAATAGCTCGCTAATTATACGCTTAATTCATCCAAAATCAATAGGCTTCTGGTCCGAGATATGATGAATGCACATGCAAAATTTGGAGCAGATTCAACCTCCCCTTCTTAAGATATCGCGTTCATCTAACAAACAGACATACAGACAAATACCTTACCGATCTTAAGATCGATAAGTAATAATGTACCATTAAAACAATAAAGTTTACCTGATAATAGCACCCGGTCTAAGATCAAAGTTGTGAGTAACAACATCATGGAGCTCTTTGTCAGAATATTCAAATGAAGTTCCGTAACTATGAATATATATTGCCATTGGTTCGGCAATACCGATTGCATAGGAAACCTAAAATGTAGCAAAAACATTAGAAACGGATATTGAAATACCTCACAAAACAGTTTTTTAGTCCAAAACATACCTGAACTAAAACTCTTCTGCACATCTTGGCAGCGACGAGAGATTTTGCTACCCATCGAGCAGCATAGGCAGCAGATCGATCCACTTTCGATGGGTCTTTGCCGGAAAAAGCCCCACCACCGTGGGCACCCCATCCTCCGTATGTATCCACGATGATTTTTCTGCCAGTTAACCCTGCATCACCCTATTCAAGACATGATGTTGTGAATACAGAAGCCCCAAAGGCGCTTACTACTAATTTATATCATTTAGTATTAAAAAATATATCTAAGTATATACCTTGATTATTAAATCGTAATTGTATTGTAATTCAAGCAAAAAGCTTTCATCTTGCAATTAATTGGTAAATTAGCAGTATCAACCACACAATCATAATCTAATTTGAACCAACTAATGTGCTAACACAAGTCAGCTCTAGTATAATATTCCATACAACAGTACTTCATGCAAATTTAAATACATATTTCGGCACTGACAAATTTGAGGCCAGCTTATGCAAGACTGAATAAGTGTAAAAGTAGAGAGCGACAAAAGGATCACCAGCAAGGGAAGAGTAGACAATTTAGAATCAGAAAGAGAAATATATCTGTAACATAGATAATCTGTGAAACTAGCAGAAGAGATATAATGGAACTGGATAGTAGAAAGAAGGAGGAGGTCTTGTTGCATTCAAAAGTGACAAGCAGTAAAAGAAGCAGAAATCACCAGTCAAGAGAGAGTTTTGAATTGAAAGTTCAAAATTTGAATAACTGGCAAAATGAACTAGAACATGTATAAAATAATAGAATAACAATACAGAGAAAGATATGATCGGAACTCCTAACGACAACACGAATGAACAAGATGTCCTCGTGCAAATTGTTTGGAAATTTAAATTTACAATCAGTCGCTCTGTAAAATGCTCACTGGTAATTTTTGGTTTATTTTTGTACCATTCTCATCCAATTTTATGGATTACGCAAATCATGGGAAAATTTTCGCTACCACCAAGAACACAATTATGATATTGCACATGGAATCTCTTACAGATTATTGCTATTACAACACATGCTCCAAGATTATGTTTTGCAGTTATAATTGTTTGAGCTAGCTAGCACCATCAACTCACCAATATACCGTATGCAAATTCAACAATAAATCACTATTGCTTCTGCCTTTTAAAATCTTTCTACCTGCTACCAGCCTATCACTCAATATTATAATTATTGTTTGCAAAACACTGTTTAATTACCAGCCCACAAAATTAATTCATGTTCCCGGCAAATATCTTCAAATCACATCGACTTTTCTAGAACAGCATATAATATCAACTGTGTTTGTAATTGCTGTCTTACACATGCACAAATTTCGATATATGGCTACTACCATTCATCCTTAAAATTATGATTTTTTAATGTGAATTGGCACTGTGGTACTGTGATAAATAGTTGTATTTTTGAGTATTTAAATTACATCTTTTATATAAACTTCGACTGAATGAATTGATTTATTTTGTCTTGTTTTTTTTCACTGAAGATTAGTGTAAATGTGACTGCAATGCAGCAAATTATACAAATTATCATTTGAATGTAATATGCTGCACAGGTCAAATTTCAATATAAGCAGTCAAGAAATTACTTAGACTAAAAAAATTATTACTAATATTAGGATAATCAATACCTATTCTTGGATAAAAAATTTGTGGATAAGGTACAATTATGTGTTTGTCAATTTTACTATAGAAATTTTTTTCTAATTTTCAACTGATAATTTTGCTGCAAAATATCTAAGCGTGATTAAAATTATTTGCAAAGCACACTTCCAAAAAATAAATTGTTTTTGATTTGGAAGTTATCCTAAAGCCAACATGGCAAGAATAAAATATCAGCATGCATATTGAAAATTGGCAATCGATAAATACACATCTATCACCAAAAATAAATCACCCATACAGAAATCAAATCAGGATAAATTAAAAACATGTATACAATTGAAAAACTAACCTGTGGTCCACCGATGGTAAATTTTCCAGATGGTTGAATATGGTAAACAGTATTCTTATCCAAATATTTTTCTGGGACAACTTCTTTCACAACCTGATTGCAAAAAAAAGAAAATTCATTCCATCAATATTGACCTGGAACTGAAGCACCACTTGAACATCTATCACTGGATATTTTCAAATATGATATTCAGGTTTTGCTCTGAACAAGGCTCTGCACAAACCGCCACTTCATTCTTAAGATGAAGACAGTTTCCAATATAAATAAACCAGTTTTTTTTTAATCAAGTTTATTAAAGTATTTTTGCTTCATTTAATGCACTTTTGAATGCCAATTATTATTAGATGCACAAAGTACATCAAAATTCTTTTATCTAATCACATAATAAGGACTCTATGCACACTCTGTAACATATGGGAATAAAAAGTACTAAAAGTTTAATTAGAAATTTCAACAAATGCTGCGAAAAATTAAAATTACTTTTTCAGCTCCTAAGGATTTACCAATAACAATAATAGGCTTAATTTAAATTTAAGCCAGTTATTCGCTTGATGAAATTAAAATTGGAACTTCTGACGATGACTAAGGGATATTGTGATGACTGTGTGTTGCATCACTCTGGTTTTTAAAATTATATCTTAACAAGTTACTTTAATAACAACATCGACATGGTATCGATACTCCAGGCTATTTCAAGTATCCTTTAATTATATTTTCAACAAATCTAATGTAAACATTTCAGTTGTTGAAGGACTAAAATAATTTTATTAGAAGAATACTATAATTTAAGTTTTTCCAACAGCTTTCTTTGTTACTTATCCTACCTAAAACATTATTTCACAATATTTTATTATTTTAGAAAATATTAACACCCGTATAAATAGACAACATACCTTATCCATGAGCTCCTTCCTTAATTCATTGATTCCTATATCAGGGCTATGCTGAGCAGAAATAACAATTGTGTGAACACGGAGTGGAATGACGGCTCCATCATCGAGTCTATGTTCAATGGTAACCTGAGGAAAATAATTTGGTTAGTACTTGATAAATGCAGGTGTATCGATATTAGATTTTCAACTAATATACATAATCAAAACTATTAAACTTTTTCCCGAAATCGAGCACAGAATAAAATGAATATGATCAACGAAGACTAGAAACAATTTAATATGATTGTTTTCAACGTTAGATTGCAAGGCCGAAAATACTGATATCCATTTTCCTCTAAAGCAATAAAATTACCTATACTGTATTTAACTGTCGATTGCAACATACTTTTATGGCTACAGACGTTTACTCCATAAAAAACAATCTAGCGAAGCTGGCATATTTTGAAGGTTTAAGATATTTTTGGAAACAAAATATCGAAGTTGTTTAAAATCATCAATCCGATCTTAAATCTTGCCTTGGTTTATTAAACTTAAATATGGAACTCAAATTTCAAACTTGAACAACTATTAAAAATATTTTTTTCCCAAATTCAGAAAGTCTTTGTTTTTGTCAAATTCAGGTTTTCATAGTTCATTCATAGTTCAGCTACCCTTTAAGCCCAATTTAAATTAAAGAGAACTAAATGAGTAGCAAACTGCAGGTGGAATATTTGGGTCTTGGAATCAGGTGTAACCAGCTCAGAATGCTTAATATTTTGATTCAAGATACAAGTGCAAATATAGGGATCAATATGTCATTTGGCGTACTTGGGTCTTCGAATCTGGTCTGAGCCAGCCTAGAGTACCATCACGTCTCAATTCGGCCATTTTTTCATTTAGTCTATGTGCAAGAATGACAGTCAATGGCATGCATTCTTCTGTTTCATCCGTTGCGTAACCAAACATCAAGCCTTGATCTCCTGCTGCAATGTCTTCATCTTCTTTACCAACATGAACTGCACCAGCTATATCTGGACTCTGTTGCTCGAGTGCAATCAATACATTGCAAGTTTTATAGTCAAATCCTATTGAGGAAAAAGTATAGAGTGAGAAATCATTTATATTATGGTGTGGGAGATATAAAACTGTTAGTGATATAAAATCTGTAACCTATAAGGACATTTTTTAGACTAGAACAGTAAACAATACGTATTATAATTTACAGAAGGATTATGCCTCACAGGCATGCCACACCTTTGCAGCATTCAAGTTCTGTTTGCAGACACTGCAATCAATTATAAATGCACAGATTCCTACTAAAGTTAACATATAATTTACTTAAAACGTTGTCATTTGACTTTGTTATTATTTTTCTCCCAATAATAAAAAAACTTGGACCTCCTGAAGTGTGCGCACCAAGATGGCGCACAACCTGAACTTAGGCTTTGTATCAGGTTAGGGTTCAGGTTGTGCGACATCTTGGTGTGCATACTTCAGGAGTGGGCTACCAAAAATTTTTGTGGACATCTTGTATATAATGAAAAAAAAGTATATGCTTAAACAAAGACGTTATATTGTCAATAGAACAATGGCATGCCTTTTGCTGAGTCATCATATCCAATCTTCTTTACAGCTTCACGAATAACTTTTTGGTAATCAACTGATGCAGTTGAAGTGATCTCTCCTCCAACGAGAATCATTCCAGTCTTTGCAAATGTTTCTGAATGAATTGTTGATAATAAATATTAGTAAGAAAGCAAATCTATAAACTATACATGTGTTGTAAAGAGAAAAAATAAACACATACCACATGCAACTTTTGCATCTGGATCTTGTTTCAAATGAGCATCCAAAACTGCATCACTGATTTGATCACAGATTTTATCTGGAAAAACAAATAATAATTCTATCATGTTACAGATGCTAGACTACTTCATCTGTGTTATATGAACAAAGACGAAGAACAACAAACAAATACTGAAAACAGCAAGCAGAAAGTGAAACAGAAAACTGTTCTGGCTAAAACAGCACATTTCAAGCACACAATTGAAGAACTACACACTTAAAACAGTAATAGATCAAATTTTGATATTACTGTAGAAAAATACCGTTCAGATTTTCGATACTATATAATCTATGCAGCTTTTACAACGATATCCAGATATCACGCACAGTATGCAGTAGCTATTTACAAAAATAGCATCAGAAGAATCATTGCAAATGACAGAACTGCAGAAATATTAGTCTATCATGATTGCTTGATATGTTTTCTTCATATGACATACAGACATATCTGCATATAATAATATACAATGCTACCGTATCTATGCCATAATATTTACAGATAATTTGATAAGCCAATTAAGAAATAGGAAAGATGTACAGTTTGCTGAGAAGAACAGGTAAATTTATCAACAAGTACTTATTAATTCATATTTTTAAACTAAAGAAATATCTGTGAACAAAATACGGGAATATAATATGGATATAAAAGTTTACTGGTTTACCTGGATGTCCTTCGCCAACAGATTCAGAAGTGAAAAGGAATGTGTCACCATGACTTCCGTGGTGTTGTGCATTGCCTCCGTTAATATAACCGTTCATGATTTTGTATTTTTCAATGTAGCCCTTCTGAAGATAGTTTCAATGCAATTAATTTTTCGCTGGTAGAAGTCGAGAGTCGGCAATTTGTAAGTTATAACGTTAATAAAATTCAATAATAAATTTACTGCAGAATCACTAAATACAGAAACAATCAACAAATTAAAATTTTCACTGGACCAAATTATAAAAAGCTGCACTCTAACTGCGCAGAGCAAAATACGCCTAGCCACTACTGTCTAACACTAGCGCGCGAAATACAAAATACAATAACATCGGCACGTGCAAATCAATGCTGGTCTCGCAGCACACGCCTCCGTCGCGACTAATCCAGAAGAAGGACGAGAGAGAACATTTCGTTCTTATATATGACTGAACCGTGACGTAATATTTCTTCTCGCGCGTTCGATGAAAAATGCTTCATCTTTCTGACAAAGCTACTCGGCAATCGCAAAAGCTGTTTGGCGTCGTTTTGATTTTTGAAGTCAGTCATCGCTGTGTATATGAAACAATGCAATATAACACTAACGGAACAATATAACACTAACTGGATAAGACTACTTGTGGATGCTATTTACCGTCGCAATTCGCGGAAGTCTATTTGAAACTGTTTCATTTGATCAATGCAACTACTTATATGACCGTAAATATACACTAATACATATAATTCTCTTGGGATGATAATGATGGTGAAGTAAAAATAAAAAATGTAAAGTCGTGGTACGACCTTAATGGAAGCTATTCAAGCGCACCTATGATTAAAAAATTACTGTTTGGAAGTACATTCTAATAACCTCATTCGATATAATAGGGTTCTGTCAACTTCACTGAAGCTGTGTAAATATGTCAAGTTCCGTTTTTCAGGCAAATCAAACACTTAGTGATACTCTCGTGTAAAATCTGAGAAATGCAATTCAAGCGGTTTGTGCATTGTGTTTCTAATGTTATAGTAAGCAACTCATCCGACATTGATAAAATCACCGAAGGGGTCTTCACTCGGATTAGACATGAGAAACATGAGGCTACATTACTCCCTCAGCTCGGCTTTGGTTAGAAATTCAACTTTCGGAGGTTGAAATCTACAGTTCTTGAGCCGCGTATGTTATATTTTCACCAGCTTATGCTCCATTGAATAATTGCAAAAACTCGTAATCTTGAGAGCACTCTCAGACTTACGCAACATGTACATTAGAAAGGTTAGGCAATGAAACGCCTCGCCCCGGGAGCAACATTTAAACCAGCCAATATGCTGCCGCCACGGGAAATATTTATTTATCAGTTTGAGGTAATGCGAGATAATTATTGTTAAATAGCACAAAGGTTAATAGGAATACAAGCAACCACGAGTACAGCGCGTGGGGTTCCAGCAAAATGCAGTGGCAACCATTTAGGTGGGTCTTATCCCGGCCCACGTGGCGCGTTTGCTGTGGTAAACTGTGCAAACAATTCAACAAATAGAATAATTGTCGATGACAGGAATTTGCCTAACAGTTTGCGCACGATTAGTCAGTAGTTTCGACCAAAGTAATGAACTGCGCCGTGTGCTCACAGTATAATCAATTTTCAACATTTGAAAGTGAAGTGAGATATTACTATTTCAAAAATCAGGATATATCATCTGGACGGAATTTGAGGCGTTATGGAACTAGGGTAGTTTCTGCAGTCGCAGGCGAGGTTCAGGTGGAGAGATAGCTGGAGATCAGGAACTTCGTGATCCTGGTTAAGGCATACTTGGCCATTCAGGGATATAAAATTTAACTTTTCGTCAAACCACAAAACACATAGTATATAAACAAGACAGCAATGCTCAAATATATGGTCACGAAAGCCGAAACGGTGGTGGTAGCGCCATGCAATCCGTCACACCTGGACACCAGATAGCAGCTAACGCGGAACCGCCACAAGTTGCGCAATTATTACATTTGGTAACGTCATCACCCACAAAAACGAATCCCATATAGCCCACAGTTATCTAAAATAAACAAAAGCATTCTAGCGACAACAACAATCTTCAACAACCGAAAACCTCAAAGCAATTGGTCTAGAAAAAAGTGTTTTTCTCACAAGAAGAATTATACAAAATGGCAAAACGACCCACAGGACCATTTCGTGTCCAGTAAGAAATGTTTTCCGTAGATGACTGGGTGGCAACGATATGACTATTTTCGATCATCCGAGTCACTTACCATTTAATCGACGTTACCAGCAGAGCCACACAGCGCAAGTATTGGCTGCACATACATCCAGACTATATTTCTTTTTTCTCAAATCACCAATCATCAAAAGCCAATATCTTGGGAGATGCACATGATTACGAACGATGAGTGGATATGAACCTTTCCTACTGTTCAAGTAAAAATAATTTTCTCAAGTTTTTATGTGGTAAACCATCCCAAGTCTTTGAAATCCGATTTTTGAATGAACATAAGGCATATATACAATATTTTAATATTATTATTACAGCATAAAAACAGGCAACTTTCGACAGCGAATTTTTACAAATTGATGGAGAAAATGTTACATACATATGGTAACAGGTTAATAATATTAAACTGTACAGTTGTACACCTTCATATGAACTTTAACTTCAACCTCGATCTTGTCGATGCAAGAAATTACAATAAAATAAAAAGAATTTGAGCATTTCAACCATACTTTAGGGACCATGTTCATCATGGCATGAACACACATAAAAGCCATTTCACGAAATAAAAACGAAACGGTACATTCAGATTTGCTATTTTACTTCATTGCATCAATAAAAAAATTTGGAACATAAAATGTCATAATATTGTTCATAAACATTGACAATGGATAAAAAGGAGTCATGAGATTAATGATGATTTACTGAGGGTAATCGAAATACTCGACCCAATCTTAAAATGATGTCAGAAAAGCTTTGAAGTCAAATCGGCCAAATAGAGAAGATTTTCACACAAATAAGGTTGTGTCTGCGGAACATAAGGTGATATGTAAAGTAGATTTCAGGTTTATCATCAAGTTTTTTGAATTCGCGGGTAAGATAATGCGATAATGCAATACTTCTGAAGAAATACATGTGGAAATTGGTGCAAAAATTGTACAAACTTCAAAAACAACTGCATTTTTAAAATAGGAAAATGATGTTCGCATGTTAATTTTCCAAAATCCAGTACAAATAAGAATAATAAATATTTTCGATATTTTTCCAAAAAATGGCAATTTTTTTTTTGTTTATTTAATAGACGGTAGTAAACAATACAATGATTTTTTCAAATCCTGTATAAGGACTGCCACATTTTGATCACCAAAAAAAAATTATCAAAATAAATTTTCCCCTAATTTTACTTTGGAATTTGCTTACTGTTACAATATTCTTCACTTGAAGTATTATGATAATACCTATTTACGTACATATAAGCGAATTGCGAGTATCACTAACTATTGATCTATTAAAGCTTTATTAATAACAGACAGAAAATTAGTTATCATTCGCATGGACCAAATAAAGAAGATTGTCAAGATATGTAAACGACTGTTTTTTTAACGATGGCCAGGTTGAAATTGGTACAGGGTGACCCCAAAAAACGAAACCCAGGCCATTTGGAACATATTGTATGGGTTTCTTTTTTTTTGGGTCACTTGGTATCTACCGAAAAAAAGGGAGGTGGCAGAGGCAGTCAGTCGGCTTTTTCAAAAAATGGGGTATTTCCATTTAAGGTGGACAATATGGTAACCTTAGCATATTTTCCTTCTTTGACTCTTTATTTTTACCTTTTCTTCTGAAATTAACTGAATTATTTACTTGAAAGAAAAATTTAGTGGAATTAACAGAAAAACTGAATTATTTACTTGAAAGAAAAATTTTGTGGAATTAACAGAAAAACATTTGACACAACAACGGCATAAACAAGAAAGAAATATTTTTGGCTTGAAACACCAAGAAAACAATGACAATGTAATTTGTACCCAAAGAAAATGACGACAGTGCAAAATAAAGAAATGAATGAGAAATATAATCGAATGATGACAAAAATAATTGTCATGTAGTATCCAGATTGTAAGCAGAATGGTGATCTGGGTTTATCCCGTTTTAATAGAATTCATAAAACAAGATACCAACATATGACGCAGAAATACAATTGAATACCTTGTAATTTCAACAAAGTGATTATAGCAATAGACTAGGGCAGAAATTCTCAAACTGGGACCTCGGCCTCATTGGGAGCCACGTCGCTCTTCTCTGGGGGCTATTTTTTCACTGGATACCATTCGCAATGGCTACATTAATTTAAGGTAATTGACTGAGTTGCTTGAATTTTTGACTGTAATGCATTTATTTTTTTGCTTTCGTTTGTTGGATGATGGAAACATGTTAAAAGCAGAACTACATATTTTAGGAAACAGCAGGGGGTCATGGAAAACTGAGAGTCTGTGCAAGGGGGCCACAGATCCAAAAAGTTTGAGAATCACTGAACTAGAAAAAATTTCACTAACTTGATCGAAAGCTGGATATCTTGTAAATCTTTAGAATTTAGGGGAAACGATTGGAATTTAGAAATTCTACGCCAAAAATTCAATCAAAGTCATATTTTATACTAGGCACCAAACTTTGTTTTTTTTTCAACCCAACAAAAAAAATACATTATTCCACTGAGAAATATGAAACTATGTGAGAAAAAAAAGAAGGAAAAAACCCAAAAAATTTGAAAAAAAAGAGAAAAATCGGTAAATATATGCTATGTAGCAGGATAATGAGAAGACGTATATCTCATATTAGTTGGGTGACCAGCGGTAGGTGGGTGAGAGTACAAGTTTGAATATTGTGGGTGCTGGTATGCATACCCCGGATGATAAGCCCCATGATTAGGCGTAGCTGGCGGAAACAACGCATGAGGTTGTGCTGGATTATAATATTGTTCACTTTCAGTATGGGGCCGCCTATGCCCCACAGGTGGGTGACTAGATGGGACAGGTGGGTGGGCATAAGTGGTTGGGATCATGGCACTAGAACCCGAAGATCCGCGATTCAAATGAGGGTTGTAACTTGAAGGAGGATATGGAAAATCTATTGGTGTGTGATAACCTGGATACGAATGATGATTCGTGGGTAAAGATGGAACATGAGTTCTAGGCTCAACTAATGAATGATGTCCGTAACCATACGGAGAAAAGTAATGTTCAGATGGGCCAGGGTTTTGACGAGAAAACCACTGCTGGTGGTGCTGATAGTCAGCGTCTGTTAGCATTGGCGATCCAGCTGCAGTTTTGTCTGCGTATTGCTGGGGCAGATGGTGAGGATGACTATTTGAAGGGTTGTACATTCCGGGCCTGAGTGATGAGTAAGACGCATTAGAAGTGTGACGCGAATGTGTTAAGTTACGAGATTGTTTAGAAGAGTTTGCGCATGATGGTGGCTGCTGATGCGGCATAGTTGCGGGTGGGGTCATTGAAGAAGGAGGGTGAAAATCACCCCCTAATGAACCAGACGGGAGCTGTACGCTTGCGGGTCTCTCTAAATAACCTGCATTTGAGTACATACATGGGCTCTGTTCTGTCGTTTGAGAAGTCCATGCATCAGTCTGTGGTGTTGGCAAAGGTGGAGTAATATTTGAACTTTGAACCCTCCTTGAATTACTATTATTTTGTCTCGAACTACCGGGTTTATCTATACCATGAGCAAGTTGATGAAGTTGTTGTAAATTTGATCCTCTTGGCGATTTTGGGACCGAACCCCGGGACACAGAGTCGACTGATATGTGGCGTTTAGTAATTTGATTGTCCGGTTGCGTTTCTCTCGTAATCGGATGTCCAGCAGCAGGCGAAAAGTTTTGATTTGTAGGGGTCAGAGGTTGGTGCTGCTGATCACTTGTGTTACTCGGAGGGCCCGCAGTACCATACGAAAATGATCTTGCTCTGGAATTGGATGAATTCAGTTGCTGAAAACCAGGCGATTGTTGCTGTTGCATTCTACAAGATGACATTGATTTTGGATCGTTCGGCGAATTGACGGTTTGTAATAACGGACTTGGTGGGACAGGATAATTCCCTGATCCAATTTGGGAGGACGGACTCATATAGTTCGTACCAGAGCAACTCAACGTTGACGCTGGTCTCATTGGAGTTGGAGTTCGATTTTGATGTTGTATTGTTGTTTCGGGACTTGTATGAATGTTTGATTGTTGTTGTTGTGTTTGTTGTTGTTGCATGCACTGACTCTTTGGAGGTGTTGATCCTTTAAATGAGTTGTTACTATGAGCTGGTGAACCAAGAATCTCATTTACAACTGTAGCGTTACCTGCAAAAATATGTGAATAGAAGGAATCAAACATTTTATATTAGATGTAACACACCTTTGGTTAGTAGATGCCTTGTGACAGAATCAACTGAAACCCATTAAGGTTTGAAAAAATAAAATGTTGAAGTTTATTTATTACAGCAGTGTTTCCCAATCTATGGTTCCCGACCCCAAGCTGGGTCACCTGAAATTTTTCATGGTTGCATGTTCTTTCAACAAAAACTTGTTATTAACATAGCTAGGTTTCTAGTAAATTTCATTGTTTAGTTTGTGTTTGGTATTGAAACGTTACTCAATAGTTATTGTATATCTGGAAAGCATTGCAGCGTGAAGTGAAGCCACGCCATATTTCAAAACTCGCAGCAAACAAACGCGGCTTTCTCAATTTGAAGTAATTTCTGATAAAATGAATGTTATGTAAAAATTATTGTTTCGAAGATTGTTTGAATTAGTAATTTAATTTTGCATTCATAAAAGTACTAAATACGTTTATTATTTTAGCGTATCCTAAGGTCGCAAGATTTTACAAAATATATTTTTCAAAAATTTGGGTCGCTTGAAAAAAAAGGTTTGGAACCACTGCATTAAAAGATAGCCAATACTGGATAAATAAACATCTATTCCAAATACATTACGAAGCATTATTCTCAAATTTAAGCAGAACATATTGAGAAATAAATGAATGGTCTTTGAATAGATAATATAGCAATCACCTGCTTCAGGATTAGTAGTTGGAACTTGTCTCGGTTGTTGAACAGTTGTTGCTAGTTTCACACCAGCAGTATGTGACTGAGATACAATTGTGGGTTGTATGCTTCCTGCTGCGCCCGAAAGATAGAAGAATTAAAACTTAGGGCTAGGCAGATACACAAAAATTCAAAATGGCATGAAATTTTAGTATAGTCAGAAGTTGACAAAATATAACCATTTTAAACCACATACTATTAAAAAACCGTGCAAATGAACATACCCCTGGCATATAGTAAATACAGCTTCTTCTATAAGTATAGCTCATGTTTTTTGGTTACTGCATATAATTATCGTATCATTTTTTTTCGTGTAGGTGCGCCATGGGTTTTTTCCCCTGATAATTTGGCACCGCACGGACAAAAAGTTTGGAAACTGCTCAACGAGACATGTACTGCATCGGCAAATTAATTCAATCAAGTATTATAATCAAGGTAGTAAGCAATTAGTTCTTATTCATGGCAGCCTACCTACCATAATATAATGCTAAAATTGAATCAGAATAATAGAGAATAAATGAAATTAGATCAATACCATTAGAGAAATATGTTTTGATAGTTAGAAAAGCCCAAATTACTATTTTATTTTAATATATCTATTTTTGCAGTGTCATGTGTAAACTTTGAATGGGTTGAATTTGGATATATCATGTTTTCTCTGCAAAACATACCAATTCAAATTTTTCCAAACAAAAATGAATTACAGGACAAATTCCCAGAATACCAAATTAGGCAAGGAACTAAAACAGTATGCAATTCAAAATTTAGGAAAAAAATACAATAAGAACAGAACTGTGAGGCAAATACGTCGTCATTCACACTGTTATTCCTGACATATTCAATTCAGAATCTTTTCAAAAATATTTTTATGAATTGACAACGATCTGCCAATCGGAAAAAAGTGCTATTTCGTAGTCCCTAAAAAAAGTTGCGAAAGTGTTTCGCACTTTTCGCAAAAAAGTGCGCTAATAGTGAACACTGTCTGCCAGTATCTACCATTACAGGGGAAAAAAGGAATTTTGCAAAATATTCAAACTAAATATAAACTTTAATCCAAAAACATAAGAATTACCAGATATTCCCTGAGGTGGATTATCACAACTTCCCGGATTTAAGCTGTTAATACTGTCTGGTGACGTATACGGACTAGATCCGTGAGCACTCGACGTTTCATAACCACTCGAGCAACTAAATTCCGTCTGATTCGTTTGCCCTGGGACATGATGTTGTCTCTGACCAGTTGCGGAATTAATATTGTAATGTGGCGCTGAACTTTGACTTGTCGGAACAGCCAAAACAGGAGGGTAATCTTGTGGTCGTGCCATACTATGCCCGGACAGTTTTTGAGTTTTTGTCGAAGGCGATAATATCGTTTTCTCAGTGGAATACATGGATGATGTTGCGTTATTTGTGTAAGAAGTTCCTTCCGCTGAACCATGAAAGGTACCTTGATGATTTGGACTGACGTTAACATGCTCTGTTGTACTAGACTCAACAGACGGACATTGACTCATATACGGATCAGTTTGTTGCTGATTTTGAAAGTCTATCGTTTGTGCGTTGTTTGTTGCAGCGTGTGTAATTCCCATATCTATATTCTGCGGTAGTACGGGTGGAATTTCATCTGCTGCTGTTGTGTTTAATGGGTATCCTACCGTCACAGAATCGGCATACTGATTTTGCGCATCATTGTCTGTATTCAGAGGGACCTGTGCGACAGTGCAAGTGCCGCTATAAGTGAGAGTGTTGTTTGGCTGCATCACTGAATTTTGTGTTATAAGATGACTTGTTTGATTGTTTTGTACTTGATGTATTTGATTGGCAATTTCATTTGACATTTGAGAAACAATGTTTTCAACTTCAGAGCCGTGAATCTCGCTTGTGTTCGGACTTTTAAAAGTTTGTGTGTGCTCAGGTGGTAATAATTCGGCAGATGCGATTCCGCTGATAGTATTGTCCTCTTCTGCATAAGACACAGCAACTTCTTCGGTTACATGACTTTGCGATGTGTTTATCGCAGATGTATCAGTGTTTTCTTGTTGCATACAAGATTCCTTAGTACTAGTGGTGGATGTCCAGAATATATCTTCAGCTGAGTTACTGAACGTGGTGTCAATATCTGAAAAATATATTTGTGTTAAATTTTTCTTCGATTTTTCAGCTATGATTTCTTCTTAGATGTCAGATCTTAATTATGAACCGTGATTCAAATGAAACATCAAACAATTTCTTTGCTGAACTTGGATTAGGAATCGGCAATCAAAGAATAGGATTTGGTATTACCAATGATATGAATCAAAATTATAACATTTAAAAACATGTTTAGGTCATTTTTTAAAGCAACAGACTATTACTACCCTGTTGGACAATGCTAAAAATTTGTTTCTCTCTTTATGACAAAACAATACAAAATTACCTGATGACAACATGCCTGCTTCATGAGGTGTTATAGATGCAACAGCCGCATTTAATTCTTCTTCTGTTGCTCTCCATTCTTCATCCACTAATTCATTTGCATCCTAAAGAAAGGTAAAAGAAATTATTGTTAGTAAGGATAAGGATATAAGTGATTTCAAATCTAAATACTTTAGTTATTAAATTAGTTTTTTATAAAGTAATTTTCTCAATGCAAAATCACCCAAACTCACTCAAAAATACAGAAGATTGATTTCTGAACGAAGTTATCGGAGGCCTCTAAAGTGCCAATAGCTAACAAGATGATAAACGAGAATATCGGTCGGAGACCGAAGACTTATCGATCGAAACTGCGGTTTCGATTCATGACTCTATAGTGACACCGCGTGTCCCATCACTAATTAATTAATAACTCGCTAAATATACGACATAATTCATCCAAAATCAATAGGCTTCTGGTAAGAGATATGATGAATGTACATGCAAAATTTGGAGCAGATTCAACCTCGCGTTCGTGAGATATCGCGTGCATCTAACAGACAGACAGACAAATACCTATCAACATACTTACCGATCAAAAGATCAATAAGTGATCAGGTCTGTACAACTCAATGAACGAAGGGGCGACATACAAACAAAAAATTTGGTTGTGTCAAGTGGATCGTAAGAAAAAAAATTTGAAGAACACTGGCATAAAACATACTCTGAAGGCAGCTTCAATATCACTCGATTGAGCTCCGCCATGTTGTATATTACTCAATGATGAAGATTCTTCTATTGCTCGCTGTTCTGGTTCTTGTAAATTATCTGTAATGAATATTGTACCTTTGTGATGTTTTCTTACACTTTTTACAAGAACAAACGTTATTTCAATTTTACTATTACTTGAAAGCATATTTTTAAAAATCTTTGAATATAATTTCCTGAAACACTGCTTTTTAATGAGTTCCAGTACATTAGCGGGCGCTCCAGAAGTGTGTGTACCAATATGGATGAAACTAATATTGTTCGCCTACTTCACATCAAGTTGTGTACGGGGGATGAAACTTATGAGCAGGGGGTATATTCACTTGGCTAACACAGACAGTCCTCGAACTCGTAATAGAACTTAAAAAAGGAAAATCAGAATAAAATTATGGCCTAACCCTAACCTGGTACACACACTAAGAGAGTACCCTGTAGAGAAGTATGCTACTTTTCACTGAGCGAATTTTCAGAAAAATGTCTTACCGCCAGTTGGAACTTCAGATACTTCTTCGTTATCATTTTCAGTCATGATTTCGTCATTATCGTTCGTATTTCCAATTTCAGTGACAATCACGTCATTTTCTTGTTGTTGTGAAAAGTTGACATCGCTTACTGCTGGAAACACTTCGGCATTGTCGCTGACGTATCCTAACAATGGCTCAACAATAAATCCATTGTCATCGACTTCCTCGATTGGATTCAAATCCTCGTCCTGAATATTTTGTTTGTCCGTTGCGGCGACGACCCAACTTTCAGTGCTGTTTTCGATGCTATTTGAAGCCCACTTTGGTAATGTTGGATCTCCGTTGCGTTTCAGTCTTGAATGTTGATTGTCAGTCCACGGTTCACTGTCATCATCACATTGCATTGGAGGTTCCGGAATTTCATTATTTCTATTCGTTAATACGGATTCTGGATTTTCCACTGTATCGATTTCGATGTCGCTTTGAACGCTGTCAGTACAAATTTCGGAACGAGCGTCTTGTGAGTCTCGTCTTCCACTGGGGAAGCTGATTCTCATTTTAACACCTTGCTGTTCTATGGATAAGCTAGATTCGTCAGAATGCGGTTTAAAATCAACTTTTTTCATATGTCGGATTTTCTTTTTCACAAATCTTCCTTCTTCCACTTTGAGTGCTTGTTTTCCTACAGCAGACTTCTTTTCCGGTAACAATTTCTTCTTTCGTACTTTCTTAGCAGAAGGTTTTACAACCTGTTTCTTTATTTTTTCAATGTTATTTATACCATCATCCCCTGGTTTAGGATGTTTTCTCGGACGACCAGGTCCTCTCTTCTGCAGTGGTGGAACAGTGTTATTGTCCGTTCCTCCTATACCTTCATTTGCGGATCCCTTAGAGGCACCCGAATTTTGTGCCCCCAGTCCCAAGTCAGTCTTTTCTTTCATTTCTCTCTCATCACTCTTCGCAATTCCCTGAATTTTTTCAATCTCGCTCGGTTTCGTTTGAAGTATTTCTGAATCTTTTGTTGACGTTTTGGTTTTTATGATAGAAATTGATGACGGTGCTTTGACAAAATCTCGGACTTGTGAAGATATCATAGTACGGGGTCTAACATCGCTATCGCAAGACGAATCGTAGTCTGAAGAATCATCAACTGACGAAGATGTGAGCTCCTCAGATGAAGATTCTGCGCCTGAACAGGATGAAGATGAAGATGTACTTCCATCACCATCCTCATCATCAGCGTCATTGTTGGACATGTCTCTATATTTCATGTCAAAGGTTAAGGGTCGAAAGGTTGTATTCGTTTTTGGCGGCATAAACGATGTCAGGGAATTTGTTTGTGGTGCCGTGTTCCATAACTTATGAAAACATGGCGGCACATCTTTTAAGAGTGTCGACTGCTTGTGATACTGGGGGCTATCCACTAAAAAATGTCCTCTCTGTTCATTTTGTTTGGGCATCGCTGCTGACGGCGGCGGCGATAACACGTTATTACCGTTCAAATCCTGTGAATTTTTATTTATAAATGGTAAACCAGCAAACGAATCTTTTGGAGATGATTTTGTTTCAGTGTCTTTATTTTCCTTTGCCAATTCATTGTCGATTCCTATATTGCTTTCACATTCTTTACTTTCCTCGCTAAATTTTTCAAAAATGTTTTCCGAACTCTGTGATTTATGATTATCCTCATTAACTGAAACAATTGGATCTTGCTTTTTCGGTTTTCTAGTAGGACTAGGCTTTCTTTCAAACGAAGCCGTTCTTCGTCTGGTTCTACCAGACAATATACAGCCCATCATAAAGTCGTTTCCCACTTTAGCACTGCGTCGCTGCCGTTTTTGTGGTAGTTCTTCTGTATCCACAATATTATTGCTATTGTTGTTTCCGTTCACAATATTCAGATGAGGCCGCGTTTTTCCGACATCTTTTACTGATTTCGTTGCGGAATCACTGATGTCATCAACAGTGGGAAGATCTTTATTAGTATCAGCAATCAAATTTTCTTCATTTCCAGGAAGTTGATTTGTTTCAGAAATTTTTGAATTTTCGACATCGTTCTGCTTATCATTTTTTGTATCCTCGGACTGCGCTTTTTCTTTCTTCCTGAAAAAACTATGCATAGTTAACTGTCTTGGTGATTTTTCAGCACCAGAAGTTGCCACGTCGTTATACCCTTTAATCAGTGACCTTTTATAACCCCTCGATCTAGGGGTGTCAGGAACTTTTGTTTCATTCTCCGTTCCACTGTCTGTAGGTTTACTGATCGTAATTTTCTTTTTTGCTGTCGGCTTCTTTCGTGGTAAACCCCACGCGTACCCCTTTGGTTTTCTGCGGCGTCGCTTTTTCTTTTGAAGAGATGATGTATTGGATTTCAGGGGTGAGATATATGAAGAAGATTGAGCTATTCCGTCTTCATCCAAATTTCTATCAAATGACATTCCTGATGAGGCATGTCCATCCATTTCTAACTCTGTAGTTTGTTTTGAATCATTTTCCATTCCTGAAACACGGAAAGAACATTCGTTTTGTGGAAATTTTTATTGAAAGTACAAATGCTTTACATATAAATATGGCCGAAAAATGTTCTTAAAGAATCACTTTAAAATAATATTGATAATGATGATAATGATATAACTATTTTGGAATCAATTCAAATTGGTTGATTCGATTGAATTCGGACATCCCTGGCCCAAACTTGGGTCCAAAAAATATTTAATCATTGTGAATTCGATTCTGGTACCATACAATAAATTCTACATTGCAAAAAGAATAACAACCTTGCACATATTGTAGGCATTTGTTAGATCATGTCTTATTTGCAGTCCAATACGTAATATCCCAAAAACCTCTATTATAATAGGTTATCAGAAAACTAGATATTTACTTTCAGTTGGTTTATCATTGAAATTTCCTCCATCATCACTCTCCCCTGATGTCATATGAGGTGCTCCTATCCTCCAGCCATTGTCAGAGCCTGCTTCGTCTTTTCCATTTGTGTTCTGTATATAATAAGAAAGAATGTGATTGAATAGACATATCATTGATTATTGCATATGCAAGAACATCTTACTGCCTATTCCAATATAATTTTTCATCAGTTATATTATTTTCATATTACCTTACAGAGTCAAAATAATGAAAATAGCATGAACCTGTCACTTGGTCAAATAAGATTTTTTTTCTTAAATTTCAGAAATTTGTTGAGATTTGAGCTTTAACATAACAGGTTTGATTCATACTATAGCACAACAAAGAATGAAATAATTAGTGACTCTGTACTACAATTTAGATCCCGATACTAGATTTTAAAATCTTGGCAGTTGGCGCATCGTGATAAGCATTGCACTTCTGATTACCACGAGTTCACAGGTTCGAAACCAGTAGATGATAATTATATGTGAGAAAATTGCTGGACTCCTCACTGCCATAAGGTGGTTCACATAATCGTTAGTCGGCTTACTAGACCATACAGTAGTTTATTTTTTCAAATGCCCAAAATACAATTTGTACATACAACATACATAATGTAGAAAAATTGCACTTCAGTGCGAAGGGAGATGTGATAAACAAATAATAGAATCGAGAAGCGTCACCTATGAAGAAGTCTTGATAATAAATCATACTAAGGAAAAAAAGCTAAACATAAAGCGACCTGATATTCCCAGTATCGCTCGTTCCAATAGAGAAAGTCAGTCCATTCATCTAAGACAAATAACTGTTTAACATTTCAAGACATGTCACTTACCGGCAACTGAACAAAAGGCCATGATTCACCATATGATTAAGCTGTTTTATCGGCTTTTCTCTCCCAAGGTCCAAGAGAATAAATATATAAAATCCTATCCTGCAACTTTGGCATTGACATACCGGTATGTAACATATAAATGAACAAAACAAATTCTGCATGTAGGTGACTCAACACTCATTATTTTGCAACATTGTAAGGAGTGTATTAAGATTCCATACCTCAGTTATTATTTTTTTCTTCTTTTTAATTTTCACTCTTCCCCATGGATAACCTTTAACCTTTTTTCTTCGTCTTTTTTTCATGGGTGGTCGAATGCCCGATCCAGAATCATGACTTTCCGAACCGAACATTGAAACAGGTTTCCTTCTTTGCGAAGAATTTTGTTTATCGGTGAAATCCTTAAACGCATCAGTACCATAATCGTCTTTTTCGGATATCGTTTCAGTTGTGACGGAAGGAGATCGCATCGAATGTTTTCTTTTTTTACCGTGACGCCGATGATGAAGAAACGATAACGATATTGATTTCGCTGGATGATCCACTAACGGATTTGAAATCTCGTTTTTAATATTTTCCACGCAAACATCTTTCTCCTTTTCATCTGGATTAAGCGTAGCTGGTTCATCCGCCATTGCGAAAGCGTCATCCAAGCACTTCGTAGGCGTCTGGATTTTCACTGAACTTTTATTTTCCGTTGCGACATTCAATAAACCACTTTCTGCAGATGACACTTTGTCAGGTGTTAGTAATGCCCGAGGAGATAGGTTTTTGAAAGCGTATTTTTTATCGCTCGAGCTGCCAAGAGGAGATCTCAATGAACGGGTCGGACTTCCCTAAAAAATTGAGATTAAATTTCATAAAATGTGTAAATACAGGGCGATTCGGAGAAAACAGAACCCAATTGGAAAATAATCTATAGTGAACATAACTTTCGGGCAAAGTGTCCCAAATTTCTGAAAATTTTGGGTACAATCATGTACTATCAGAATTTCAAGTGTTCATTAAATTTAAATTAATTTAAAAGAATTAAAGGCAAATATGATTACCAGTTATTACATCTTTAATAGCAAATATATAAAAATAATTTGAGGTATTGTTACACAATTTTGGCAATTTTTGCCATTTTCATTGAATTCATGACCAATTACATATATTTCTTTTATCGTTTTTTAATCCTTTATTATATTATTCACTGAGTGTATTGAAGAATGAACCAGCTTGAACATATTATGTAGTTACCGGAGTACTGGTCATATTAGAGGTCGCCCATGGCTTTGCCTCCGAGTGAGTGCTTTGAGCAAATTCTGAATAAAAGAACGATAACTAACCTCATCTGGACTTGAGTTGATGGATATGAGAGGAGTCCATCGAAGACTATCAGGATCAACCTGGTATCTTATCTTTCCACTGGCCTCGAAAGTACGTTTCTTGTGCTCGTATTCTGCTATCAATCGCCGTCGTCTTTTTACATTAAATCTATAAAGAGTAATTACAATGATAAATTCAAGTATCAAAATATTTTGAATGGCACGATGGCCGAGCGCCTTCAGTTCGCGACCCACAAAAAGATATTAGTATTGAAGAAAAGTAACAATGTATCCTAGCGTTTGGTAAAGCGTTAAACTTAAATGTGTTGGCCTCGCAGAGGACATCTCGGGTTCGAATCCCAGGCTCCCACACCATCAAGGGTGTATGTAATAAATTGAGTAAGCAATGCCAAACCGAAACGATTTGGGTCCTACCAAATAATAGTAGCTTTCCAGATATCAGTGACTGCTTATACAGGGCCTTGAATAAGCGTCGTATATTCAAGTTTCAGAAATGGAGCATATAGAAAGCATATCAGAAAATTCATTGGCTATTCAAATTACCAGTTGTATTTTCCGTTTTTTTGTGATCTATTCACACAAAACTACACCTCATCTCTACAGCCACTAACACATAAGAAGCTTTTTTTTCTTTGAAGAAATATGTAGTATACTGTATTATGACTCCCATTGTTTCATGCATGAGTGATCTTGATTATCGTTCTCTCTCTGTTAAAGCTTAAGTCGATTACTGTGTATTTTCTGTAATACATCTTGATTTTCGACATACCTCGTCTATTCTCCGAGTTCATGACACAACAGACCAGTATCTTTCTGGTTCGACATAGCCTACCCAATTTGTCATACTGTTGAGTTAGGGTGATGAGCATGGGATTCGAACCTGCAATCAAAAGAGTGATACTTACTTGACTTCAATAGGTTGATTACTTTCAGTCAAAACGTTTGGTGATTTCTTTTTCGTGATCATTCCAAGTTCTTGCATTGTGGCAGCAATATCATGAGGACACATACCTAAAAAAAATAAATGCAGGACGTCCGTTTAAAAGTGAAAGATTTATTCTTAATAATTAATTATGACAAAAAATTAATTTAAGTAACGCAAGTTGAATATTTGAGTCAAATTTTAAAAAAATGATGGCAACAATTATGAAAATATTATTTAGAATATAACACTAAAATATGAATTATCCTTGAGTCCAATATGCTGATAATATAGGCTATTACCAAAAAGCATGATGTCCGTACTCTTGCTGAACGCAGGCAACATTGTTGTATGGTACAAAAACAGGACAAAATTTTAATATAGTAGTTTGATCTAAAACCACAAAACTTTAATTGAACAATTTTATTTAAACCTTTTTTTTATCATTTTAAAGGATTTGAACGTGATTCTTCCATTCAAATAAAATCTTCAAAAAAAAATCTTATTTTAAAATGTCCAATAAAATAAAATAGTCTTAGATTTTCATCACCTTCAAAAAAGTTTAACTTTCTTTTAAAGTAGCTGGTTTAGTTATCACACAAACTAAAACTGAAAACTGTCCAATCATACCATGATCATGGCGGCATTATGTCATATCATTTACAAAATTTACTTGGATTCTGGCTTACCTGTATCCTTGCTGATGATTCGTAACGATACATTCTTATCATTCTGATGTTTTGAAAAATATTCCAGTATCACGGTTTTCCAGTAAGCACTGTATGATACTTGGCCAAGTTCCGACAACGGCTTTTCAGGAGTTCCTGTCTGTCCTTCTTTGCGAGATAATAAATAACCTAAAATGAAGATATTTTATAAATTAGGTCGTTTGCACTCACTCAGAAGTAATAATAGTCATCTCTGAGCGAAGTTACAGGTAAACACTAAATTGTGAAGTTTCACTGAAATTATACAGAATTATGGTCATACGTATTAGTAAATGCTGATTGACACAAGAATTGAAAATAAGGGGCTCCCGAAGTATGCGAACCAAGATGGCGGACATCGGAATGTAATATGTGTACTAGGTTAGGGTTAGGCCATAATTTTAAATATAAATACTACGGGAGGCTCTTGGCTAGTCTTCGAACTGATAATGGGACTAAAATAAGGAAAATTGGAAAAAAATTATCGCCTAACCCTAACCTGTTACCCATGTTACGTTCCGATGTCCGCCATCTTGGTTCGCATACTTCGGGAGCACCGAAAATAATATATTCATGCAATTATTTTAAATCAAAATCTTGACATATTTACCAAAATTTATAAAATTAGGCCATGTTTATTAGGTCAATAAAGTCAAATTTATAAAAGATAAAATTGCGATTTTTTTGATCATTGAAAAACAGTGGTAAGGACTTCCAAAGAATAGGATGTCACTTCATTATCTTGGAAGTAAATAAAAAAAATAATGCACTCACTGAAATCTATAAGAAATCTTCCAAATCCTTGTCTTTGATATTGTGGCATTGTCATAATACACGACACATTGTATTTTTGTTGACAATGTTTTTCCTAAAACAAAAAAAGTTTAAGACATAATGGATGCCTCTATAAGGGCCGAGATTTAATTGGAGCATCAAAATGAAAATATTGTATATCATCGTTTCTAAACTTTTCAGTCAAAAGAAACAAAATTGAGAGTTTCCAAAAACTTTAAAAAAAATTGAATAAAAACACAGGCAAATAAAACAAGATCCCCCAATTCCCAATCTATGTGTTACATCCATCTAGGAGTAGTAAAAAATTAGTAAAAAATTCTAAAAAAATTCATGCAAACTTACCTTTGAAAAATATCCCACTAAATGACATCCCTTACTGTCATTTTTTGTTAAACAGTAGAAAAGAAACGGTTCCACGTCATAGTATAATGTTTTATGATCAAGAAATAACTTGGCAAGAAGACAGATATTTTGACAGTAGATCTGAAAAAATAATCACTTTGTAGTAAAGCAGTTTTATTTCAAAACTGTAAACTGGAAAGCACTGATTTCATTATTTGTATGAATTATTAGAAAATTTGAAATGTCAGGAAGAATCAGATGATCAAGAGCTGGATCCAATAAAATTCCTGGCAGCTTCAGCTTCTGCTCAATCACCATCTAATAAGGTAATATTGGCCCAAGCATCAACAAATGTCAAGGATCTTTAATCTTTTATATAACAAAATGTCTTGTCTTGATACTTGAATTTATCATTGTAATTACTCTTTATAGATTTAATGTAAAAAGACGACGACGATTGATAGCAGAATACGAGCACAAAACACTAATTTTTTGTGTGGCCCAGCTGAATGTCTAAAGTTGGTTATATGGCCCACCGAGAAAAAATGTTGCACACCCCAGCAGAAGACCTTTCGAGTCTAAGACCGCTGTACATAAAATAGGTTTTGCGACTAATTATGTGGCAACAGAAATTACTTACATTACTGACATTCCCGTCGACTTCAAACACAGATAAATCTCCCTTTTTATATATTTCATTAGCAGGTGGATGGAACCATTTACATTTTCTTGCGTGTCTTCGAAGTATCGAACGAGACTTCATATATTTCAAGCAAAATTCACAAAGATATAACTTTGGCAACCTGTGATAATTTTAGAATAAAGTTATTAACACTGTGCTGCGAATAAAGATCATGATTGGCAGCACCGATACCAGAACAACAATACTTTTTTCGAAGGATCCAAAATGATTTATGTTTGGCATAGCTTGCCTGAATTAGTGATTGGTTTATAGCACCGGGCATTGGTCATGTTATGGTATTCACATACTCATTAATAAAGGCTTATGTTATAAACACAATCAAAATGCATCGATATATAATAAAAAACCAAGAAACAGATCAGACTTACAATTTAGCAAGAAGCTATTGCTGCGATGCCAGCATAATTCAGTACAATGCTCTATCTAAATCAGCCCTATGGTTCGCAACCCAAAACTGGGTCACCTGGCACTTTTGTTTTTTAGTAAATTTTATTGTTTATTTATTGTATTGGTGTTGCTGTATCATTCAATAGTAATTGTATATTTAGGAGGTATCAGTGCGTAATAACTTTGCAGCATTCATTTTGCTGAGTAAAGTCACGAGATTTTACAAAATTCTGTTTTAAAAAATTTGAATCGCTTGAAAAACTGAAAAACAACAATTATTTTGATTACTATTATTATGTAAACAATTTCACCTTGCATATTCCTGGGGATAGGGTGATGAATACCATGTATCTATCACATATTGCCCGAATTCAATTTGTGCAGGACATCTGGTTTTAGATGGATCTGGTATATCATTATCAACAATGCCGACTCTCTGCAAATTTTTAAAAAAATAATAAATAATATCCCAGATAACAATAACCAAAATGAAATAAAATAATGAAACAATAACATGGATAGAAATTCTGACAAAAATTCATTGAAACTTGTCTAACATGACTGATAAAAATGAAGCTCCATATTTTATCTTATACAAATCCAATGTATTCACAAATTCACAAATTCACAGACAGTCCCCGAACTCGTAATAGAACTGAATTAAGGAGAATCTGAATAAAATTATGGCCTAACCCTAACCTGGTAGTGGTAGACACACTACGGGAGTACCGAAAACAAGATAGTCATTCGAAACCCTCAGAATTCTAGACTTATGTGTCAAAGTTAGAATCTCCCCGTTGTTAATATTAGTAAACATTGTGACCACAATTCTTTCATTTGACGTTAATATATTTAGAAACAACAACTAAACAAACATTCTTATGTGAGTACGTGAACAAACTGGTCACCTGCAGAGATTCTTCTCTTGCTTTAAAAAACATGTTTTCATCGAGTTCGGTGATATCAGCTTTGCATGATTTTCCTCCACCTGTTGTGAAATAAGAAATAACAAAATAAAATAACAATTTTGTTTTTCTAGAAATGTGGATGACGCGATTTATATGACTAAACTGTTTTTAATGATTGAAACTAAATAATTGACTAAATATTCTTGTTGCTTGCCATATTCCATGTTAATAGGATAGGATTTTCATATTTATCCAGAGGGAGCGGAAAGCCGGTAAGACGGCTTAATCATATGACCTTGTTCTGTTAACAGACCATGTCGGTCTGTGTGGAAATAGTTAAGCAGGTATTTGTTCAAATGCATGGACTTTATGGTGGAGAGAGTTGTAACCGACGAGCGGACATCTGAACTACCATACGCCAATGACTCTGGCATTCCTCTCACTCATAATAACTCCACAGGAATCGCACCTGAGAACCCCATGAAGGGTAATCAGAAGTGTAATGTCTTGCATATTCCTAACCCAAAATGTGATGATCGAACAATTGGACATTTACAAAAACCAAAGTAGTTACAGAATTACATAAAGTTTAAATATTTCTAGCATGCAAAATAACACTGTTTTGAAGAAAATTCAATATTGAAAAATATCAATTTGGATCGCGATGAGCAGCACAATTAAAAGTAGGTATTTTTTTTAGCTTGAAGAGCTTGACATAATAAATCCTTTTTTCCCATAAATTAAGCCATGTCATAAAATCACAAATTCTGTATTGTGAAATTTTTAGACAGCACTTCATTAGTTCAGTACAAGACCATAAACAATAATTCAGAAACAAATTGTACAAAATTAAACATCAGATGACTAATCCTGTTTAATTCATAACAAACGGAAATCAAAACTGTTCATTGACAAGCACAACTTATATGTTGTATGAGTATTTCTAGGATGTAATACAATTTAAACAATGTCATCAAAAATTTTTGATTACCATGGTATTGCGTAATAAAGAGATCTCGGTAAAATAGAATTAACAATTGGTAAACGAATACCGGTAATCAAAGATAAAATGAATCATGATTCGGTATTCCAGAATTTCGATACCTTGATTAGTTCAAGTGTATAACTAGAGATAGGCGCTCTCGATTGTTCATAGAGCTTCCAGATTGAATATAAATTTTATGAATAGCTTTTTTTAACCATATATGCATTATATACTGAAAATTAATTTGGGATTGGACACTTTTTGTGTAGATTGAAAATATCAAAATACTTATATAGAGTCAATTACTTCAGTGAATGATGATGTCCATTTTAGACCATCAACATGGTACGTTACAACAAAGTATCTTCAATAAATTGCATTTAGTCTTTATTTATCTGACAAATCCAATCCACAAAATGTCAAAAGCAAGTCAAATATTCGACATTCATTACATTCGATATGGTAAAGTTTAGAATTTAGGAATAATTTAGAACATTTTTCTTAAACAGAGCGACACAGAGAAACAATGACCTTGTGTTTGTGTCGTTTTAGCTATGATCAACCAAGAAGATATGGTGATTTATATAATTTTCCACATGAACTTGGCCCCAATTCAGAATGTATTCAAAAATACATTTTCCGAAACATGTTCTCAGAATATATTCGGGATGGTAAAATCTTCCGTTTTGGCAATCCCTGTAGACTACATCCAATATTATTTTGTTGTAAACATCATTCTAAATAAGTTACAACTAAATGTGCATAATGTCCGCTACATAACCCTAGTTAAAATAACATAATCAATTATGTTGGTATGAGTAATAAATGCTAACCACAGGAACTTGACTAATGTAGCATCATTATACATATAATTAGATAATAGAAAAATGAGACAATCACGTTAGTCAATGAGATACAGAAAAAGTTTTGGTACAGAAATAATCATGTCTCTTTATTAACAAAGAATTATTGAGCAACCAATTACAAAGAATTTCATTACAGAACATGCTCCCTTGAGTATGATAACAAACAACAAAAGAGTGATGCTCAAATATACGGACACAAAGGCCAAAACGAAGTTGTACAGGAGACTGCCAACACCACAGTCTTTACAACTAACGCAAATGCAGAACTGCCACAAGATGTGTAATTTTTAAATATTGATGACGTCATCGCCTACAAAACGAATCCAACAGAGCCCACAGACATTTTTGAAATAATCAAAAAGTAATAGTCTTCTACCGAAAAAAAATTAGTTTAATCACTGAAAATTTCAAAGCAATTGGTCCAGTAGTTGATTAGAAAATTTTTTTCACAACGGCAAGAATAGAATAGTATACTGACTAGGAAGAGCAATAACATAATAACAAAATGATCCATATGTACACTTCATTTTAAAAAAGTTCCATTGCAAATTAGGGTACCGACACCATAACTTTCGAGGCATGTCACCATGGAAAGATACTAGAGGTTATGATACTAATTTCATAAAAGAATTTCAACTTCAAACCAAACTGATGCAATCATCAATAAATGCATAATCAAAGAGTATTCTATTCGTTTTGCTGCAAATGGCGAAGACATCAAATAAATTATATAAAATGTACCTGTGTCTTTTGCAAAATCATCGTCATTACTGCTTGCCGTCGTTCGCATAATCATTAGTTGTGTCGTACGTGCTTGTGATGTCATTGTTTTCCGGCCAGACACAGAGGGAGTAAAGAATCTGAAAATTAAAAAAACATAAACACTATCGTTTTCATTTTGTATGTTTGTTTTAAGCAAGGTTAATAATAGCAGGTCACCAAAATAGACAAACTACTCATAAAAGTTGCCAGCACCTTTTTACGCAATAACAGCTATATATAGATATATTATTTTGATATGCAATTGAGTTATAATAAAAAGTTTTTCAAAAAATATTTTAATTTTCATAAATAACTAATTGGAACTAAATATAAGTTTAAAAGTATGCCTTAATATCATTCTTGGAATATTATCGATAACAAAAAAGTAGCCTAAGGCAAAGATAGTCAATAATCAATAATTTACAATTGTGATGTCAATCAGAAATTATAAATGTATTCCATTTGTGCCATATTATGCTGAAAATAGAATATTATAAGTTAGCTACTGGAACTGGGAAAGGGTCATGGCCATTTTTTTGACTAGATAGTCAAAAGTTTATGAACGGTAATTTAAAATTTTTGCTTTTTTATTGGAAAAATTTGTTGTCAAAGATAAGGTTTCAAATGAATTAATATTCAGATAATCAGTTGACGCATCAGGCAAAATAAATTTTTATTATACCGTATCATCAAATTTGTTTGCATCCCTAGTTATAGAAAAACGGTTGATATACATATCACATCATGTCAATAATGGGTCAAACATGGCCCCTGGTACCCAGTAGGGCACTCAAGAAGTGTGTTTACCAATATGGAGATAACTAATTTTGTTCGCCTACTTTACATCAAGTTGTGTAAAGGGACTGAAACCCATGGGCAGGGGGATATTCACTTGACTAAACAGACAGTCCCCGAACTCGTAAAAGAACTATAATATGGAAAATCGGAATAAAATTATAGCCTAACCCTAACCTGGTACACACACTACGAGATCACCCCCAGTATTCGCTTATAAACTCTATTTTGGAATATCTCAAATGCCAACATTATGTAACAAATACTGTGCTAAATAAGAAAAAGTTTACGAACATAATGAAAACAAATTTTTGCAATTTGAAAATGAAGCTCTTGCATCAAAATTACAAAACTTTATCCATTTCAGTATTTCACAATTACCAATAATACCTGAATGCAAGAACCAAACTGGAATGAACTTTGCTAAAGTCATAAACAACCATTATAATCTCTCCTATCGGGCCTATTCCCAGATGGCCTCCAATTAAATTTGTTCAAGTTATTTTAATCACAGATTACACAGAATATGGTTTGATTGCAAAATAATGGCATAGGAATTCGTAAATTAGTTTCCGTGGTAGATGATGAGAAATATAATACTATCCGAATGTTGTCATCGTTAAAATGGGATTGTTAAAGGATAGCAAGATAGGATTTACAAGTTAATCCTGAAGGGGAGGAAAGTCGATAAGACAGCCAAATCATATGAACCACAGCCTTCCCATCCTGTTACCAGTCCATGTCGGGTATGGGATTTGTTAGCCGGATATTTGTTTCAGATACATGGACTTGACGGTGGAGGGAGCTGTAACCGACCAGTGGTTACATGAACCACCCTACGGCGGTGAGGAGTTCAGCAATCCTCCCTCACACAATTATCCCCTACAGGATTCGGCGTGCGGCTGTGAGCGTATTCCTAAATGATTTACTTGATTGTTGTCTTTTACACCTATGGTACGCCTTTCTCGCAGTTGTGTATAATTTCCAGTAATTTATTTTGGGACATCCATATAATTTACTAAAAAAACATATTCAAGCCACCCACCTTGTCATGCCGTCGATCAGACCCTTTGGTTTTTTATGATATGGAACTTGAAGAAAATATTGTCCGTCTTCCGTCATTACTTCATGTGCTTTTGCATTACCATCATCAGCATCTGAAAAGGTAATAATCCAAATTAAATTGTTTGCAAACCATGCGGTCAGACAGAAGAAGCAAATGAGATTGATAATCAACAAGCTAGAAGCAAAGTGTGTTTGGGAACTGTGGAAGACATTCCAAAAAATAATTAAAAAATTGTGCCGACCATATCTTCATTAGAAGCTTCGATACGCCACATACTTGAGGTGTCTGGGCTCTGTTTTTGAGCCCAGAGCACTAGGGTGATGCTTAATAAACCCCACATGTTTTTTTATATGACGCATTTACACCTTTCCTCAAAACAAGGCTCCGCACAATCTGCCACAATTGGGTGAGAAGATACTGTGGTGAGGTAGGACCAGGATATACCCATCAGAATTACAAAAAATTTAAAAATAAACTTTATAGGAAAGCCGATAAGTCATAGATAATTATCCCCAATGGGATAACCTTCAAACACACAAAGGAAAATCAGAGGTGCGTCACACCATCGTGCTGCGATCACTCTAAAATCTCAGGTGCACCCAATTTACCGTAAGTATTAGGCTCAATGTAGTAGGCAAATCCAAATAAGAAATACATTTTAATAGATTCCAACTGCTACCATTTGAAGACAGATCATCTAACAATAATAATATATCTAACCTGCAGAATTATTGTCCACTGAAGATGTAGAGATGAGTCGTTGATGAACTGCTGATGATTTTTTATTCGTACGATTTGAATGTGGACGCCTTGATTCGGCTTTACATATTTGACATATGAAAGATCCTGCATAAACAAAAAGCAAATTTGCTTTTCATCAAATCAGCAAAGAGATTCGATTGAAACTTTCCAGCAGCTATACTGTACTTTATTCTATCATAATTTATTTTATCACTCAAAGAACTAGAAACCTTGATTTGAGTGATAGCGATACTACATATAAAAAGAGCAGGGTGTGCACATCAGCACCACATAATGGTAGTACAGATTAAACTAGTGATTACCCCTCTGTCTAGAAACAGGTTATGTAAATGCGCAGAAATAATTGTAGGTACCGGTACCTCAAATGCAATTAAAATTTTGATCAAAAATGTATCTATTACAGACAGGTTGACCCCAAAAAAAACAACGGTCCCATAAATTTCCTAATTACTTCTACGAAATTGGTATAAATCAGGGGTGTGCATTGCCCAACATTTTTTGTCGGTGGGACCCATACCCAACTTTAGACATCTAGCTGGACAACACAAAAAAATAATTTTCCTACGAACACAACGAATTACAAAATTAGCAACAACAGAGCGCCGCGGGTAAGTCAAGAAAAGAGATAGTGGCTATCGATTAGACTTCTTTCATTAAAGGCACCGAGCAAAGCGGTGAAAGATTTAGGGTACCGACAAGAACTAAAATCATTTCGTATATTAAGCCATGTGAGCGACTTTTTAAACATAAACTGTCGGCTTAGGATTTTAAGATTGATGGGAAAAATATGAGTGGGCCAACTAAATGGCTCGGTGGGCTGTGTTGTGGCCCGCGTGCCGCCTGTTGCACACCACTGGTCCAAATTATTCAATTCGTTCACGCTTGAACTTCTGCTTGTGTTTGATTGTACCAAAAACTTTCCTAAATTTGGGACATTTTGCACAAACTAGAAAAAACTAGATAATAACAGTAAAAATGACATTAGTTTTACAAATTTTTATTTTTCATTTTTTTGGCTTCATATTACGTCTATTATGCCTTCAAGTTTATAATTTATAAATAGCATTAGACATGCAGCAGTGCATGCACAATCAATTCCTTCGTACTCAATAAATGAATTTGACCTTATATGAAATTCAGATCAATAATGTAATAATGTTCATTTTCGGAACGTTAGACATTTATACAGACAAGAAAATGAGCCAAAAAGACAGATCGTTATAATAATCGAAATGACTTGTCCTTGTACATAAATGATTGTGGGATCAATGCCAATGAAAACATGCAAATAAACTTCAATTACATTGAAATGAAAGTAATTATTTCGTAAATTTATACAATTATAGGAGATTCGCTCTAAGGAAGATCACTGACAGTCACTCAGAAATTAAGGAGAGTCATCACCGAGTAAAGTTATGAGCAACCACAGTAATGTAATACCAATTGATAACAAAATTACAATCACGGTATATAGAGTTTTGCCAGTGGATGCAAATTCAATAATTTTTGTATAAAATGCATAATATATGAAATTTTACTGTTTTTTGCTCGGAACAAGGTTTGCAGAAGCAGCCATTATTATGTAAGGAGCTACCCACTTTTTCCACCCCTGGGTGAGGTGGTGTGGATGGGATTCAAACTCAAGATTTTAATCCATGACGTCATTATAGTTTTAATACCCATTGGGCCAGTGTGACCATTTATAGGTTATTGAAAAAGTTGATTGTTTTCCATATTTCATTGTTCTATTTTAAATTTCAAAAATCAATATGAAGATTTAGAATAGAACTATTTAAATATAGCTTTCCTTTCTGCAGAAACTTTTGATGCGTTTTATCATTGTTCAATTCTGTCTATTTTATTAACATATGATAAATTAATGAAATATTCAGAATATATGTAGAAAATGCCTACATTAACACCAGATAAGTCTAAAATATTCGGCAAAAAAAGGCAATCACAAAGACTGAATTAATTCACTCTGCACATTAATTATGAATAAGGTGAAATAAATACCTTTAGGCATATGTGTGATACGAGGTGTACAACAATCCATATGAAATCCACGATCGCACGAATCACAAAACAGCAAGTTATCCTGAAATAGAAATCATGAAAAATATTAGAGCCGAGCATTGAAAACAATGTAAAGAAATAAAGCTGTATTCTTCTTTCTCCGAGAAAAAAATGAAAAAATTGCTCAAATCAAGGTCATGTGAACTCACTCAATAAAAGATAGTGATCTCTGAGTAGAGTTATGGCGATGGTAAAATTAGGCATGAGTAAATAATGATTGGCGAAAGACTTGAAACTGTTCATGTCAGTACAATCAGGAAAACAGCTACAAGTAAATGAGTTCTTAGAAAAGAGCATATGAAATTAGCTAGGCCACTGCATATAATAACAAGAGCGCAATGCTCAATTATACGAACATGAAGGCCAAAGCGAAGTAGCATGGGCATGCAATCTATAACAGTAGACTACCTGTACACCAGTCTTCTTTATGACCAACATTATTGCGTAACCGCAACAAAGTGCACAACTTTTTATGACTTCTCACACTCAAAAAACGAATCCCACAGAAATTTTTGAAATAAATAAAAGTAATGGCCTTCTGTCGAAGAATACAATCTTCAACCACTGAAAATTTCCCCCACGGAATGGGCAAAGAGAGAAATATACCGAAATACATTAGGACCACTGGTCTATACTTAATTAATACTTCATGTGAAATGTAGACAAAATAGGAGTGTTCAGTACACAGAGGATGTAGTATACTAACAAACATAATTTCACAATTTTCGAATTGAATATTAAGTCTACAGAATCAATTTTTTGGAAAATCCTATTCTCAATAAAATTTGTGAAGATAAAACAGTAGTTTTCAAAGTTTAAATAAAATGTGGATATTATAAAACCCACAGTATACCAATTTTGTCATTACTTTATATCATCCAGTATACAACAAAATGTATTCAAAAGGTATAATGAGCATAAGGTAAGATGACATTTATTCAGAAGCAAACAGACATTTTAAATTCTCCTTAACATATAAAATTCCAGTCATCACCCCACTCTATTCTGTTACAAGTCTCTAAATTGAATATGATGAATGATGTATAAATAATAGATGAAGTATAGCGGTCAATGAATCAGCAAACAGAAGATGACCGCTAAACAATAATTCAGACAACCTCGATTACACCCAAAACTAATATTTCCCACAATATGATCCTTCATGGATAAATCTAAGATAAATTATGTATGTTCACCGCTCAATCATATATGATTGAGTGTTCTAATTGAGTGACACAGTCTAGACTAGGAAAAGTAATTCTTCATTGCTCCTAAATACCTTTGTAAATATAAGAAAAGGATTGTGGCTTATTAAGAAATATATATAATTCCGGGAGAGATAATTCCGAGAATTTAGTTACACAAACGTCCCATGAAGATAATTGTATAAAATTATCGTTATAAGTTATAACCTAACAATAATTCTAGAAATGTTTGAATCAACAATAACTGAAATTTGCAACCTTGCAATTTGAACTCAAAATTCGGGCCAAATCTTCTGCTGTATGATTTGGAATACATCATAACTTGACTGCTTAAATAAAAACATCAATTTAGAGTCCAGAGTTTCCTAAACAGGTAGGAGGAATTCAACCCCAGTGAAAAATTTTGTTTGTTTCCACAAAGAAATACAGATATATTACCTGTATTGGGTGTAGTTTTACTTATTACCACATATTATGCACAAAACATAAAATATTCAAAGTTTACAATAGCCAGGGTGTGAATTGCGCATTACACTATCTAAGGATCCTTATTAAAACATTTAAACAATTTGTGGATAGTTTCTATGCATTGTGAAGAAGTATACAGAAATCCAAAATAGGCAAAGAATTGGATGAAATTTACACTTTGAGAGCTAGTTTTGTAAAGCCAGAACCATCCTGAAATATTAATACAAATAAATGCTGACTAACCTATTGTTTCAAACATTACCCTACTATTGTATACAGTTTCAAAACACTTTATGTAACCAACCATTGGTGATAAATCAACCATAAGTCAATCCAGGTCCATAGATATACAGACTCTTCCACAATTGGAATATCTATGGTCCACAGATGATTGGAGAAAGTAGCTGCGACTCAATTTCATCTTGACAAAATGATACTCATTGTGTAAAAATAGAAGACAATAGAATACAGAAATAGATTTTGAAATTCAATAGTATGACTATGAGCTGTTTAGACTTCAATTATAGGAAATTATTTATTGATGGATATATTTTTTCACAGAAAAAAATATCGTCATCCATATTCTCCATACAGGGGTTTATGTAACCCTTGGTTAGATCAGGGTTCTCTAAAATGGGGGTCCTGACGTGGGTCGCGATAAAATCTTTTTTGACACTAACTCATGTTATATGGTAATGGGCCAAATTATATGGTATATGGGTTCGGTTTCCATGGGTACAGGGGTACACAACACGAGGCACGCCTGCCCAATCTGGCACGTCATAAGCTCGTATGTGGCATGACATCATTTGGAAAAAAGTAATTTTTGCATTTATAATAAATTTTAATAACTCTATGTTTATATCTAAATAAACTTAAATTGCCTTCAACAACGTCTCGAAGACATTAAACTGTTTGAGTATATTGTTGAGTATATACCGTAATATATGTTTTATCAAAGTCCGTTTAGAATACCAACAAATATTCAAATTTCGAACGTGGCATGGCGCATTTGAGTAATGCACCCTTGCTGTAAAATATTTTTATGTATTCAAATTCAAGCATTGATTGATATAAGAAACCTTTTACTGCCTGTATTTCAAACATATAAAGCTATATAGGTCAAGTAGCTGTTTCTAAGCATGTAACAAGAAGACAACAAAGATACACAATAATTCAAAATATCAAAAATGATACATAAGTTAAATTACATGATTATTGACATTAATTTTCTGAATGGGAATAATAGTTTTGTTTACCACCTAACAGCGATCTGACAATTTGGTTAAAAGATATTGATTGGTTGGGATTAGTTTCAGAGGTCACGCGGGTGTTATGCCTAATAGAAGTGAATTAGTCATCGCCTATTACACCATAATAAACATAAAATAGGGGGAAAGACTGAGAAGTGATACACTGATGGTGTAACTAACACATTTCTTTATTATTTTGAAAATGAAACTCAGTAAATATAAACATATTGGCATAGTCTAATTTGATCCATACTTGGGAGTGTATTGATTAAACAATATTTTTCAAATTAAAATAAATACAAAAAGAAGAGAAGTGAAATTTCAGAAGTCATCAGCAGTGTTCCCATATGAAATTTAAATACTCCAAATAAATACAAGGATGTTGTTTGCCAAAATGGGTTCGGATTCCTATGATAATGCTCTCATAATTGTGACGTATAATTGACGTGGGATTCGCGGGTGAACATTCCAATAACAAAGCGCTATTGTCACTTCTGAGAAAGAAGAGTTAGTGCTGATATACACAGTCGGCCATATCTGGCCTATACATAAATAAACCTTTTTATATTGATTTTCCTAATTTATCAAGTATGGTTATATGCAAAATTACAAAACTGCTAAACTACAGACAATACCACAGAAAACTAAATGGGATTAAAACCTCAATCAATAACAACCAAAAAACTGACACCAGGACAAGAAAAATAGAAATAAAGGGGGAAGCAGTGTTTCTGGGAATAACAAATAAACATATTACTTTTTATTCTGAAAAACAAAAGCAGATAAATTATTTTGAATTTGACAAAAACAAAATCAAATGACCAATCAAAATCATCGTTCATATCTGAAAAACTTTATTATATTATTATTTTCGTAGTGTTTTCGCAGAATAGATCAATATTCATTATAACTTATTCGACAACAAAAGAAATTGCTTAGATATGAAATTTATAACACATAAAAATATAAATACGGTAGTTTTATAATTTTGGATGTACAAAATTGGGTACTCTCGAAGTATGTGAATCAAGATGGGGGACACTGGAACTTAACCGTGTACACATACTACGTTCCGGTGTCCGCCATCTTGGTTAACCCAAAATTGTATATCGTATTGTAACCGGGGATGTCCAGAACTAATCTGAAATTCGAAATTAAACATATTCGAAAGTTTAAACTCATAATTTTTCAGAATAATTTAAAATAGCTTCATTTGAAAAATTATTATTTTAAGCAATTGAAGTTTCACACTATGACCGAAATAGCTTTCTTCTAAGTTTGTAGCCCGAACCCTGATGAAATATTCCAGGGACTGAGGACCCCCTGTGCAGTAGTATAATTGTCTTTTATTTTTTATTTGTCGTATAAAAACTATAAATATACATAAAAGCAAACCTAATATGGAAAAACAAAAGTTTTTTTGAAGTTAAGCAAATTCAATAATATTAGTAAACCTCATCCGTATTTAGTTAATTTCAAACAATATAAATATGTTATTGTAGTCTCTTGGATTTAAATGGAAAATTGTGAAACCTATGGCCTGTACTATAGCAACCCTATGTCGAACCCCGTCGAAAATCACTGTTCCAATATATAGAGAACTTTAACTTCAGTTCATTTTCAAGATTTCATTGGGTTATAAATTGACTATGACCCTAATCTAGAATATATTTGATCTTCAATATTCAAAATAGGGCGCTCCAGAAGTGTGTGTACCAATATGGAGGTAACTAATTTTGTTCGCCTACTTTACATCAAGTTGTGTAAAAGGACGGAAGCCTATGGGTAGTGGGTATATTCACTCGGCTAACACAGACAGTCCCCGAACTCGTTAGAGAGAACTAAAATAAGGAAAATCTGAGTAAAATTATGGCCTAACCCTAACATGGTACACACACTACGGTAGTATCCGGAATAGTTCATAATATACTTAGATGATAAATTATTCAATTATAGCTATTTCTGAAATTGGTAGCAAACGTGTTGCCAGAAAACAATGGTAATGGTTCGCCAAGCACAAGAATGTCACCTCTTAAATTGAGTTTGTTCAATGATACTATAAAAAATAACAGGTGAAGGTAGTAAATATTTTATAG